GTTTTTTTTTTGGTTTTTTGGGGCGGGGGTACTCTTTTCCTAAATAACTTTGGTTTTTTTTTTTTTTTTTTGCTTACTCCCCCCCCCCCCCCCCCCCCCCTTCAGACACAACATAATGGCACGTTGCAACTTTCACATGTGAACATACAGAGTTAGGTAGCAATGCAAATTAATCTAATGTATGCCTCTCCTGATATCCAAGACATAAACACAGAATCAGAGCGTACATAAGCGAGTACCACAGTTAACAAGAAAGGCGCATGATTCTCGTACAGAGGATCCGCTATAGACTGCAGCTATATCCATCTTCCAAGAAACCTCACAAGGTCATTCGCACAGTCATATGAGACATATGGCACCTAAACGCTTTGATAGCACGTATCACACCCTACTCCCCATGCACGCACGATCCACACACAACAACATCAAACAACCGCCATGACATCCTCATTAAAATATATATCATGCCTAAATAATACACGTTCTATCAACCCATCGCATAACATAAACAATCCCCAACCCGCGCATGCACATACACCTTGTTACCTGCCTATACACCAAGGTACGGTATACGGTATCATATGACATATTGTACTTAAATACCCCATCCATCTTATTTACCACCCACCCCTTTTGTTATGGATGACTTCCCTCAGCTATAACTAACTCCCTCAACTCCAACTCCCCAAGCTCCCGCGCCGCCTTCTCCACATCCCCATCCGCCCCTGCCCCAGCCCCCTCCTTCTTCGGCGGCGGCGGCCTCTTCACACTCTTCCACTGCAAGGCACAACACGCCAAGAACGCGCACGCGCCAAGCGGCACCGCAACAACGAGCACCGTATGCAGCGCGGCATCATACAGCTTTAACAGCGCCGGCAAATCAGCCTCGGGCACCACGTCGCGGAACGCGACGGCGCCGGCGCGGATGACCTCGCGCACGTCGACGCCGGGGATATCGGTCTCTTGGACGAGCGCCTCGAGGCGGTTCTGAAACACGCTGTTACCGACGGAAATAAACACGGCGCCGCCTAGCGACTGCGAGGCGACGACGGACGCGGTGCCGACGGCGAGGTCGGCGGGCGCGAGCACGGTCTGCACGGCCGTGAAGCCCTGCTGTATGGACATGCCGAAGCCGGCGGAGGCGAGGATCTCGAACCCGATCCAGGAGGCGGTGGCCATGCCCGGGTTGAACAGGGTGATGATGCCGCAGCCGACGGTGCCGACGGCGGAGCCGAGGATGGCGGGCGGGGTGAAGTAGCCGACGACGGAGACGAAGACGCCGGAGAAGACGGAGAAGAGCGCGTTGGCGACGAAGTACGGGATCATGGCGACGCCGGACTCGATGGCCGAGTAGCCGAGGATGGCTTGGAACCAGATCGGCAGGAAGTAGGTGTGGATGAGGAGCGCGCCGTACGTGAAGAAGGCCATGAGGCAGGACGCCGCCACCGTGCGCTGCTTGGCGATCGCCGGCGGGATTAAGGCCCCGTCTTTCTTCCACCAGAGCCACGCCACGAAGACGATGGCCGTGACGCCGGCGCCGGCGAGCAGCCCGATGATCTCGGCGCTCGCCCAGTCCGCGCCCGTGAGCGTGTACTCGAGGGCTAGGAACAGCATTACGGCTGAGCCAAGGAGGATGACGTTGCCGACGAGGTCGAGTTTGACAAGGCGGTCCATGATTTTGGGCCTAGGTCCCTTGTGTGGGCGCGGGTGATATACGAGAATCATGACGATAATCGTCACGGCGCCTACGGGAAGGTTGATCCAGAAGCACCATCGCCACGTCTACGTCTAAGTTAGCATGTCGGCTTTCTGGTGTTTAGGTAAGTGATACGTACGACTAAATCTGTAAATACGCCTCCGATTAGAGGTCCCACTGTTGCGCCAACGCCGAACCTGTGAGGGTTAGCTTTCCATGCTTGACAATTCGCAGTTTCAAGCTTTCGTCAACTTACATTAACCCAACAACAGCAGTATATATCGGCCTGACAGTCAAAGGCACAGCCGTAGCAACAATAACGAAACTTCCAGTCAGGATACCCGCGCTGCCGAAGCCAGCAATTGCGCGTCCAATGATAAGAGAGGCGGAAGACGGCGCGAATCCGCTGATGATAGATCCGATTTCGAAAACAAACATGGATAGGAGATACGCCCATTTGGGGTTAAAGAGAGTGAAGACTCGTCCGAAGACGGGCTGGAAGGCGCACGCCGTAAGGAGATATGATGACCCATACCAACCGATGTCCGACGTGGATTTGAACTCGGAGGTGATAAAAGGAATGGCCTGTCTCGCTTGTTAGCTATCTGGTCATCGGCGTGCAAGGTGGAGGTTATATTTGACATACGGTTGTAATAATAGTACGATCTATAGAGATTAAGAAAACAACTAATGAGAGACCAATGGTAAGTAATAATAAGGGAATTCCCTGTAAGAATGCATCCTTCTGGTCGGCGCTTTCGCCGTCGGTAGAGGAGGTTTGCTGGCTTGACTCATCGCTGGGAGGTTCTTGAGCGTCCAGCTTCGTGGTGCTGTTGATCTGCTTTCCCGGGTGTCGCTGTTCCTCTACGGGAGTAACAGGATGGCGGCCGGGAGGGAAAGACACGACCCGGGACTTCGAGTCGTCTGCATTGACGGTAGCTAAATGCCTCAGGTGCGGCGCCGAGTCGATTAATAGATCAGCTAAGGTAGCATACCGGTCCGCTTCTCCCAGGCTCGTTGAATGGAGCCGTGCAAGGCTGCCGGTGTCGTCACCCCCGTTGGTAAGGGTTTGGGTAGACGATACGGAGAAGTCCCTGGAGTGGTGAGCCTTGAAGTCAGACACGCTCCCGATAAGCTCGTCCGCGAGCCAGAAAGGTGACATTGCGAGAGGTGCAGCAACGTTGGACTGAGTAGCGGCGTCCCAGTCAGGACTGGCCCTGCCATCGTTAGAAGCCGAAGACTGATGCAGCGAAGATGCGTCGTTGTCTTGTGAGGCACGATGGCCGCCGTCCGCCTCCATCTCGCCGTTGGTTCGCTTGATCTGGCCGGTTGGGATAGGTTCGACGACAAGGGTTGTCACATTATGTCCAAGTCCAGAGCGAAGACGGTAGATGCGGTAGGGTAACATTCAAGACGCGGCCCTGTGTGTCACCAGCCGGTCACTTGCCCTCCCGTCTCACCGTTGGAGGGCCCAGAAGGGGCGACGTCACTATGCACTATTGTAAACGCCCCCGGTCGATCCGCATCTAACTAAGCCCGCGGCCCTAAGAGGCGACTAGATGCGAATAATATTTTCCAATCTTCCAATATGCCGGTTCCGCCCAGGTGCTCTAGCCTAGCTCGCAGCCAAGTAAACAAGCCTCCCCCCACAACATGCGAGCTATGCGAGCTACGGCCTTATTTCGTTTGCAACCTGGGGGGGCAAATACCACGGACCGGTAAATTACCTTGTCTAGGTTGTTTGGTTGGCCAGTTAAAAAAAGAAAGAGAGATTGGAGATTACTATTATTCCGCTGACGAAGAAGGCTTGACCGTTTGGCGTGCTGGTCCCGACAGCTCGCAGAGAGATACCCACGGGGAGGGGACTGCATGATAGGTACATACATGACAGTAGGATGTCTTGTGTGTCAGGTCGGCGATCACTATAACGTTAGCTAGTCTGTAACGAGGCAGCTGAAGCCTTCCCTTGACCCAATGGCGAAGGACAAGCGGACGAAAAAGAAGTACCGGGGATATTCAATAGTGCTGTTGAGTTGGCGTTCGAACTGTGTTTGGCCGATCCTACAGTTCGAGGTGGATACGAGCTGAGAATTACTACTATAGTTACCTCGCCCCGGGTGGGAATTCTGCGATAGGGGGGCCCGAGACACCGGGAGAGAAAGTTCCCAAAGCTTTTTCAAGGATAACACTGATAGACAGGGCAAGATAGAAGGGAAGCCGTATCTATCAGGACTCGATCCACAAAGGGGAACGATCAGCGGCCCGCCGTCTTGGGAGTGGGCCAACTAGCGGACGTGGACCGAAGCCACCGCTGCAGCCACCGGCCGGATTGAGCGGCCCTAAGAGTAGTGAGCACCTATCATCCCTTAGGTCTAGATTTCACTTCTTAGCGCAGTAGTTTATTACCGTTTCGGTACTTCCTAGCACGGATAGGAGGTATCCGGTACCGGGTGAGCCCCCTTCGAGTAACGGTGTCTTACTTGGAAACCCCACACGCTTCCTAGATCGCGGAAGCTAGGTTACGTGTCTCGTCACTATACTGCTAGTTTGTATTCCGTACTCGATACATTGGCAATACATTCGATTCTGTCATTTCTAGATACTGATGTAAATATTCTCCTAGGGTCAACACCTTAATGCAGCCTCAAGTCATACCCGAGATTAGGAACGTACCCTTGTCCACGTGGCTTACGGAAAAGATCCTGTTGTCGTACTCGGTACTAATGGTCCAGCTGGTAGTTCTAGCTCATCTTTCGGCATCTATATCCCTGTGTTGGTTGACGAAGAGCCGTATCCCGTCCAATCCTTGCGCTTAACACAACCCTTAACAGACGCTGCTGTGGCTAATCTTATTTTCACTTTCGGCTTATCAACGTCATGATCTAGATTCTAGCAAGATTCTTCTATCGCTGCCGTAGGCGGATATCGTATCCTCTAGGTCTTATGGCAGGCTATATGCTCCTTTGTATAGAAGGGGGTGCAGAAAAACAGGATACGTTTCCACCGAAGTCCAATAGCAAAATCGCCGTAACGATGTGTGAGGTCAGGCGTATGCGAAATACTAGTATGTTCATGTAACTGCATGTGTCACGGTTCCGTCGTTGATCTGAATGGATAGACAGATCTCCATGTATACTGGTACAGCATGTAGGGGATATGTAGGGGATAGGTAAGATGATCACTATGAAAGTAACCCTACACTACGGCAGTAATAGTACGTAGAATCCCCTTCAACAACACCCTTATTTCGACTTCAACGCCACAAAATTACGCAAAATTGCGAGCCCTCGCTACGAGCTTACAAGTACAATGCATTGTTCGTCGGGATTAATCAGTCCACGCATATGACCGCATAGTGTATGCCGTCAAGCGACGCGTCTCTGGGACGCCCAAATATGCGTTTGAGATATCCCCGCTCGTATTCAGATTAAGACAAACCATCGTTGCGTATGATTTACGACTCTATGCGTTGTGCAGAAGATTCCGAGTGGTTGTTTCATCCCATCTTCCAAGATGCGCTTTGACACTTTGACGTGTGACCAATGTGCTGAAACTTATAATTAAGACTACTATATTCCGACTATCTATTATCTAGTGGTATGTAAAATGCGAGGGATCATGTACACGAAATGAAGGCCACTCTATTTTCTTGATGCAAAAGTGCAAAAAAATGCAAAGGTGCAAAGAGGTATCTAAACGCCACCGTATTGAACTTCAATGATAAGGGTGATGATCATCTCCGATCATAAAATTTGCGACTTTTTCAGATGTGCCAGCTGCATGAGGGTGTTCACTACCCCAACGATGCCCGCTCCGTCGGTGTGCTTACCCAAGGCCTCGCAACCAGCAGGGTCGAACTCAGCTTCGAGTTTTTGTTGAGTTTGCGCCGTCAGCGACTGCGCGGTAACAAGCCCCTTTTGCCTCTGCTCCTCAATTTGCCGCAGTGTGACCTCGTCAAATTCCTTGTCATCGGAATTACCCGCTGGCAATAGCCCGGAAATTTGGAACATGGTCTCCGGTGAGACAGTCTTTCGGCCGGCCTTGAAGACGCATTTGCTAAGCGCGGTAGCGAAGATGACCTTGTCCGAGCCGACATCACAGTTCTCGTCACTGCTAGACGACTTCTCGGCCAAAATCTGACCAGGGAACTGCTCCGGGTATAACGAATAGTTCTTTGGTTTCACGGCACCTTTGCGGACGAAGTGGGTGACGACGTAGATCCATTTCTCGTCCCAAGTCAAGATCTTAGACCACATTTCATACTGCTCCTGTGGACGTATCTCGCGCTTGAAGTTGCATGAGACCGCGCCTAGAGCAAATCCGAACAGTGGCTTGCCGGACCCTGTGTACGCCGCAGTTCCGCCACGCATCTGCTCAATCCCTTTGGAGAATAAGGTGCAGACAAGGTGAGCCCGGGCGATGTCGGCATCTGAGAAGTATGACGAATTAGATTTGTGAATATTGAAGTCTATCTCCATAAGTTGCGCCGTTGATGATGTAATGATTGGTTGAAAGATGTGCATCGGTTTCAGTGGCACGGCAGGCCGCTGAGTTCTCAAAACGAAACGAAAGGCATTGACAAGCCGCATCTTGAGCCTATGTCAGCTTTAGGTCGCGAGGGAAACGATAGGATAATCACTTACGTGCCACATGAACGGCATATTCTTCATATTCAACGCGACAAAGCCACATAGCAGCGTGAACCAAAGCGTCGACCAAGTCAAATGAGGGTAGATGATATCTGCGACAGAGGGCATAGGCGATGGGAGCCCAGCGATAGGGCCCTCTGGCACAACATCGTAGTCGGAGCCGCGACTCTGGTTGATGGAGCCCAGAATATACGTGGTCGACATTTTGACCCACGAACAAAGGAAATTCTGGGGTTTGGAAATGTTGAAATCCGTCGTCCCTTATTCGAGTTTTGTTCTTGAGTGGTATGTAAATCGGGGATGGGATATCGACGTATGTACTGATAGCATTATCTGACCAATATTAAGAAACTCCGATATCCCGTAACATTCCCGGAGATATATGTTTGATATAATACAACAAAAGTCAGGAAGAGATCTGTCCCGCGCCTAAGGTCCGTAGAATCGTGAAAAAAAAAAGAGTGACAGGCTATCCCGGGCCTAGATGCCAGCTCGTAACGGTGAGATACGTTGTCTTCAGGTGTCTACCACCATTTACTGCATGTAAGCGGAGCCCGGTTTTGAGCTCTTACTACGCGAAAGAACTTAGGTAGTAGCTTCTTTACTTGTTTTCTAGCATCGAGCTAGGAGTTCCTATGTCGAATCTGGTAGTGATTGTCGTGGACTGTCTAAGTCTAAAGGTATCGATGACCAAAGTGGGAGGAATTCCCACGAATCTATCGAGATCGAGGTCGTTAATCCTTCCAAGTTATGTGCTTGAGTAAATAAAACTGATACCAATAGAGAATAGTGGATATGGTAACGCTGTGTTGGGTTTGTCCGTATCTACTTGGCGTCCCAAAGCATCGAGAGGCCTAAGAAATTCGAACACGTCTCAGAACCGTTCGTTGAAGGCGTTCCCGTTCGAGTCGTTTTGGATAACAATGGCTTTATTTCTAGAACATAGAATAACCTGCGACTTTGGTTATATTTTCACTTTCTTCTAGACCTACACGTGTTCGTATTCTTCTTCTGACTGACGCCAATGTGATCATCGGCGTCATTGCTCGAGAACATGAGGATGTACTACCAACGTTACATTATGATCATATCTGGGCAAATGCCCGTAGATAGGAAATTTTGTTTGATCCGGGCGGCGTAGATCCCGGGGACTAGTAAAACGCCTCCGAAGGGTAGGGGGTTGTTTTTCTTCTTCTCGATGGACTTAGAATTAATACCATCAGGTTGGTACTTATGTAATGTCTAGGTTAGGTAACTAACCACTTTAGACAGTGCCGACTGAAACATCGAATCTCTTCTTGGATGTTCGTATCGAAAAAGGAAAAATTCCGCGAGCGAATATTCCATTGTTGACAACTTTCCAGGGTGTCTGGCGACTGTCATGGTGCCGGTAAACGAACGTTGCCACTTACGCAATGTCACGATACCGATACCGAAGAGATTGGACTTGGGACTGGTCTAGGTTTACCTAACAAGGAACACTCAAGTAGATGTGTGCTAATTAGTCTAGACCGTTGTGTTTGACGTATCGTAGGGCGTCATCGATCGATCTTGATCACGCCAGAGAAGAAGTGGATTAATGTATCTCTCGCCCAGCCTGCCAGCGTCGGTGCGGCATGTAACGTACTAGATAAGGAATTGGGGGCTTCAGCTTCCTAGGATCGGTAGTTGGGTGTGATTGGGTCGATCGGGGCGCCTGCGGGAAGAACCACCGTAGTAATGAAGCCCACATAAACGAGGCGTGCCGAACTAACGAGGTACCTATTATTAACTCTTAGTGTGGAAGAGAGAAAGCCCATAAGATCTTGATCTTGATCGAAAAGTTCGACTAGTAGCTAGTTTAGATTACTTAGTTAGACTTCTAATAAGGATTAGGCCGTAGTAAAAAAGAGGCTGAAAACCCCTGCTCTGGGTGCTGTCGTTCCTTGATTATCTATAGCCTAGCCGCTGACTGTATCCGGTACGCTACGATATAGGCGAGTGTTAATTGGCGTGAGGGGGAATCCGTCGAAATAAGATATTGCCAAGATAGGGGGGATGTAACGTGTACAATCCTCTAGCTGCCATCGGGATCATGACGGGACCCATCCATCACGGGCTTGTACATAGTACCGCGATAGGTGCGGTTACTAGGTACCTAAGACTTCGACCTCGCAAGGGTCATGGGTCAATGGGTCCAGGGTCGGGGGAGACTGGGAGATTAGACTCCTTGTATCCGCCCCGCAATCTCCCCGTAAAATGTCCAAACCGTGTAAAATGTCTTAGATGTCACGCCTCTTTTTTAACCTCACATCAACACACCGTCGTAGCACCTGTCGGCATTACAAATAGCCCTGCATAAACGATGTCCACTATAACCACCATGATGGAAATTCACTGTTTTGATTCGAACATCGAACATTTCCAATGCTCATCCCTAACCATTGCTAAGGCATCTATGCAGTAGCTGACCCCGGACCAGGTCATCCGTAACCTCCCAAGACCTCCTCAACCAGTGTTCCGAGTATCTACACCAAGACTAAGAATACTAAGCATTAAGATGTACATGCTCATAATTATACGTATGCGTGTGCGTATGCAGATGTAAAAAAGATAATGGTCAACAGCTGACGCCAACTCCATGATGACCCCCCACATTCCCCCACCAACTTCCGGTTACTTGGGAATGCATTATACGTCGATAGCAAGGTACCCCTGTGCACAGACCATGCAGAATGTTTACCAGAGTATCTGCCGATACTAGGTAGCATCAGAAAGGTGAATCAGAACAACTCATCACTTTCTAGAAACCAGCGAGCTGTTCATGTGCTCCACTCCGCTGCAGCTATCGGCGACCATAGCCGCGCTCTGCTTCATGGAAGACACAGCTGGTCCGTCGCCCTTCTTATTAGTTTTGCGCGAGGCGGCCTTCTTGTACGTGGCAATGTAAAACATAATGAATAGCACCAGGTACGAGCTCAAGATCACGCACCCGCATACGGCCGCGAACGGTTCACCTGCGCAGCGCCCCACATGCGGCAGATGAGGAGCGTGGGCGCTGGCGTAGTAGTCCCAGGATGCGAAGTATACGAAACCTATTTTCAGGGGATTAGTACATTTTCTCATGTGAGGGGCTTCCGGAGAGCCTTACCAAGGTCGAGGATAAACTGCCCGATTTGCATTCGCGTAATCCACTCCTTCCACCAAACCTTGACACCGCGGGCGCTCTGGAAGTAGTACCAGTACATCACAACATGTACCGTCAAGTTGAGCGTAATCGGAACCCACGAGACCGATGTGTGTCCGAGAAGCTGGGTGTAGCATAGCAAAGCCGTTGCGGGGTGATGATACGTGTGAAGGAAAGTGAGCGGCTTCTTCTTAACCATGAGGAAAACAGTATCGATCAACTCGACGTATTTGGTGAGGTAGTTGAGCTATTCCTGTCAGAACATTCACCTTCAAACAATGAACGTGGAGCTCAAAGTACTCACGTAGTACAGGGTTACCAGCTCGTCGGTCCAACCATCAGCGCCGCAGATATTCTCATAAAGTCCGTGCTTCCATAGAGTAGGTGCCAGTTGCTCAATGAAGAGAACCAGCAGACTACCACTCAGCAACGTCAAGAATAAGTTATGCGCTTTGAAGAGACCGTTCAGCTTCAGCGGCTCACGGTTGCGCATAAACTCGCGACCACCGAAGATGACCACGAGGTATAACGCGATCATGGCTAACGTCTCGTTGAGTGTAGACATTGGGGTAACCCCATCCTTGAACCTAAACTCGTTCGCATGGTATCCCATAACAGAGGTCCATAACTTGTCGAAAGCTTGCCATGGCGCGATCTTGATGACGCCCGGCGAGTTGAGAATCTCGAAAGACATTGCGGAAGGCTGACAAATGAAAAACAGTTAACTCCGAGGGATCCGAAGAGGGTTGCAGCAACCTATGTGATGAGAGGCAGACAGGACGAGTAGCTTTGGCAGAGGAAGCTTGGCTTTGATAAATAAATACGAAGTTTGCGCGAAGATCGATACTATTATAATCGGCCAGGTATCCGGATTGGACTTAAGCAACAGATGTCATACAGCTTTGAGTTGAGATTTGGTCTATAGCGTAGGCGGCGGAAATTTTAGACAAGTGCGAAATTAGAAGTTAGGCTGGGCGCTGTCAGACTGGAGCGGAGAGCGGAAATCAAGGATTGGCCCGGCCACTTGGGATGAGGCGAGTTATCCGAATTTTGGGAATTTACCGACTCTTTATTAGCTTCTCTTAGCTTCTCCACACGAATCAACTGCTTTGGCTTTTCTAAGTGTGGTTACACGATTGCCATTGCGATTGCTTTTGATGTCAATGGCTAATATACCAGATGTGGATGGATGTACTTGCTTGGTAACACAACCTGAACGCTGTTTCGGCCTGCATAACGGTATAAACATCGAACTAAGAAACCTAAGATACCTGTAGCTGAAGATTAATTCAAGGTTATCTCGATTCGCGGTGGATACAATATACAATAATACATATGACAATGTATTGATCCCATAGTCTCGGACAGAATATGGCCGGACTAAGTACACGACTATCGAGTATCCTGCATGACATGTCGCCTCCCTTTCTCAATTTGAATTTTTGGAGGCTACCAATATGTTTCACTCGCAGTTGGCATGCCCAGGTTTCTTAAGGCTTAAGTCAGCACAGCATGCGCTGGGCAGGCGGACAGGTTACAATGCATGTGACGGCCCAGATCCCTGTCTTCTGTTTTTCCTCGTACCCAGAAAAAAAATAAGCCAAGAAAAGCCCCCAAAGCCAATTCCACGCCCACACCCTCTCCCTCGGATTTTAGCATCCGGTACAATCGGCTTTGACGTGGCTGCCGACCCTGCCGTCATTATTCGCGATAAGCATTCTTCGTTCCAGACTCTCTTCTGCCATGTACGCGGTACCGTAGGGAGGTCCATCGGCCAGATCCTGCAATCCTTCTGCTGCCCTTTCCCGAAACATCGTCAAGCCCCAGGGCTGGAATGGATTCCGCACCTCAGCTCTGGAGGCTACGATGTATACCACCGCGAGGCTTTACATTAGCCGAATTTGCCACTGGACGACTAGGTACGCAAGTAACGTTTAGTTGCATGCACCAGATGCGCTCACGACCTTCAATACGGTGGAGTGGAGTGGAGCAGGGCGGCCTTCAAACTCGGGAAAGCTACGTACCGGGATGGACGGTGACAGCTCCGTGGATGACCGTAACCCATTTACGATCATACAAAAGGACTACGGGACTAAAATGGCAATAGCGTTAGCAACGGTCGATTTATACCATCGCTCGAAAACGCTCTTGCTTGGTTCCAACGCAGAGGGTCGGGCGGTATTAGCTCGCGGATATTTATTGCCTAGCGATGCGTCAGGTCGATAATTCTTTTACGAGGATCGACGTCAGAGAAACTAATAAACTAACTAATAAGCTAATTAATAAACTACATACAAGATGGCCGTTCCGAGATTGCGGGCTGAATGGGCCAAGTTCTGGCTGGCCCTTGTCAACTGATTACTCGAGGCAAAGCCCGATCTAGTTCGCGGGTTAAGCCTCAGTTTACGATCGAAGTACCTCGAGTAGCCCGAGTCGAAGGACAGCCCTCAACGTTAAGTGGGGCACGCCCCCCTAGATGTTGTCTTACACCTTTTTCACGACATGGTATCATGGCCTGATCTAGTGTACCGTTCTAGTGTATCTCCCGGCATCTCTATTCGTCGATGTATATAATACTCTTGCCGATCGATCTAACCCTGGTTGGTCTGTTAACGTCGTTATCCGTAGCTTTCCACCCGCGGACCATCTCATATACCCTTTCTACTTCTTGTAACCCTTTCTCGAGTCCTTCTTTTATCGCCATAGCCTTTGGTTGTCTGTCTACCCTTTTCCTTCACCATGTCTAAGGTTACCGCGACGCCAGTCCTGGCAGCCACGGCAGCCGCGTCTTTCTTATACGCACGTCATGCTGAGTTACCAGTTGTTTCTACTGTTGCTACAGCATTAGCTGTTGTGTTCCCTTTATATCTCGTTGTCTGGCTTAGTTGGATATACCCTTTCTACGTGTCCGAGTTGAGGCATGTCCCAACAGTACCAGGCTTCCCTCTCTGGGGTCAGTTCTTCGACATTATTTCAGAAGAATGCGGAGTACCTCAACGGAAATGGCATCAAGAACATGGCCTCATAATCAGATACTTCTTCCCCTTCGGCGCTGAACGCCTATCCATCGCAGACGATGAAGCTCTTAAGCAGATGACAGTCAAGAACCCATACAACTACCCCAAGCCAGTCCGCGCCAAGCTATGGATGGTCCGAATCTTGGGCGAAGGTGTTCTACTCGCTGAGGGACAAGAACATATCCACCAGCGCAAGTCCCTCGCTCCGGGATTCTCAATCCAAGCTATCCGCGCACTCACCCCGATCTTCTGGGAGAAATCCCTCCTCCTCGCCAAGTGCTGGCGAGATGAGATGGCCGCCGAGAAGGTCACCACCAAATCTTTCGAAGTGCTCGAGTGGCTCAACAGGACGACACTCGACATCATCGGCAGCGCCGGGTTCGGGTACGACATCAACTCGCTGCAGAACCCGGAAACCCCCATCCGGGAGGCATACCGACTCGTCTTTGCCTTTGACCTGGCCTCGCGCGTGATGCACGGGATCCAAGCCTTCGTGCCGGCGTCCAAGTACATCCCGTCGAAGATGAACCGGGACATGCAGACGTCGCGCAACATCATCCTCGACAAGGCCACGGAGATCGTGACGGAGAAGCAGGTGCAGGCCGAGAACAACACGGGCGGCAAGGACATCATCGCGCTCATCGCCCGCGACAACAAAAAGCTTAAGGCCATGGGCGAACCCGGGCTCTCGTTCGAGACCATCCGCGACCAGATCATGACCTTCCTCGGCGCGGGGCACGACACCACCGCCACCGGCGTCGCGTGGACCGTGCACCTGCTGTCGACGCACCCGGAGATCCAGTCGCGGCTGCGCGAGGAGATCAAGGACTACATGCCCTTCCTCTTCGACAAGGAGCAACGCTTCGACCCGGCGCGCGTGGCGGCCGCCGACGCCGACCAGCTGCCGTACCTGGACAACGTGTGCCGCGAGTCGCTGCGCTACATCCCCCCCATCCCGATGACGGTGCGGCAGTCGATCGCGGACGACCGGCTCGGCGCCTACAAGGTGCCCGCCGGCACCGTCATCTACGTGCTCGCCAACGCCATCAACCGGCTGCCGAACTACTGGGGCCCGACCGCGGATCAGTTCGACCCGGACCGCTGGGACGAGCTGCCGAAGACGGTGACGCCGAACGCGTTCATGACTTTCTTGCAGGGCCCGCGGGGTTGTGTGGGCCGCAAGTTCGCCGAGACCGAGATGAAGGTCCTGCTTTGCTGTTTGTTGAGCATGTACGAGTTCAAGCGCGACTTCGATACGCCGGACCCCGAGGAGTGGAAGATGTGGCGCTTGGTGTTGAGGCCGAAGGAGGGGGTTACGGTTAAGGTTACTGCTATTTAGGGCGGAGCCGGGGTTACCTACGAACGGCATTAAGGGGGGCGGGGTTTATAAGATTATGAAAGAAAGAAGGCCTTTTTTATAATACGTAATTTGTTACTAGGTACATATAAAAATATCATTTACACATCAACTACCTATCTATTCGTCTTTGGAAACTTGTGGATCGGAGAGGTAGATGATGATTTGGAGTGTGGGAGTGTTATCATACTCGGATTGACCATAAAATGTAACTAGATGGAAAGGGGAAGGTAGTTCACTTGTCGTTGGTTTTGGGTTCTGAGGAGGGCTGAATCGACAAATACCTGTTTTTGACGTAATGCTTTCCCGATTAGGGTGAAGGGACGGTCGCTGGGCGACCTGAACTTGACGTCTTAGCTTCGCGACTAGTTTCAACCGTGAGATCTTTATCTTGCTACGCCGCAACGATCTAGACATGGATCAGGAGGGGTTAGTTCTCCAAGTCTTTATCATAGCTTCAGGGGAGAGTAAATATATCCTCTTCTTAATAATTCACCATTGAGGTCATCATGCAGCGTCACCGGGAAAGTGGATATATGAATGCCCGTATGTATAGGTAGTTATCCGACACTTTAAGTACATAAATTGATCATAAGACCAGGTGTGCGCCCATACCAGATATTATTATAGCCCACGCATCGAACTCGTGGGTTAAAGTTAATATATAGGTACATGAATGAATTTGAGGTATGTTAATGACGACTTATAATATAAAACATAAGAAAGCAGGTGTGTAAGCAATTAGCTTGCGTTCTGGGTGGTCGTGGAGTTCACGGTGATGGGGTCGCACGCGGATATGCCGATGCCCTGGCAGCTGTTCTCGTTCTTTAGGTTGATATCAGGGGAGACGTTGGGGCTCAGGTCGAGCAGACTACCACCGCTGCTGCTATCACTGTTGCTGGCACTGGCACTGGCACTGGCACTGGCGGTAGTGGGAGTGCTTTCGCTGGTAGCGGTGGCGGTAGGGTAGCTAGACTGCACGGTGTCGGGCTTCTCGTCAGAGGAAGAATCGTCGCTGTTGGTAACCGTCTTGCTAACGTCAGACCCGACAGTAATGGGATCACAGGCACTAATGCCGATGCCCAAGCAGTTGTTCTCGTTGGTTAGGTCGAGATCGGGCGTGATAGTAGGGCTCAGGTTGATCAGCGAGTCATCGCCACTGTTGCTCAACTCCATTATAGTTTTAGAGGGGCTGGAGCCGGAGCTAGAGGCGTGGTCCGCCGTAGTCGAGTTAACGGTGATAGGGTCGCACACCGACACGCCTAACCCGAGACATGAATTGGCGTTCGTAAGCTTCAGCCCGAGGTCGATGACGGGGCTGATGTTGATCAGACTCCGCTTACTCTCGGCAAGGAAGGCTGGGAGGCCGTGAGCGGCGCCGGCGAAAGAGAGAACGAGGTAGGTGAAGACGTGCATGTTGGCTACCTATCTGACAAACGATCTGACGATGCCTAGACACGAGATATGCGGATCTTCCAGACTTGCAAAGAAATAATTTGTTTAGTTTCCGATTTCGACCTGATGAAAGAAGAAAAAAAAGGGGAAAGATATGTAGGTACAACGGAGATTATAGATTAGAGATCTTCAGCTCGAACGGTTTGACGGGATAGGTTAAGGTGAGGTCCGAATAGGGGCGAGGCTCTCTCTTTCGCCAGCATGATCACCGATCGGCGTCATATTGTCCTAATATGTTTCGCTCGTGGATATTTCAAACGGTCATTGGGCGTTGTGATGAGGTCTAGTGGCTGCAGTCAGCTACTAGCACTAGCTTGTGACACCTCGCGATGCCTTTCACACTGCGCTTTAATTAAGGAAACCGGCAGCAATTAAGACAATATCCCTTTTCTCTGAAAGATCTTTTATATCTCCAAGTATATCTATAACAATTGTATTAATTACTTAATAGAGTAAAGATATTCGAAATCATAAGGATCATACCAAAACACAATATACCAGATGACCTTTGGCGATGTTCTAGTTGCTGCCCAGTGCCAAAGGCACGGGGAGGCGTCACCAGCCAGTGCTAATAATCAAACTATACATATATCTAATCTGACTATCCAGCTGCTTTATTTATTTCCAGGCGACGAGATGAGCTATCACCAAGTCGCCCCCCTACTAGATGCATGCGTCCAATCGAAGGCCTAATACCGGACTCAGCTCGTCCCAAATAGGCAAGTTTGTCGACAGGGCTACCCTTGCTAGTTTGCGCTTGTGCGACCCACCCCGCTGAGCGGAAGCTGTCGGTTCCTGACACCGGAGCCGGCTCGCTTTCTTAGATTGCTTAGGACTGAAGTACTCAATACTTGTAAAACTTCGGGACGCTATGAACTCAATTCGACAGCCACCTGCAAGCCTCCCGACCAATAGATGCATGGCGCTGACGATCTTCATCCTATCATCCGCCGATGTCAGTTTCTAGGGCGCCGAAACTTGGTCCATTCTGCGATTGTCAATATGCACGCATGCATGCCAAGATACAATATACCTACATACACATACATACATACATTGCTGTATGTACCATACGAATGTGCATAATAAAGCAGCTCAAGATCGCTTCCTAAATTTCTAGCCCCCTTTGACGTGTCTCGGCCCCTCCATGCCGCCGGTCTGTCCCTTAGACAAATATGCTAATTTACGAGGTATCGGAAGATAACTAATCGATGATACGGCACTGGTGGCCGACTCCCCAGCGCTTGATTCCTGCCTATTTACTAGGCAGGAATCTAGTGCTTACCTACTAGAGTAGCCAGAGCCGGAGGCTAATATTCATGTTAGCTGTCTAGCTTCATGCCAATATTGAGTATGGGAGGATCGCTAGACAGCCTTAAAGAATCGACGGTGACAAGAAAACAGAGTGCACCATCCCATATAGACACAATCCCTTGCGTAGCGGTAGTAGGATGACTAAGGAGTATACGCAGGGTTTCAGAAAGACTCACTTTCCTTTTTCCCCTCTTTGCTGTCTAGGTAGAATATCCACCGTTAATTTTACTTCACCGTCCCCAGCCGCTAGTCATCGCCGCATCAGGCCGAAGTGACAATCACTATCACGTCCCAAGATGGCCAGATACGTGAGCAGCGCCGTAATTCTCCTGCTCCTCTTCATCACATACAGAATCGTCAAGTCCAAGCTCAAGAAGCGCCACAACGATGCCAAAGCGGCCGCTTTGGGGTGTCTATCGCCGCCCGTGCTGCGCAGCACCAACCTCATCGGAAACTCCGTTCTCCGGGAGTCCATGAGGGCCACCAAGGAGGATCGGGGACCGCAGTACGTCGCGGAGAAGATGGACAGTGTTTCGCCGTCCTGCCACACCATCAAGGTGCCCATCATCGACTACGAGATCATCGTGACGCGGGACCCGGAGAACGCGCGGGCGCTGTTCACGAGCGCGGACTTCGACATCAGCCATCACAGGCAGCTGTCGTGGATGCCGCTCCTCGGGAAGGGCATCTTCACGAGCCGCGGCGACACCTGGAAGCACAGCCGCGCGCTGCTGCGCCCGCAGTTCGCGCGCGAGATGATCAGCGACCCGCAGCTCGAGGAGCAGCACCTGGCGCACCTGTGGCGCCGGCTTCCCGCAGACGCGGCGACGGGTTGGACGGGCAAGGTCGATCTTGCGCCACTGTTCTTCAAGTTCACGCTCGACACGTCGACGGAGTTTATCTTCGGCCAGTCCGCCAACTCTCTTCTCCAAGACGAACAGAGTCAGGACTCGGAGAAGAAGAGTCTAGCGAGCCACTTCAACGCGGCGAAAGTCTGGATCGACAAGCGCGGCGCGCTAGCCAAATTCTACTGGCTGATGAACAGCGCCGAATTCACGCAGCACTGCGCCGCGATCCACGCCTTCGCCGACGGCCTCGTGGCCGACCGTCTCGCGAACCCGTACCACGCAAAACAAGACCCGGAGAAGGGCGCGCGGTTCAGCCTCCTCAACGAGCTCGCGAAAGACACCCAAGACCCGCGCGAGCTCCGCAACGAGACGCTGCACGTGCTGATCGCCGGCCGCGACACCACGGGCTGCCTGCTGGGCTGGGTGCTGTACTTCCTGGCGCGGCACCCGCGCGTGTACGCGCGCCTGCGCGCCGAGATCGTCGACCGGTTCGGCGAGACGGCGGCGCCGGACTTCCGGCAGCTGGCACAGGTCTCGTATCTCCAGTGGATCATCAGCGAGACTTTGCGCTTCGCCACCGTGATCCCGCTGAACGAGCGCATCGCGCTGCGCGACACCGTGCTGCCGGCCGGCGGCGGGGCCGACGGCAAGGCCCCCGTTTTCGTGCCTGAGGGTACGCAGGTGCTGGTCCCGCTGTATGCGATGCAGCACCGCGCTGATATATGGGGTGCTGATGTGGAGGAGTTCCGCCCTGAGAGGTGGGAGACGCATCGTCCTGGTTGGGAGTACATTCCGTTTGGGGCGGGAGCGAGGAAGTGTCTGGGTCGTGAGTATTCCCTTTATCTTCTACCCCCTTTTCGCTTACCTTCTCCCTGCGAGCTAGATGGTGATGAATGTTTGCTAATACATTTTGCAGAGCAATTTGGTCGTCAGGAGGTAGGATACGTCGTCTCGCGCTTCTGCCAGAAGTACGACCGCATTGAAAACATGGAAGAAGGTGACGGCCGGATCCGCTTACACCACGCCATCGAGAATCGGTCCGGCACTGGTGTACAAGTGCGACTGCACGAAGCGAAGGCTTCTACGTGAGTTCGTTTGTGGAGTTATAATTGGTGAGAACGGTGTATTTTAGCTTAATACCTTAATGTTTACAAGATGAATTACATGAAATTGACTGTATATACATATGTTTGCGATCCGTACAGTTTACGATTGTTTGCAATGTATCCGTGTCTTTCACGAATTTCCCCTTTTCACAGATTCTCTCGCCTCAATCTCTCTCTATCCATTCGAATCGGAGGGCCACAATCAACTAGAGAATATAATTACAGGCGATAATCGCTACATCTCAGAATCAACGACACACTCGGTTGTATCCATGGACGGTAAGTCACACACGGGTTGTTTCCTACGCGTTAAGACCTGATACGTACAACCTCGAATACAGGGTCGTTTCACTCGAGTAGCGCATAGATCTAGTTAGATAATCAGTTGAGTGCCCTGAACTCTTACTAGTGTCCTTATCTATTGGTTACTTCTAACGGTTTCCTTATAGATTGTTACCGTCGATACCTACCTAGCTAGGTACGGTACTAATTCCTCACGAAGTAACCATAGTAACCTACAACTTGTGGTACTCGTCCCGAGACAGATCTCGCCCGGAGTTCTCAACTAGTGCCTCATAACAAAGCCAAGATACAGCAAGCTTGAACTGACAGCTGAATAATCTGACCGAACGCCTCCGCGGTTCTCAGCTCTGCTGTTGAGGCTGCTGATAACGATCCCATCGAAGATTCCCGAATAACGGCTACACAGACCGGATCGGGTCCTTGGGTCGATCTACATACGGTAGTATATGCGCTGCTACTACGGCTGCAGACGCCGCGAACGCCGCCGCTAACCATATCGACATACCAAAGCCGACAGACACTTTCCTACCGGCCGTACGACTTAGCGGGCGCCATCTCGGAGAATACAACGATAGCTCCCGCGTAGTACATAGGTTAGTGTCATAAGTTCGGAGAGTTATCGTGTGCTACTTTCCATCCTGTGACCACCTACGTAGGTGTAGGCAGCCACCTCTATTCTAAGTAAGTAGGTAGAGCAACAGGTATCCAGCCGTTCGTATGACCGGCGTCCTGCACGCCATCTCGCGCCGTCAAAGATACGTAACGCACGTTCGGATGGGAAACCGGGCTGGCGGCGACGGCGATGCAGACGCCTAGAATGCTTCCGAAGTATCTGCACAACACGATCGATAACATCGGGGCTTTTCTTTCTCACGCACGTGCCTACTACTCTCCGCATCGCCAAGGACGATGCTAGTAAATTGCGGCGTGAGGCTGTCCGTGATAGCCCCGATGGCTTGACCAAACAGAATCGGATGTAGAAGTGTAACAGTGAATACGAGGACAATGGAGATAGAAGCGAGAGGCTACTCCATGTGCGTCCCTAAAATGCAAATTAGCATATTGCTTGAGGCGACTTGAGGCAACATGAGGCGAAATAATATGTCAGCACTTTGTAATATTCTTCACCATCACCCCCATGCTTGCTCTAGCCACACGGATACCTACACCGTGGTAGCGTTACACCGCAGTATCCCGTAAGCGTGGCCTAGTTCCCATAGATCCCCAACTCTTGGAAACGAACTGGATCTAAACTCGATCTTCGCTAAGCTATTGTCGGCAAGGTGTCTTTTCGAGATATCGAAAAGCAAAATGAAACTTGTATCTTGGATGTAGTTCATACATACATATTGGCGTTTATATTGCAGGTTATAGTGGCAATATTTGCCATGAACCAGAGGGGCTATTGCACATCGTCTCTGCTGCCATAGTCCGTTACGAGATAGTCTAAGTCGAGTCTCGGGTTTTGCAAATGTTGAACTACCTACCTAGGTATGTATGCGATCAGATCAAATGTTTGGCCCTCAAGGTAGACGATATAATACGGACGAATGAAAGGGCAATATCTAAAAAAAGAAAAAGTAGCGGTTTAGGGCGATCGTAGCCAGCTACACAGTAAGCTCAGGGAATCAGATATCGACACCGTTGAAAAAAGCGGGCGATCGACGCTGCTGAAGACTTCTAGGCTAGAATACCTAGCACAAGGAATTGCACAATACAGCCCAGCGATGATTCAATCTGCAAGTAATCCTCCAGGCCACGCCGTGCGCTACATCAGCACCGTGGCGTGAATTCCCACGTTTTCCCTACATAGCTGCACTTTGACACTTGACATTGGTTGCGATCCGGAACCGTGCCTTCGCATAGACGTGATCGAATTAAGGGCGTCCTGACCCCGTTCTCGTGGCCTGATTACCGCGAAACAACTCTCAATAGGGATAAAACCAGTTGCACCAGCTGAGCCTAGAGCCTGCGCAGGAGCCAACGAACGATGGCGAAAATAATTAAGAGGCATGACCCTTAAGCAACAAAGCAGTTTGTGAGAATAGCCCCCGAATAGGGAATCGTGTACAATTTAGTCCCTGTCCAAGCCTCAGTGCTTGCTTGTCTCCGTGACGTGTTCGCCCTTCTTGAACCCGCCTTACCTCGACACTTTACCGCGCTACCACGCTTTTACCACCCAACTTCCCACCAACGCCAACCCGAAAATAGCCTAGAAGCTCGCACTCGGGAGATCGCCAAGACTGCGACGCCATAAGACACACGACTCGCATAAGGGAACCGGCTCCTTCGGCTTACTTAGCAGTTACAGCGCCCTCATTAAGGCAGGTACGGGGAAACCTAACATTTGCTGCCTTTGTTTACAGAATAATTCTCGTCGTTTCGATTCGATTGACATTGCTCCCTTTACCCATGGCGCAGGGGGAAAAATGCAGCTAAGGAACTAAGCACTTTTGTGAGGGGGCAGTGCTGACCATGCTAACAAGCCCTGTTAGCCCATGCTGCCGTGTTTAGTCTAATACCGGTAGATTAATGTATTCAAAGCAATATCCTCTATGCGGCTCCATGTCGCGCGCTGAAACCCGCTGAACGGAGCCCTAGCAGCGTAGCTGCCCCTCTGCCCCCTTAAAGCCCAGTAAAAGCTACCTACCTGATAGGTACTATTAGTAGAGCTAGAACACTGCACCGTCATAGTCCGAGACTGGCAAAAGCCAGACATGTTCCTAGCCGGTTGTAATTCGTCATAGTTCTCGCAGTTGTGAAAACAATTACCTGTTACGAGACTTGACATGGCTGAGCTGTCTAGAACATTTTTCCTTATCCAGTCTTTTTCTCAGAAACAGAGATTGCTCTATTGTCCGTTTAATAGTAGGACGTGCTCACTTTGTATGTATCGATGTGAGTAAGCCCATCCGAGACTACCGCGTAGGGTATCGATCAACGCCGCCGTCGACCTCCGGCGATCCACTAACACCAAAAACATGATTCATGACGAAAAACGAAAAAGTCTAGAAAAGTGAAAGGTCTTTCGGCAAAACAGCAGGGGAAAATATTGGGGGGAATGGGATTTGACAGTGTAAGACAATAAGCAAGTATCGAACGGCTCCGCAAAGAAACGGAAGACAGCCGTCATTTGACGTTTGGCACTAAGGCAGTCCAACCCTGGGGCAATGATCGTCCCTTAATGATGATGCGCCTTGTAGCCCAACACGTATCCAATGGAGTGGGAGCAGCGGGAGCAAAGCTTTTACGTACCAAGCCTGGCAAAAACCTGCCCGCCGAAATGGCTTTTGCAAGGGCACGGCTAATTAAAATCCGGGGGGGCTGTATCCCTCATTTAACCCCTTGATTGGTCGCCCCCGGGTGTGGCTTATGTGAGATTGGGAGTCCTCCTTTCACTCCTCCAGATGTATAAAGAAAAGAAATATTCTCCCTAGAGTTGACCCAATAAATTCTCCCTTCTGCACACGGGACTATTTGCAAATTCTCAAGGCGTCAATACTACCAACCAACTCCATCAAAACCAGTCAACATGCGTTTCACCACCGCAACCCTTCTCTCCGCCTCCCTGGCCGCCGCACATGTCGTCCGGGACCCGATGATCACGCCGGCCCCTATGCTAAGGGAACGTCAAAACTGGCAGGAGGCTGTTTCGGAGGCTCTCGCCATCGCCAGTTCCGCGGAGGCGTACGCCAGCTCAGTCGCCCAGGCGTACGAAAACGACCCGAACGCAGCGGCAGCTCAGAGCTCTGCTCTTGCCGTAGCCAGCTCTGCTGTCGCCGCGGCAACCAGCCTCGCTGCCCAATGGGGCGCCGCCAACGGACTTGAGCAGCGCCAGGACTGGCAGTCGGTAGCTAACTCGGCCGAAAGCCTGGCCACCTCCATCGCCAGCGCCGGTCAATCGGTCGGCCAGTCCATTGCCAGCGACGCGCAAAGTTTCGGCCAATCCGTCGCTAGCAGCGCCGCCGCTGCCGGTACCTCTATCGCCAGCAACGCTGAGAGCTTTGCCTCGTCAGTTGCCAGCTCTGCCGGAAGCCTCGCCTCATCGGTTGTCAGCAGTGTCGAAAGCAAGGGCACCAGTGCCGTCTCGGATGCCCTGGCTTCCGCTAGCGCCGCCGTTAGCAGCGCTGAGAGCGTTGCTGCTACCGCCACCGGCACTGCTGCCTCCATCGCCTCTTCCGCGGTGGCCAGCGCTCACTCTGCCGCTTCTTCCGCTGCGTCTGTCGCTACCGCGGCCTCATCTGACTCCTCGTCGTCAAGCTCTACTGCTACCCCTACCGGCAACGCTGCCGTCCACGTCTCCGGCTCTATGATGGGCACGGGAGCCGCCGCCTTCGGTGTTCTCGTTGGAGCTATTCTTTTGTAAATAAGCGGTTTAACTGTACCTGAGACCCAACCTGGGAAAGGGATGGTCTTCTGTCATTTAGATTCTAGAAGGATAATTCTAGAGGTGTTTGGGATATACGCCTGGCTGTCTTAACTTGATGAGTTATACTATATACCACACACAAATTGGCATTGTATGAGGGATTCCTGGTGCAAGGATGCTTTTACGTGAGCCCATAGAATTGATGTCAAGGAGGTGGTGCGACAAGAAAATGAGGACAACCTTGATTGTTGAATAGTATATAATAGACACTTGAATGGTTCACGCCTCCGAAATGATTAGAACGTATTTTGAAGTGATGCTTCTAAATGTGCCTTGTCGAGTGTTTGCTTACCCCACGCAAGTGTTTTTAAAACCTATGCCAACCAGAACTTGAGCTGATTATGACAACTGACGGTCCTTTACGCAAGGACATCTAACACTGGAAGATACAAAATGAAATATTGATGAAATGTTTGATTAAATGTGAAGTTTAGAGTTGACAGTTTCAACAGCTATCCTGAAACGCTTATGTAATATTCGCATAGCCCATTCTGGCTTGATAAACGATAAAATTGGAGTTTAGACAAACATTGAAGGCTTGGCAAGCAATTAACGCGAACTAAACGCGCTATAAATTTAGCGGGGTTCGCGCTACGAGAAAGCGTTCCACAGCGCGACAGGTCGCGATTCCCAGCCACTCGCGATTGTCAATTACCAATTGGTACCAATAGATAAAGTGCCATGGATACAAAGTACACGCTCATTTAATCCTCAACCCGCATTCTCCATTCGTCAATTCAACCTTCGAAAGCCTTCTCACTTCCATCTCACCTCATCACAAACACCATTCTTACAATTCGTCTCTTAGTAGCTAATTGCTTTTCGTCTCAACGTACCTAATCATCCCATACTCCGATAATATTCACCCACAATCTAAGTTCACCAACTCCAAATCAGACAAAATGGTCCTCAAGCGCAAGCGTTCCGAATCCGAGCTCTCCTTCAGCTCCTCCAGCGCCTTCAGCTCGCCCACTCGCCTAGACCAATTCTCAGCAATGGACATCGACACCTCGCCCATCCGCATGTCTTCTTCGTCGCGGAGCTCGACGCCCGCACATCTGCACAGCCGAACCCTAAAGCGGTTCCGCGACAGCCGGCCCTCGGACGAGGAGATCCACCGTAAGTTCTACGAATGGCGAGCCTCATGTCACCGCTCCCACCATCCGTCGAACCTCTTCTCACACCATCCTCTCGCAGAACGAACCCTGAACATGCTGTACACGGCGCAGAAACAACACATCGCGCACCAGACCCAGCAGCAGCACTTCCAACTAACCCACAACGCCCTCGCCGCGCAGCCGCCTCGTCCCCAAGCCCAGGTCCAAGCACAGGCCTCGCTCCACAACTTCTGGAAACTCCCTACCAGCAGCGCGGCTCCGGCCAGCGTACCCGGCACCACCACGCTAGCTCTCATCGACCACGCCGCGTACAGCGAAGGGCCCGCCAACTGCGAGGACTGCGGGCAGACGCTGCGCGAGGGAGGAGGAAGCGGGGACGAGGCGATGGACGTCGACGGTTTCGGGGCGGAGAGTAGCACGGGGTGTGGGTCCTGCGGCAAGCATGTTTGCTCGCATTGCTCGATCACGAATTTGGGCGAGCAGCGGAGGTGTTTGATTTGTGCTGGGAAGAAGGTCTGGGTTGGGGGGCTTGGGTGGGCTGGGATTCAGAGTTTGAAGGTTTGTTGATTGTAATGTGAAAAAGATGAGTGGCCTGGTAAGGGGACTTGTGAAAAGAGGTCATTGTTGGTTGGGAAGCTTTAAAGAAGTATTGGCATTGAAGGGTAAGCAAGGAGTTTGGGCGAACACGTGGGGATATATATGTCTTTCGGGTACAGCATTCGGATGCTGGTTGTTACTAGTTCCTAATGCGAGGCTTTATGTTGTATAACAAGAACAACTCTTGCTGGATAGATGTGAACCTGATATGAGAGGTTCAAAAAGAATTCATATAGTACCAGCTGTTCTTCTGCCCCTAAACTCTAGACTAGGGTGAACGTATCGGAACCATGAAGTTCTCCATATGTTATATTGCTGAGGGAATATAACATACATTGAGAGTTCAAGGGGAGCCAATGGCGGTCCCATTATATATTATATGAACAAGATATAATTATTCCAATTTTATGATTTACTACTTCATCAACATTCCATTTAATCATTATGGTAGGGCCTCGGAGCATAGCAATGAGTAGATGCCTTCCCATGAATTCTACCAATAGGGCATATGCGCATACAACCCAGGAAGACAACTTACAATTTTGGCAAGATAGGTTACGACAGCAAAAAATTTAAATTATTCTACATATTGACGATGCGGTTGAAGGTAAGGCATTAAAGAATGCTGACCTATTGTATTGATACAGAAGGATACATGTTATCCTTGAGGCTAGCAGTCTGGCAGTGCCCCTGAATGAATCTCGAGCTCCCCCTCAACATGAGAATCTCTTTACTAACTCAGTCGTAAATCCATCTTTTCCTTCGACCTCGGCATACTCTATCTCGAGGCTAGAAGTAAGCGGTATACGGGTTCTGCAGTGTAATCCTTCCGTTATGTAAAAGAATGAGATCGGGGTTTCATTGATGCGATATGCACACATGGATATTATCTGAGATCCAGGTCCCAGTTCTATTTATAACGAAGGGAGATCGTCCCTCGGTTGTTTCATAGAAGCTTGTAAGAATCCTAAGAAAGATCGGGTTTGGGGTCTTCTGCATATGTACTTTTGGTGATAGCTGAACTATCCGCCAAAATCCTATTGGCAATCTTTTGGTGCCAGGATCTGGGCTCAGAATCTCACAGCGGCCCAACCTGATATCAAGTAGGACTTAGAGGGTCCTTTTACAAAAGGTTCTGATGATTTTCGATGTAAACGGTGAGGGTTTGTGTCGAAAGGGGGAATTTTGCGAATCCAGTCTATCTAAACTCACTTGTAGATCACGTAATGTTCAGTGGGTTAGTTGAGGGAATCAAGTTAGGGAAGCGAATCGAACGGTAGGTTATGTACAAGCCCAAGGGCTACGGAGGCAAGGAACAGAAGGGGGCCAAGTCAAGTATGAATTTTCATTTGATATCTGCTACCAGATGTTTGACTATCGCCATAAGGCACATGCCTAGGTACCTAATGAACCAAGGATAAAGGTCCTTAGATACCAAAAACTGCCAGTGCCTTGGTGACCGTATTTCCCCACTCCTCTACCTGCTCGTCGATCTGCAGCTTCAAGTGCGTCGTTTCCGAATACTGTTCGGCTACACTGACCTCGATAATCGCCCTCACATGGTCCGCGATCTCCTGCATCGCCTTCTGGCGCGGCGACGTGTATTCCACCTCGTCGGGAAGCGGTTTCACGCCCCTTTCCTCGCAGCGCTGCGCGAACCTCTGCACAAGCCGCTCCTTCTCCGCCTTGCTCTTCTCGGTGCGGTCGCAGTTCCAGAGAAACGCCTTGCGCGGGTTCCACTTCGGCGCCGGCACCACGCCGGAGAACTCCCAGTCCAGGATCGCGGTGATCTTACCCGACGCTTGGTCGTACATGATGTTGCCGAAGTGCAAGTCCTTGTGGGCGAGGATGAACCGGGTCTTGTTGAGTTCTTCGGCATGCCTATTCAGAGCGCCTAGGAAGAGCTTGAGTGAATCCGCCTGGGGGCGATAATACTCGAGTCTGTCGTGCAGTCGAATGAGACGAATATACAGCTTGATCTGGGCTGTTATATAGTCCACATAGGTTCTAAAAGGACCGCCGATGTTCAGGGTGTGTATTGTCTCGCCGGCGGGCCATGATGAGGTTTGGTGAGCAGTCCAGAAATTTTCGTCCATTACCCGTGATACGTGAAAATTACCCTCCCCGTCAATGTTTATGCCGCCAATCTTATTCCATCTGTGAGAGTGTAGTTCGACGAGAAAATCCGCCAGTTGGTCTAAAATTTCATCCATTTGCTTGTCGTCTAACTGTTGCAAAATGTCATATAGGGGCTTTCCTGGGATACGGGGTAATAGTGTGTATTCGTAACCTAACGGATTTTGATCTGAGGATTCGTATGATATTAACTTTGGGATTGGGATCTCGGTATGCTGCGAGATCCACTTCATGACACCAGACTCGTTTTCGGTCTTGATTCTAGGCCAGCAATCTACAGCAACACGGAGGACCAGCCCATTAGAATAAACTCTATCGGCAGCCTTTTTGCTAGGTGGTAATGTTATCATGTAGATAGCATGGTAGTTGGCATCCACCTTGGGGACTATGATATTCGTTGCCTTTGGTAAGCCGATGTTCACTAATAGCTCGTTGATGGCATCATTAGATATTTTCTTTGGAAAGTATTTTGTTGAAGTTGACATGATGAACAATGTACATCATCAAGATGCAGCTCTTTAAGAGGTGGTAGTGAATGATCTCCCGTGTGCCGATGGAGCAGAGCTCACTTTATATACCCCGCCGGAATCTAGTTTGTATGTAGCCTTCTCCTGTCAGCAAACGTAGTAGATAGACAGATTGCGAAATCCAGTAAAGAAAACAGGTAAAAACATACTATCAGATTGAAGATATAATATCGAATGGTTTGATAAACACACTTAGGTACCTAGTCATGCGTCTACGGCGAAGTAGGTGCTGATATGGATATTCTTACCTTCGCTCGTTTCCTCTCTTTCCTTCTTCTCCTTGAAAATTCTAACACCAGATATTATAAGCATGGCTCTGGATTAATTCAATCACCGAATGATACTTTAACACTTCAAACCATTCTTCCAACTGTCTCGTCTCGACAAGACCTCCCTAGGTAAGCGTGAGGTTTGTTGACCGAATAGACCTCCGGCGTTTCGGGTCAGTGTCCGCTAGACAGGCCCACATCGGATCCCGGGCCACCGGGACGTTCAATATCGCATCGGATCTTCAAGCCAACACCAATGGGGTATTGGCCCCTTATCCGGGACTTTTCGATGATGGCTCAGGCGCGGAATATAAGTTCCGTTGTATCCCCTGCTTCTAATTGGTTCTTGAAGGCCGTGCAAACGAGGAGCAACTGACCAAGTCGCCGAGAAGCGTCGTCGCCTGAAGTAGACTGGTAGGGGAACATTACGACTCGATATCGATGGGCGATACAGGCGCGATTTGAACCAGGCCGAACCCTCTATTTTCTTGTCGTCGCATGAAGTCCTAGATGATAAGTAAGGTAAATATGATTTCGTATGCTCCTTTACCAGAACTCCTCGATTTCCCCCAAATCCGGCGCTTCATCGTGGATGAAGTTATAGTTCATTCAAAATAGCTTACGGTGCATGAGATTAGAATGCCTGTGTGATCCGAATAGCAAGAAGAGTAAGTTGGGCTCAGCCCTTAGCCACATCATATTCACGGAAAGACCTCTTCTATTCATTGATTTTAAGTTCCTCTACTTTAGCAGGAGCGATCCATACTTGAATTCGATGTGGCAGTCGTGAAGCATAGGCTTGCCTCGGATAATTTTTGAATTAAAATATGATCGGAGAACAAAGTACCTGTTCAAGGTTCTCTAACCGGCGTCGTGCTAATCTATATCCTCTCTCTGTATATAAGTCGACTCTGGGCTTCCGTCAGTAACGGGGTCTGATGGTTGATTTAATGTGCACCTAATGGTTTGCACTCTCTATTTAATTGAATAACACAGGACGCACCTTTTTTACACCATTCTTTCTGTTTTTTGTAGCTCGTGATTACTTCGCTGTCTTCAACATGCATCCCCTTTGGCCCTACTTGCCACCTACTTCATCTCGTTCAGAGATACCACGACGGGATGTATTGTCACCCGCAAATGTGGCACCTGCTAGATCACCGTTACCAGAGAGTATGACTCTATTACAGGAATTCCAACAAGATATTGCTCATGCCAAAAGAATGGCGCCGCCCCGTTCCACGGCCGGGTTGTACAGAATTGCCTGTTCGGTGGAATTACTGTTTCTTATAGACACGACCGGGTCTATGAAACCATATATAGACGCTGCCAGGAAGCAAGTCCGGGATATAGTTGCCGAAGCTCAAAAAGCTTTCCTCGAAGAAGCCCTACTCCGTGTTGCAGTGGTAGGATACAAAGACCATGCAGATATCCCCAATATTCAATTCCTCGATTTCACTCCAGATACGGTTAGAGTGAAGCAGTTCTTAGATACTCTTGTCGCTGCGACTGGGGGCGGTGGCGACTCAGCTGAAGATGTCCTCGGCGGCATTCGACAGGCAACCAACGCCAGTTGGTCCCAGGAGGCGCGTTGTATCGTCCATATCGCCGATGCGCCTCCACATGGTCGTAATCTGCACGATATGACGGGTAGCGGTAGAGATTGTTATATCGAGCCTGGGAGTGAGCCGCATCGGCTCACCTATGAGCCACTCCTCAACCAGCTAGTCCGTCTGAATATCAACTACGCGCTACTACGTATCAGTAGAGATACGGATCGAATGGCCTCAGCCTTCTCGACAGTATACAAGACGGCCCACGCGGAAGTCCAACTCCACCAGTCCAACCGCTATTACGGGGACTTCCAAGCCGGTAAAGCTTTTGGGAGTAGGGCGTATGTGAAGAACAGTGTTGCTGCGGTGTTGCAATTCGAGGAGCTAGAGCTTGGCACGACGTTCCACTCGCTCAAACATTTAGTAGGCAAATCCATCAGCAGCTCAGTATCTCGGACAGTAGGTCGTTTATCGAGTTACGGAAATGTGACTACTGGCAAACGTACGAAACCGCCAGCTCGTCTTACTGTCGTTGGTGAGGAGGAAATTCCCATGATGGTTCCCGTGGAGAACCTTTCGCCACAATGGGACAACCATGGCTGGTTCGATAAGAGACTAGTAGTCGAGGGCCTATGTCCGGACTTGGTTATGCACAGCGCCGCTACGTTTTATGATATGATGACACAAGACGACCAAATGGGACTCAGTCCCATCCAACTAGTCATCGAAGCGCGATCGAAGCCATTTAGTCAAGGTGCGATGCGCACAGCAGCTTATGCGCGCATACCTTCCTCCACCGGCCGTTTTGTAGTGAAGTCTTTCAAGAAGCAGGGCGCGCAGATTGCCAATTTGGCGGAGCATATGCAGTGCCAGGCTATGTGCAAAGCATTTGCGATCGAGTTTAATGCCTTGTTAGGTGGCCTGTATCGCGAATACTCCATTGACTTCATCATAACAGCGGCATTGACAAGCAAGTCGTCCACGGGCGTCCGACAAGAGTACATCTCGCTTGAGCCCTACATCAATGGAACTTACGTCAAATATAACGGCAACCAAGGCTATGTCAATGATAATAATTTCGACCCATCCAACCAGGCGGCACAGGCGTTCTCGCACTTTACTTTCGAGCGCTCACAGGGTCAACTTTTGGTCAACGACTTGCAAGGTGTAGGCAACTTACTAACTGATCCTGCTATTCAAACGAAGGACAGAAACAGATTCAAGCTGTGTGGTACGAACTTGAATGAGGAAGGTTTCAAGTTCTTCATGGCTAGTATGTCGTTTCCAAATTCTATAATGACCCCTATGATACGATATCATCCCATCATTATTCTAGCCCAAAAGGGCCATTTGCTAACTCGATTTAATCGATAGCGCACAATTGCAACCATCTATGCCACTTGCTACGGTTGAGGAGCAATAAAGCAATGCTCAAGGAAGGCGGTATTTTGCAGTTTAGGACGTACTGGCCGAACGTGGAGAGCATGAACTACTGCTCCAACAAACTATGCCGCCGGATCTTGCACAACGCCGCCGATAACAAGTCGGCTATATACCCAGGTTACTGGTGCGATTCGTGCAAGCCGCAACTATATTCAACAATAGAAAAGAGGATATGCCTAGAACTTGGTCAGACGCATAGACATGATCTTTCTAAGTTCTTCCACGAGTCTCAAGGTGAAGCACTACCGTCTAAGTGCCCTCTTCACCCTAACGCAGACCTAATTGAGCCTAGACCTATTGGATTCGGATTTCCTCTTGGATTTTATCTTTAGAAAGAGTTAATAAAAATGTTTATGTTTTCCACACGGAGTGTTTTATATCAAAAGAATTGCAACCAGTGACATGACGAAATGACGACGAACTAGGGTAGCCCTCCCTACATCCCCTACGCGATATTTGTAAAGAGTTGACGTGTAGCAATTATACCTAACTACATCCTAGCCACACCTTACTAGCCCCACGTGCCACACTTTCCTAGGCGTTTACACAGGCCCACCTAAGCTTTCCGATAGAAAAGGATTAAGGAGGATAGAATGTTGTATTGTTGTTGGTTTTCTAAGCTCTAAAATCTCCTGCGGAGATTTTAAATACCTCCCACAGTACAAGTAGCACTTTCCCAGCTTGTACATCTTATCTAGTACGGACACACAAGAGCCCGCCCCGGGCGACTCTTCCTTCAATATAAATCCCATTCTCGAGGAAACAACCACACAACCCGAAACAAACTAATCCTCACACAACCCTAACGAACCCACAGAACACAGCTCCCACACGCCGGACAGGCTAGACACCCGCGGGCCACCGAAATAGGTCGGGTCCCTCCACTGTTCACCCAAATCCCCGGGACAAAACCACAGCCGGGAGGGGAACGAACGCAAGGATAATACTAGTGGGAAAGCAGACATCGACGGGCCGAAACGGCAATGAGAGGAACAGCGGCAGCGGTAGCGCGGCAGACCGAACGGACGACGTATATTGATGATTTTTTGATGGCGGGGAGAACGGTGCTCCCGAGACGACAGAGGCCACAGCGGCGAGACAGGGTTCTTTTGACTTTTGAACCAACAACGAGAGTAGATATTGATGTTGCTTTTAAACGAGTGACGATTGATTAGAATGCTGTAACGATATTCCCATGCGTAGATTCTGGTGTGGGAGGCACCAGAAAAGAATTAAGGAGGATAGAATGTTGTATTGTTTAAGTTTTTCTAAGCTCTAAAATCTCCTGCGGAGATTTTAATACCTCCCACAGTGCAAGTAGCACTTTCCCAGCTTGTACACTCCATCTCCGATAAGGCATTCACGCGGGGCAGCGGGGTAGGTGCTACCTGGTGTTGATCAACAGGTACCCGGACCTATCCGATGTCGAGACTCTTGGGCTTAATGTGTAATGTTCTTACCTTCCCTCGGCTCAGTTAAGTGTAGCTGCCACATCGCCCTCACCCTTCTCTTCGACTCTTCTTCAAATACATAACGCTAGATATTCCACGGGGCTACTCTAACGTTAACAATGAAGCTGAAAGGAACTCGAGAGGCTAGCCATGCTGACAGCTGGTACGATGGGGATCCCGATAGCTTGTCCGGCCAGCTCGACGAGTTCCTGAGTCGCGTGCCGGACTCCATCGACGGGAACGGGCTCCCGATCCCCGGTGCCAAGGTCGTGATCGCGCCGTAGGTTCTCTTTCCTACCTACCTTCCGTTGTCACTACGAAAAGCCTAACTCTGGCAACGCTCAAAAGGCACGCAGGCTATTCATACTCGGGGCCGTGTGCGGCCTGGGCGTATAAGTCTCTCGACCTAAGCAAAGCCAAGCGGGTCTTCGTCCTTGGTCCCTCACACACGTACTACCTCCGCGGATGTGCCCTGACCAAGTTCGCAAAGTACGATACGCCATTCGGCGAGCTGACCGTCGACGAAGAGGTCGTCCAGAAGCTGCGCGACACGGGCAAGTTCCAAGACATACCGAGCAGAGGAGACGTCGACGAGCACTCGCTGGAGATGCACCTTCCATATATCTACAAGCGCATGTCGCAGACCTTCGAGTCCGAGGCACAGTATCCCACCATCGTGCCTATCCTCATCGGGGACAACAACGGAGCGGAAGAGAAAGAGTTTGGTAAGCTGCTGGCGCCGTACCTGAAGGACCCGGACAATGCGTGGGTCGTGAGTTCCGACTTCTGCCATTGGGGCTCGCGGTTTAGCTATACGGCTTATGCGCCGGAGGGCAAGGTCGACGAGATACAATCTCTCAGCCGGAGAGTGCCTAAGCCGACGAACCCGCCTATACACGAGAGTATCAAGCAGGTCGATCACTTGGCCATGGATGCTGTTGAGTCGGGTGACCACAGCAAGTTTGTGGACAACCTCAGACATACTAAGAATACGGTCTGTGGACGACACCCTATCGGCGTTACCATGGCTGCCTTAGAGGAGCTGGCGAAGGAGAAGCCGGAAACCGGCAAGTATCGCTTCAAGTTCGTGCAGTATGATCGGAGTAGTCTCGTTGAAGACGTCACCGACTCAAGCGTGAGTTATGCGTCTGCCTATGCGATCGTCTGAAGGAAGGGATAGAGGATGAATAGGTGGCTGAAGGAGAATTAGTGATAGATGAGCTCACGCTCCATTTGCTAGACAGACATGCGAATGTCCATGTGAATTCATGAGGACATTCAATTCACGCCATTTTTCTTCCTTACCTACCTACCTAGGTATACATGAGGCTCACTCGATTTGCCGTCTCATCCGATGCAATCATTGTAAAAAGAGAAGCCTAGAGGGGTATAGTACACCTCATCAAGGGTCCCGGTTTAGGAGCGTTTTCACTCGTATTGCTTGTATAACATCGAAATAGTGTTGCCTATAGCCTCATATTAGCAGCATGTGGTCTCTTTGATCTGCTTTGTATGTATACTTAGTACTCGAAAAAGACCTACAGCATACCTACCGTACTCGCTAGGCTTGAATACGTGATATATGACGAATTGTGTAACAGCGAAGATAATATCCGTAAATATTGACGAATCAGAATTCCTGGAATGCGAACCACATACGAGACTCGGTTCGACCGCTCGAATACTACTTGTTGATCATAGCTAGATTCGAGGATAAGAACTACTCGACGGCGTGGCTTGTGGCGGCTTCCTATAATTGTGGTTTGTATATAACTATATGTCGGTGCCTAAAGCCTGAGGCTTGCACTGCCAACACCGATGCGTCTGTTTTAGGGTATCGATGTAACCCACTATGCAGGCGGTTTTGCGTGAGCTGATTGTTGAATAGAACCTGATCGGTCCGGGCAAGACGGAAGAGCCGCTTGAGAGTCGATTCCGATTTGATGGGACGAATCGGAAAATACACGACCTGGATTGTGCGGAGAAGAGGTAGCACTTAGTATTGATCAGCGACAGGATCAAAACATATGCTGTTGAATGGCACCGAATATGTCAATGGTATAGGTCGATCTGACACTTTGGCCGTGATCTCCAGTGTCATTTGTGTTACTTGGACAGGCAACGAAGAATTCCCATCGAATCGTGTGATCCGATCCTAAGACATTTGATATTTTCCGAAATTCTCCTGCCGAAGTTTTGGATACGGCTAGCTTGCGCTGTACCCCATATTCTCAACGAGAGCGTGGTTGCAAAAAGAAATGCACATTTAAAATAGCGGCTGTGCTTCGCTGGCGCTGGCTGGGTTGGCTAGTGCTGCCAGTGTAACCTCAGCTGGGCCATTTTTAGATCTGTGTCGCTCGAAACCCCCGGTAAGTTACTACCTAGAGGATGACGATACACTAGAGCAACACGTTCCAGAGTCTTACCGCTACTGCACTATCCGAGTTATGTAAGACGGCCGATGTTGCGAGACAATATCCATATCCCTTTAACACGCATATTCTAGAAACCTGTGCAGCTGTGCCGCCTTGGTAAAAGGGATAGACAGCAGGTATTAAGTTGAAGTGGTATTTGAATCGATGGTTTAAAGATGGATTAAAACAGGGAAGAGGTAATTTTGGTTGTTGATCACTGCCACCATGCCACCTTGCCAGGGGTTCTAGGGGTCGTAGGGGCTTCTCAACAGCATGCTATCTGTTAGTTAGGCTAAGCTAAGAATATTGCCCTGCCATTCAATCTTACTTGCAGGCACAGTAGCCGGAGAATGGAGACGTAGGTGGATTCAGTCATAGAAAATTTAAGAAAATTCCTATCAAAAGGTAACATAGTGTATGAAAGAGCCCGGATTTCGCATTCTATTCCGCATGCTAGGCATCTATGTGACATACTACTAGTAGCATGCACGGAGTAGAGATTCAAAGGATAGAATTATGCATGTCAACTTGGGGGACTCTCGCATCGAATACTCCCGTTAGAGATTGGGTCGTCATGGCTGTGTCTGCAGAAACAAACTTGCCAATGATTGGTCGAGACACCGCCCTACGATACGATGAACCGTTGTTACACGTACCAGGGCATGTACGTATATTGCCGAAAGGGGTTACAGAGCCACTGAAAGTACTCCACCTGTCGAACCAGTCCCATACGCAGCACATCCCAGTCAACATCCCAGTCCCCAGACCTTTTTTAGCCTTCAAGGTTCAGCTGTCAGATTAGCACTTTTCGAAAACAAACTAAAAGAGCCCTTCTCCTTCTTTCATTCTTTCCTACGTATCCAGTAGAGGTCATTGTAAACTTTGTGATATTGATTTCATAACTCCATTTAATACAAACTTTAATACTACTTCTTTGTGTTTTTTTCTTCCTTCGAAACATACACGAACATTGATATCTTGGGATCAGCACGAAGAAAAAGGGTTACCGACACCGACTAACCATCCTTTCGGAATAGCCCTTTAACCTCCCTAGTACAGAAACCACCAGGGAGGCGCCATGAGTGTAAGAAATTCACCCCTTGAGTGTTTCAACACTCGACCATCCAGACCAGAGCCCCAATCTTGCATTTCGTTCCTTTCTTAGAACTACAATCTTCTTTTTCAAACATCAATTCTTCAAAATTTCACTACTATCAACATACAGACAAAACACTAACATCATGGCGCAGTACGGGTTAGTTACCCCCTTTTTCGACACAACTCCAATTGCAACTGTGATACGGTTCTGGCGACTGACACGAGCATTGATATAGGTACGGCGGACAACAAAACCCCTTCGACCAGCGGGGAGATGCTGGAAATGGTGGATATGGTGGAGGAATGCCGTCGCGACCAAACTACGGACCAGCAATGGGTAGGGACGACTATGGCTGTATGTTCTTACGTGACATACGCTTGCCTACGTAATTGCTAACAGATCATAGCGAACAACGTCGAGATGGCCTCGCTTACCCAGAACCCCGGCTCCTTTGCGACCGGAAACGCGAACTCTGTCTTGAACGAGGTCTCAGAAATCAACCGCGGGATCGATATGATTGACCGAAACCTCGACCAGCTGAAGTCTCTCCAACAAAGAGCCCTTGACGATGCCGATGCCTCTGCTACGAGCAATACCAACCGCCAACTTGACGCGCTCAGCTCCGAGACTATGGCTCATTACAGACAACTGACCGAGCGAGTACGACAACTCAAGAGCAACCCTGAGAGCCAGCAGAAGTTTGGTCAACAAGTTCGCCGCGTCGATGGCAGGTTGAAGGATGCTATTCGAGCCTACCAAGGTGTTGAGTCAGCTTTCCGCAAGAAGACGCAAGAACAGATGGCGCGGCAGTATCGTATCGTGCGACCCGATGCTGACGAGGCTGAAGTTCGCGCCGCTGTCGAGGACCAAACTGGCGGTCAACAAGTTTTCCAACAAGCATTGATGCAGAGCAACCGTCGTGGCCAAGCCCAAGCCGTCCTGAGCGCAGTCCAAGACCGACACGCTCAGCTAAAGAAGATTGAGCAACAGATGATCGAACTTGCGCAACTCTTCCAGGACATGGATACCCTCATCATCCAACAAGAAGCTGCCGTGACCAACATTGAACAGAAGGGCGAGGAAATTGTTGAGAACATCGACAAGGGAAACCAGGAGGTCGGTGTCGCTATCACCACTGCCAGGTCCACAAGGAGAAAGAAGTGGATCTGCTTGGGTATTGTTGGTATGTTTGACCTGCCCAGCTTTGACTCCTACGAAGCGTACTGACATTTTAATCTAGTTGCCATTATCGCCATTATCGTCATTGTTGTTGTAGTATACGTCGTGGTCACAAAAGGATCGAGTGGTGGCAACAACAACAATTCCAAACGAAACCTCTTGCAGCCAAATGCCCGCTCATGGTTCGAGATCGCCGCTGTTCCCAATCTGCTTGTTGAGAGAGCTCATCCGAGGGCCCTTGGTTGGCAGCCTGGCGAGTAAGGTATGGTGGAGTGTAAGCTAAACTAAGGCCGCTGTAAACCAGGGCTCCATATCTCCCGCCCGGTCGAATTGGCAGTATCTCTTTCAGAGATGACGACGACGCCGTTAGATCGGCATGCTACATACACATCCACGAACCCAGACACGTAATCTCCTTCGTGTTCACTTCGTATATCACACATCCCAACGCCATTATACATATTTAACTCGAGAGCCTTCGCGCGATAATTTGAAGCCAGACCACCTACGTCGTCGTTTCGGATCCGGACTGGATGTTGGATTGGAATAGATGAACATAGAAGGTTGGCTGAACTACTCAAAGGGGCGGATTGTCTCTGGTAGCATTCTGGCTACCTATCCTAGAATAAACGTCCTTTGTGTACTTTGTGTCCCATTCGTTGGTTGGATTGGAGAAAGGGGAGTCGATTGCATTTTCTGGCGTTTGGGACTTACTATGCAGACATTTTATTGAGTACTGTTTTCCCCCTGATTGCGCATCGTGTTGAAAGTGATATCTCTTTGGTGACTAGAATATGTATGCGACCCTAACAATACTGAATAAACTTAGGATGTCTGGTGATTGCCGCCACGTAGTTGAGATGTAACCGGAATACAAACCTGAGGGACTAAGCTGACCTGCATGACTGATGTAAGTGGCCATGACACTCCAGTGTTACTGTCGTATCGTAATGAAGGTGGATTCATGGTATTTTACAGCATGGAGCTTGGACTCATGATGGGTCTGCGTTACTACTGTGTATGTAGCAGAGCTGCTGGAGCTCATTTCCGCCTTTCTGCAAAAGCTCCGCTATAATGATATTAGTCAATCACTAATGCCGGTACAATATGTGCAATGCACTTAACGATGCAACGTAAGTTCTTCACATGCATCATGGTTCAACTGTCGGCCCCATTTAAATAGAGTTCGTTATTACTAGAAATCGGGAACATCCTAGCAACCTTGGAACTTGGCAGTAGCTTGGTCGACCCGCGATCCGCGACCGCCCCATCTGGAAATACCTTCAAACTCCGTACCTTATTTATTATACGAAAAAGCCCCTGACCAAACTTAAACCTGTTCGAAATTACGTGGGAGATATCGAAGGTATCAACTAGCCCAAAATACCTTTGAATACTATTGACTAAGGGCATTTTAACGTCCTACACGCTTGTCACCGTGTTAATGTCGTCATTCGCATAGCAATCCCTCAATCGTTCGAAACCCCTTGTCTTCGACTTGGCTGGAATCACCGACAATGTCCAGACCTGTCGACAGAACACCGCAAAACAGATAGTATCGTAACGGTTATACTATTTAAAATACCACCTGGTATGCGAGAAGAAATACCAATACGGCCTACGCGATGGGCGCGATGAAAGACACTAATGACGATCTATCCGCGAATCCGAGCATAACCCAACAATACCAACACCGACTGTCAACGGCAAGGTCCTCGCATAGCTATGGCAGTTACGAAACCGGTGAATCCAGTACCACTACAAGTTTAAACGATCCTTCTACTGGCTCGATTACCTTGGCTCATTCTCCTCACAAAGGTGCCATTAACGACTTGGGCTCTAACTCGTATGCGCCGGATCGGAGAATCAGGGATATGGATAGAGAAAGGGATAGGGACCTCAATCGTGAGGTCCAAAAACGACGTCGATCACATAAACCTCGGTCTAATGGAGGTTTCCTCCTCGCTCATTCTGCGCATGATGAACCTTCTAAGGGGATTTCGCCAAACCGGGACGGTAGCCGAAGACAATCACGGCTACCGGTGGATAATCGCAGAGGAAAGACGCCTACGGGTTTATCTACAAATTTATCAGACAGGTCAAATGGGTCAAACTTCCGCACGGGCTTGGGGATAGACGAGCAGGGGATGAGGGGGTCAAGCGAAGGCCCGCCGAGTCGAATAGCGAGTCCGGCACCCGACGAGGACATACGATATAGCCAGGGTGGTCGGCGAGTTTCGAGGATACCGACGCCGACTTCTCGGCCGGGCACACCTCTTGATGTCGATTCCACTAATATTGTGAACATGGCTCTTAAATTGAGCGACTCGCGACACATGGCGGAAAGGAGAAACATGTCGAGTCCCATTCCTCCGCGTCTTTCTCATATCCCTGATTCCATGGCTGGCAGTGGCCTTAAGCAGCACCTACAGCAACAGAGGAGGACTTCTCGGACCATTTCGCCCAGACCCGACAAGGGCCTCATGCCGAGAGCTGCATCGTCGTCGAGAATACCTAGCCCACTACAACCCTCATTTGAGAACGAGCCGAGCTATACATATCACTTTTCGTCTTCCACCCTTAACAGGGCCCAGAAAGCGAAGGAGTATCTCGAATTGATGGCCCAATACAGAAGATTATTACAGTTCGTCCCGCCTCTTAAACAAGATACGCGTTCAAGGCCTTCATCTTCCAATGTCTCAACATCCCCCACATCCTCAAAGCCACCTTTGAATCCTCTCACCGGCACGCCTCTTGTCGAATTGGGTCGGGCCTACAATCCTCTTCAATACATTCGAAACCGAAAAGTTCGAGCTCGAGAAAGGAAAAACATTGATGGTGCGACACAGGGTTTCGCAGATATCTCGAGAGTAGCAGGTTGGATCGATCAAACTGCGACATCTACAGCCGCGTCGGGCTTATCATTTGGACCTCACCTGCTGCCCCCATTCCAAGCTGCACATGAGGCTGAGCAAGAGCCCCCGTGTAATATACCGAGGCCTGTCTCAATGGCAAAGCCTAAACGAGTAAGAATAGATTGGACCATTGACCCTGCAGATATGCTTGCGGACGCCTACTGGATAGAGCAGAACGACAATAAGTACCTCATCGAGGACCGCCACTATTCGAAGATTTTCCCTCGAAAGCCAGAGGCACAATCACCGCCTCACCAGGTAAATGAGCCTGTCGCATCCGCGCTTTCTATCTCGACAAGAGAAGGGGATACAGGGGATGTCACTACTGCCTCTGAAGCAGACATCATAAGTCCAATTCGACCAGATTCTGACATGCCACTTGTAAGTGCACGAGAGCGTGCTCGTCAAAAGCTACAAGATTTGAGAGGCCACCATAAACAAAATGGACTCTCTCACAGCCATCACGATTTCCTGAGATTTAGGAAAGGCTCATTATCAGATACGTCGGACAGCGAAAGCGATCGTAGGAAACGAAATCGTACCGGCACTATTAGTGCTGATGGCACGGATTTGCTTGATAAGCAGATGAAGGAGATGATGGCGAAGGAGGAGCAGAATGAGAAGGAGAACATAGAGGAGACTAACCGGGCGCTCCTTAAACAACTTCCATCGCGGATGGCGACACCGGACAAGGGTTCTCAAACACCAGAAGAAATAAGTCGCGGGGGTTCGCGAGTAGAGGTTCTTGATGGTCCAGATAAGGTTACCCATGGAAAAGTACAGCAAGGGTCTCCTCTTGGGTCAGCTCTCGGATCGGGACGCCCTAGCCTGGAAGTCCCCGGTAAGGATTACAGATTATCGGTGGACATGGACTCCTCGCGGCCACAATCCCCTGATGCAAGGCCATCGCGGGGTCGCCATCCCCAGGTTCCGACAATTGGTATGGATCTTTCTCCCCCTGAAAGCCGGCCCACTTCTCCCGGCCGGAAACCCTTTTCGAAAGTCAAGAACATGTTCCGCGATCGTAGTCGGGAGCGAGAGCGGGAGCGGGAGCGGGAGCGTGGCGCGAAGAACGTAGTCCGCGAGAAAGATGACAAGGTAGATAGTCCAATCGAGCCACCTGAGCATCTTAACCTCTCGGCACTTACTGCGGAGAGATTCCAGTCGCCTGATCGGCGTAGGTCTAAAAGCCTTACACGGAAGATGGTTCAAAGGTCTACCAACGAGAGCCATAGGTCGCACAAGAGTGTGAGCAGCATCAGCAAAATGAAAGGTGATGATCAGGTTGGTCTGCGGGGCATCTTCAAATCCGGCGCTAAGTTGGACGGCATGATACGCGGTAGTGTCTCCAAAGTCACCGACCTTCTGTGGAAGAAGGACTCGGATACCGAAGATACCTCGTCATCATCATCAAGCTCCGAGTCGGAGGAAGAGCCTAAAAGAGGTAGGGCCAAAGGCTCGGCCAACGTGTCTCGAAGCAACTCGCGGCGCCCACGTGATAGCAATCGTCAAAAGAATTACCTCGATGTTATGCCTCCGTTCAAGCAGACGTTGCTAATACATAAACCATCATCTGAGGAGGTCGACCCCCTTTCTGTGATGAGCCCCACGTCGCGACCTAGTAGATCGCCTCGTTTCGACCGGTTGAAACCGCCTCGCATCGATATCCGCAAGGCATCACCTCCCTCAACGGATCTCGTGCCTACGAAGTCTCGTCTCCTACGCGATTCCTCCGACATCTCGGACCTGGAACCACTCTCGGCTACCCAGGGCAAGAATTTGAATGGCTTGTCCAAGGAAACCGCCGTGGTCCTTGCCGCCCCGCAGCCTCGGCCACGGATGGGATCTCGAACGTTGTCACAGCCGGCCCGTCATTGGTCGATCTCGAACCGTAGCCCGGCGCCCCAGGGCGGCCAGATCTCTCGCCGCGAAGTGGCCAGGCTGCGTGCTCTGATCCTGTGCTCAGGTATTAAGGCGATGGAAATATCCCGCCGCGCTCACGAGCCCCACCCCTTATTCGCACTTGATAACAATAGCAAGGGCCTCGTAGCCGGGCTCGCCTGGTCTGACGTCGCACGCTTCGTCCCCGATCAGAAAGCCATGGATATCCTAGCTCCAGAACTCGAGCTATTCCCTGCTACAGCAGGCGTCATAGTCTCGAGCATCGAGAACTCCATCCGCTTGTCGGAAAAGAGCACTGCTCGGTTCGCAATCGAGACCGCACCTGTGATCCAGCGCCGCATCGAAGAGCTTCACGATCGCGTGGCCGGCGATCTCATGGAGATGACGCACCGGGCGGCGGACGAAGCTGACGAGGTTAACCGCGACCTAGTCGACAGCCAGAGGCTGAAGGTTAAGACGGTCACGGATACCATGGACAAGATGCTCCGGCGCAGACGCAGACGCTTCAGGTGGGTGCGCCGGGCCGGTTGGCTGGCTGTCGAGTGGGTGCTTGTCGGGTTTATGTGGTACGTCTGGTTCGTGGTGATGTTGGCGAGGATTGTGCTAGGGATAGGCAAGGGGATTGTGGGGGTGGGGCGGTGGTTGCTTTGGCTGTAGAGAAGAGGAGCTGTCATGGAGGACAGGAGAGAAGAGGAGGAGGATATTGCTGTTGGAGCAAGTTGGAGTAGTTGGACGTACTAGCGAGCGACCTGTCACGTCTTATTTCATCGCGGTCAACCACAGATGCGGAAAAGGACTTTGGAGGATTTTTGGTCATGATACCCACCCCCTGCGGTCGCGCTTTTTCCCTGTCAACTTTTATCCGCCCCCTACTCCCCTTATTTTGCCTCTTGGGCTCATCAACCTCTGCGTGCCCTTACTTGGGGTTACTGATAACCGTCACATCGACAAATTTTCTGTTATAATTATTGTTCTACCATACCATACCATACCATCCCTGGAATTCTCCTAGTCTTTTTGTTATTACTATTGTCGTCCTGACTTGTACTCGTCGTGCTACTCTCCTACCTGTATGACCTTTTGGCTTCGATACCAATTTTCTTTTTTACTCTTTACTACTTTACCACTTTATCGCCACAAGCAAGCAAGCATCATCTCATCATTTCTCACGCATCGGAGTATCACGGAAGGTTACGGGGGAACTTGTCTGCCTAGTTTTTTTTTTTAGCACGTCTAGTTCAAGCATGGGAAAGGAGTCGATTATCGATTTCGGGCATTGGAAAACGAGAAACACATCACATACATACCTACAAACCTAGGTACCTTACATATGTAGGTACCTACCTAATAGAGAGAGCATGGAACGTTGGAGAAGAAACAAGCAGAATAAAACAGAGATAGCAACTGTACGTGTACGAGGTATACGCCTTTTTTCCTTAGCTATTTTTCTCGGGGTTTTAGGGTTTGCCTGGGCTAGCGTGCTTTGGAATCGAGGGCTGTTATTGTTGTTAGCTGTAGGATTGTGTAATAATATCTATGAATTAAACTTCTGTCATCCACCTATTTATTCGCCTGGTGTCTCATGGGCTGAGTTTCTGTTCATGAGAGGTTGCATAGTATGTATGCACGTGTTGTATATTAGGAAAACGGCCCAAAATGTCAAAAATCAAGGCCGTGTTCATTTGAATTCATTTAAAGGGGTTAATTTGCCCGTGTATTTCCAGACTGTGCAGTTCTTTCTCCTTACTACGTAGTATAGTGTAGTTACTCGTACAATGCAAGTGCAAGGCTCAAAAACTCCAACAACCTTCACAACACAACAGCACCCCACAAACTATCCACAACCAAAGAAAAACGTACTCTCATGGATGGGGTGTGCGGGTATGGGGAAAACGCGGGGGGCCGAAAAGAAAAAAAAAGACGACGAGATTATAACGGTAATTAGGGTTTGTTTTCTTCTCAGGTAACCTACATAAAGTTCTAGGGGCGTAGCCGACCAACACTACCAACGAACAACAACAACAACAAGGGTCGCAGACGAAGGGGACGGAGCAAAAAGAAACAAGTATAAAAGTACAAATCCAAACACCCTTCCTTCCACTCTGCTTTTCCTCCCTTGCGTGTCACCCCTTCCCTTTTCCCATCGAGAAAGTACGGTTGTATGGTTTGTCTGTCTGGTCTGTCTCTGTCTGTCTGCGTATCTGTGTGTAGTAGTAGGGATGGATGTATAGTATGGTATGGTATGGACGCATCTACTCGATCCTCTTCTTGCCCTCCTCGGCGTTGAGATACCGCGCCGTGCTGAGCCCGCGCTCGTGCTTGGCGACGAGGGGGCCGAGGAGCGCGTCCTTCCGCACATTGCTGATAGCATCTTGGTATCCTTCGGTGGCCCAGGGGCGGGGGTTCAATTTAGGCCAGTTGACCTGTGAGGGTAGTTGTTAGCTCTCATCTCCATCTCGCATATCCCTCACGTATCCCTCGCAGGTATATATATATATACGTGTGGGTGTGGTACTGGAAGGGGGAAAGGGTTACTCACGAAAAGCATGCCGTTATTAATGATGAAGTTGAAACTCCACCCGGCAACGGCCAGCCAGAACAAGATGAAAATGCGAATAGTCCAGGCGGACGCGTTGGGGCCGCGTCTAGTGAACAGGCCCACGAGGACGAAGAATATGCTGAAGGCGAGGATATACGGGATGCTCTGGATCAGGATCGGTCTGCGGTCCGCGAAGATGAGCGAGGAGCCGATGTTAGCGGCCGCGGGCTCGTACGCGCCTAGGAAGAGGTCGAAGGCGTCCTGTCGGGGGCCGTCTCGGAAGTTATTCAGGTAGTACCGCATCACGGCGACCTTGCCGTCTCCCATGATGCCGGCCTTCGTACGTTTGCCCAAGCGCGTGATGTCCGTCTTCATGGCGCCGGTGCCGGCGTACGAGTTGGAGACCGTGTCCGCGTTGTCGGCCCACAGGTTGCGGAATAGGAACTCGAAGTCCGGGTCGGCCGTGGCGAAGGTCTCGCCTCGTTGCAGAAGGCCGAGGTCGACGAACATGCGGTCCAGCGTCCATCGCGCTAACATGCTTTGCACGACGTTGGTGCGGTCGAGCGAGTCCATGCAGTTCGTCCGCACCACGCTAGTCTGGTAGTTTCTTGTCTCGAGGCCGCCGTTGGCTGGCATGTCTACGCCGCGGAAGTACTGTTGTGCTATCAGGGCGTCTTTCATCTGCTCGACGAGCAACATGGCCTTGTGCATCTGCATACCCTTTGTCTCGTGGTGGTAATCGAAGTAGATGTAGTGCAGGCGGTCGTATTCGTGCCTCGAGGATGAGGGCTCGATGACGTGGAATTTCTCGTCGGTGACGGCATCGCTCTTAACCTTCTCTGACGGCGACGAGACGAGCTTTTGAACCATCTGCTCATAGGCTTCTTTTATCCGCTTCTCACGGCCACCCTGGTTGACTAGGTTTACTAGATAGTTGTCTCCATAAATACGGATCTGCTCGTCGAAGTGTTTCTTGGCAGCCCCAAGAGCCGTCTCTATACCGCGAATCTGGAGCTTGGGGGTATACTTGAGGGCATTGATCTCAGCCCAGTATACGGGGACACTGCCTCGAGTTTGGACATAGGATAATACCTGCATCTCCGCACCCTCAGCACCGTACTTTCCGCTCTGCATGTCACTGCTCCCGGCGTAGCCACCCAATCCCCGACCCGTGTCGTTCAAGACAATAACCTGTTCAGTTTCATTGTAATTCGCGGCGTGACCTTCATCGTCGAGACCTCTAGTAAAGTACCTGGTGCCGGCTCGATATCTCCCTTTACGAGTGATTAAGACGATAGTAAGTTGTGTGTTCTTGAAAGTAGTGGGTCGGATCTCGAGGGTTCCCCATATAAGGGGTAGAATGTAAGGGTCAACCGAGGGTTGCGGGCCAGGTTGCGAGCGGCCACCAGTTCTGCGGTAGTTGATGAGATCGGTCTGAACGAACTTATTCCAAAAGAAACGGTCGTCGGCTCGCATCCAAAGGGGACTTGCGTTATCGCTAATAGCCTGTCGCTGGAAACTGTTGGTGAGGTCGAGGGAATAGGAGAAGTACATAGGTCCTCTCATGATATAAGTCTTGAGCAGTGACAAGAATTGGTCCTCATCAGGGTCGTGGATCTGTCGCTCGCGCATAGGGAGGAAGTCTGTCGAGACGACCTTGTAGACCATGTGGCCCTTAAGACGGCCCACGGGGTGGGCTTTGGTAATGATGATCGCATACTTGTCTACATTATGGGAACATATCAGTATGAGAACTAGTAACTAGAGGCTAGCTATATCAGAGAAGGAACAGTTACCAAGTCTCAGCCTGATGAATCCCAATATACCGGCAATGCTAGAAACACGGGAGACTCGCTTAGGAATAAAAGCTGTCTCGCTCAGCCTTACATCTCCGGTAGGACGGTCGACGATGAGGGCAGGCGCATTAGGGGAAGAGGGTGAGGTGAAGGTATAAGAATCGGCCGCAACGTGGACATTAATGTCCCGGAATGGGAGAGTCATGATGAGCTTAGCTATGGATCGGTGATGTCCAGCAAGCACTCATAACGGTCCTGTAGATTACAAAGGGGAAAAAGAGTGTGAGACGACAGCAAAGGGCAAGTCGTTTTGGGTCTTCGAAGCGAAGTTAAGAAGGGGGCGAAGCTGAAGTTGCGCGAGCTCTCTAGAGACGAAAGGCGCTGAGACGTTGGCGTTGTCTTAACTTGAAGCTTGGGAGAGGATGGATTTAACATGTGCATTTCCTAAAAAGGGATTTCGACAGATGTACGTACGGGGTCGCAGAGATCCACTTCCCAGGTGGTTGCCAAGGTTTAGTGTACTATTTACTGTACTAGCTCGCTTTAGCTATGCTAGGGGAATAAACACGGGGCTGCACAGACCAGATCTTTACATAACGATCCCTGCTTGGCGGGTCCTCTCCCTCGGTACTGTCTGCAAATGCAATTATCCAGTATTTATGTATTAAGCATTGATACTACGTATGTGCAGTAAAATCAAGATCACGTGCTCGATAACAAATGAAATCGATAAAGAAACAGTGTGTAGTACGGTGAGCTGGCTTCCACCGACAACCCGCCGCCCACTTGTCCACTGTCCGAAGCCTGACGTGGTGTGCTCCACTACCACCAAAAGTTAACCAGGTGCTAAGCCACTGAGCCACTCATCATTCACCTTTAGAGGCGCCTAATACCAGCAACAAGCAACAAGCTTCCTTCATTCAACTTCGTAACAATAGGCAGGCAATAATCAAATCATCAGACTTACCAAGCCTCCCCTCGTCATTCCTTGTTCATTCAACCACTCACAACAGCAATACCACGCTCTACCCATTTCTGCATTCTCGTAGTCGGGTTTTCTAGAATCTGGTTTCACTAGACTGCTGCGTTCTTTTTTACGTAGTTGATCGTGCACTACTGTTGAGAGTGACGATAATTATTCCTGGCCGATAAGACAAACCCCATCGAGTCTCACCATCGACTACCCCCTCCGACCGTCTCTCCTCTACCTAGATTACCCTATCGGCTACAGTCCTTACAGCGACTCTTGAAATTATTCATCTAGATTTCCCTACTACCGAACGACCATGGCTTCTCGAGCAGGGCCTGCAGCTAGAGGCGGTATGGGTGGCCGCTTTGCGCAGTTCAAGTTAGTGTTATTAGGTACGAAATGGAATTATATATAAGACTATCTCCAACCTAGCTGTCGATATGTACTAATTAATTTGTAGGAGAGTCTGCGGTTGGAAAGGTAGTCAACCCATTAGCGACCCTGCTTCGGGACACGGTACACGACACGTCATTTGCTAACATGTGATATAGAGTTCTATAGTCCTGAGATTCGTCAAGGTACTTAACTACTTTCTTATAGTCATATTGTCTCTATGTAACCATCTAACATATTCCTATAGGACCAATTTGATTCATACCGAGAGTCTACCATCGGCGCGGCCTTCCTAACACAAACTATCTCCTTAGACGAAAACACTACCGTTAAGTTCGAGATCTGGGATACTGCCGGTCAGGAACGATACAAGTCTCTCGCGCCTATGTACTACCGAAATGCAAACTGCGCCGTCGTCGTCTACGATATTACTCAATCTGTATGTCATCGTCGGAACAAAGAAATGCTGTTCGTTATACTAACATTGCGAGTAGTCTTCCCTCGACAAGGCCAAGGCTTGGGTTAAGGAATTACAAAGACAAGCGAACGAGAACATCATCATCGCCCTTGCAGGAAACAAGTTGGATTTGGTGAACGAGCAACCTGACAAGCGAGCGGTCTCAACTGCCGATGCGGAAGCGTATGCGAATGAGGCAGGATTGTTGTTCTTTGAGACTTCGGCAAAGACGGCAGAGAATGTGCGAGAACTATTCACCGCCATTGCGAAGAAGTTGCCTCTCGACCAGGTTAGCCCTCGACATACTAGGCCAGGACAACGACCAGGTGGTGTGAGTTTGGCACCGGAAGGCGCGAATACACAATCAGGAGGGCCTTGCGCGTGCTAGAAGCGTTTACGGAATCTACTGAATCTTGCTGGGGCCTGGTGCAACGAGGAATTAAGAATCCCTCGAATGATACTGATCCTTCTGGTACTGGGCTAGTTGCTCAATCTTGTTCCCTTCTTCTCATGGCTCAAATGTGAAGCTGGGGCGCATAGGCTCAGCCGGATATTGGGCGCGTACACGACCGGTGACATTACGACCTTCGGACCACAACCCCCAAGAGAGACTGGACGTGTTTAGGACGCATGAGGGCGGGCGGTGTGGATGCCTGGGTGTATATTTCATGGGAGTTTCCAGGAAGGATGGCATATGTTTTTTAATACCTGACTTTTGTTTGTTGATCGAGTTCTCGCAGTATAGGCTTGGCCGCTAGGTGCATGACGGTCACGAGGGCTGGTGTAGAGTGGTCTGCATGCGAGTCGGAATGAGCTTGGACTGAGACTGAACGTTGCCCTGCTATACAGCACGACGAGTAATGCAATAGAGAATTATCTTTTTTTACGATGAGGGATGAGTTTATCATGAGTATGAATATGAGAATCGGCGTGTCACTGTTAGTTGTTATGTGATACTGCATGAGTGCTGACAGTTATGCATTGTGTGATACGAAAACTATATAGCTAGCCCATTTCACAAGTCAAAATGCATATGGACATATTCAACTATATGAACAGAGCTAATTGCATTGCAGTATAAAGCGTATTCAATTCATATTTATTCATATATTATTACATAATACATATTGTCATACATATTAGAAGTTACGATGGCCGGGTATTTTCGTGGGAAAGAGGAAAGACGTAGAGGTACGTACCTTTCAGGGCCCACTCGGCGGGAGGGTGGTGCCAACCGGGATTGCCCTTTGCCCAACGCAACGTGCAGCTTTTTTTAAGCTTCCCGAGGTTTTTAATTTCATAATACATAATACACCTCATACGCCAACACCTTTACCACCACACAGCAACGGTAATCGCACTTTGAAGGCTTGTTCGATGCCCTCATGTTGCGCACATCGTTGCGATCTGTCAGGGCCGTAGGCAGCAGGCCCGTTGCTGCTGCCTCTGCCCGTCAATGGCAGCCCGCGATCGCGAGATCACCCGCCGTAGCTGCAAGGGTACGAAGTCACGGACTTATCCATCGATGACATAGGAACATGTTGGAACACCCTAGCTAACATCAACTACCACCAGAGATCCTATGCCGATGACAAGAAGCCTTCGATAAATGACTCGACGCCTGCAAAGCTACCCACGTCCGAGACAAATACTGCTGCCGCAAGCGATCCTCCCGCACTCAAGACGGAATCCAAGGTTGCTTCTTCCACAATCGGCTCTAAGGATGTCCCTCATACGCCGCCTCCAGCTCCGCCCACATCAACAAGGATAGAGACCAAAGCGCCTCCTCCGCCGCCTGCGCCAGTCAGGAAAAAGAAGGGCTTCTTCCGTCGTCTGCGTAATTACCTCCTTACTTTAATATTCTTAGGTGCAGTAACCTTTGGTGGTGGCATATGGTACTCGCGCATAAGTGACAACTTCCACGACTTCTTTACCGAATATGTGCCGTTTGGTGAACAAGCAGTACTTTACTTCGAAGAGCTCGAGTACAGGAAGCGATACCCCGGAGGTCTTACCATTGGTGGCCGAAACAAAGATACCGGCGCCCAGGTCAAAATCTCCCCTCAAAGCGGTGCGTCATGGCGAGTAGCAGATGCCGGCGAGCCCGCAGGCAGACAATCTAGCGCGGTGCGGGATCTCGTCGCTAGTAAGAGCTCTGCTTCTGGCCCCGAAAAGAAGGACGCTCCCGCAGCTGAAAGCAAGAAGTCCAAAGCGAAGCCTACTGAACCACCAAAGGGCGCTTCCCCGGAACCTGCTAAGGCTGTTGAGAAGCAGGCTTCCCCGCAGGCTCCAGCCAAACCCGACTCAAAGAAGGAAGCCCCAGCTTTCAAGGCACCTGAAGTTGATGAGCCCTCTCGATTTCCCCCTGCTAGCCCTATCGACCCCCTGAGTGTCAATGATGCAGATGTCCCCGTGGTCCAGGACCTAGTCAAGATGCTCAACGACATTATCACGGTTGTGAACGCCGACAATGCCGATGACCGTTTCTCCTCTACCATTGGTAAGGCTAAGAACGAGCTCAACAAGGTCGGCGCGAAGATCCGAGAACTGAAGGCCCAGGTTGAAAAGGATGCTGCCTCGCAAGTCTCAGCTAAGGTCAAGGAGTTCGAGGGCGCTGCTAACGAACTGGTCTTCCGTGTAGAGAAGGCAATGGAGGCGCAAGAAAAGCAGTGGAGGGTAGAGTTCGATGAAGAGATGAGACATGTTCAGGCTGCCTATGATGCGCGAATGAAGACGGAGTTGGAGCGAGAAAAGCAGATTAACGAGCAGAAACTCAACAACCTACTCCTAGAGCAAGCAGTTGATCTAAAGCGACAGTTCTTGAAAGAGGTCAAGGACCGAGTTGAGGAAGAGCGAAACGGCAGACTTGGCAGGCTCGAGCAATTAAGTTCAGCTATCAAGGAGTTGGAAAACCTCACGACAGGATGGAATGATGTCGTGGACCTGAACCTCAAGACTCAGCAGCTCCACGTCGCTGTTGAGGCCGTACGCGCAAGTCTCAACGATGCCGAGCACCCGCGACCATTCGTTCGGGAGCTCGTCGCGCTAAAGGAGATCGCTACGGACGATGAAGTGGTCAATGCGGCTATTAGATCGATCAACCCGTCGGCGTATCAGCGAGGTATCGCGACACCTTCCCAGCTGATCGACCGATTCCGACGCGTGGCAACTGAAGTGCGCAAGGCGAGCTTGCTTCCCGAGGACGCCGGTGTCGCATCGCACGCGTCCAGCTGGCTGTTGAGCAAAGTAATGTTCAAGAAGCAAGGCCTCGCCGTCGGTGACGATGTCGAAAGCATCTTGACCCGCACCCAGACTTACCTTGAGGAGGGTGACCTTGACGCCGCCGCTCGCGAGATGAATGGTCTTCAGGGATGGGCGAAGACGCTCAGCCGGGATTGGCTATCCGAGGTTAGGAAGGTCTTGGAAGTGCAGCAGGCGCTGGAGGTAAGATCTCCCCTTCCCCTTTTCTCATACGATTTTTCCTAGGTTGGGACTATCAATGCTAACAAATATTAGGTCATCGCTACCGAAGCCCGCCTACAAAGTCTAAGGGTAGAATAAAAATTTCCTAGGAAGTCGAACATGGCCCGGGGGAATAGAGAAGCATTTTCTTTTTACTTTGTCGCCCGTCCTTGTACATTTGTATCCACTTACCTACCTACCTACCAACCGACCTACTTGACCCTTTTTCCTAGAAAAAAGTAGAGATGAGAAAGGGGGGGATGGATGGAGATGGAAAAAGGGGAAGGGGAAAAGGGGCTGCTACGATAGGCCTGTGTATAAGATAATAGCACTCGAGAAATAGACGGTCAATAGGCCTGCTTTTAAGTTGTTTTGATCTGATAACTTGTCTCAAGTGAAGTAGAATGATGATGAATGTGAAGTTCTACAAAATGCAGTAGCCAGTGGATTTTACTGAAATGCCTAACATAAGCATTATCTAATTCAAGAGGAAACAATGTGCGGTACAAGGAACCTGTTATCGTAAAATGCATATATTCCGAAGCTCACTGTTGAAAGCATAGCTATAACCCAATAGATGGTCTTGTGACCTACATAGAATCTATGTCTTATTTTCCAAACGCCATTCCAGTCCAATCGTAATATATGATATCGTCTATCCGTCCCTTTAACTCGTCATGGTTATGTCTCCCCGTCTGGTTCCAGAGTTCTCAGCAACGCGCCTACAAGGTGCAAGCTCCCTGTGGCTAGAATCGCGACCCTAGCCTCGTCACTTTGTAACCCCTTGATTTTGTCAACTGCTTCGCTAACATTATCCACAATGGCACTCTCCGTCTTGGGACACAGTTTCTCCATAGCATCCGCCGCAGCCCGCTGAACGCTCAAGTCCCGCTCTGGCTCGTCCTCGGCCCTGCGCTGCACATCGTTCCGCGTGAAGACGGCATAGTCGAATATCGTAGACACTCCGAGAACCCGCTTGATACCCTCAAGCAGACCGCCGAGCAATTTCGCGACGTCGCGTTCTTGTTGGTTGAAAAGCAGAACGACCTTCGTACCGCCGGGCAGGGCTTTGCGCTTCGCCGCGAACCACTTGGCTACCTCTTCCAAGCTCTCCGCCGTGTGCGCGCCGTCGACGAACCAGGAAAAATTCCCGTCCTGCAGCGTTTCGCAGCGCCCCCTGAGCCTAGCCTGCCGAAGACCGTCGGCGAAACGTGCGCCCAAGACGGCTAACGCTTCTTCTTCCGGCCGCTTACCCTCCCTCCCCTCCAAAATCCTCAAATGCTCGCTCGCGGCCCTGATTGCTAGTGCTTGATTATACTTCTGAAACTCGCCCTCCAAACACGCAACCGCATCATCCCCCTTCACCCCGCCCCACTCCTCCACCTCACGATCCTCAATCTCCACCAAAACCGCCTTCTTCTCGGCCGCCCTCTGCCTCAGGACCCGCATCGTCGGCTCTTCCTCCCCTTGCAGCTTCCGCGTAAAGCACCTAACGCCCTCCTTCATAACACCCGCCTTATGCCATGCGATCTGCGGCACCGTCGCGCCCAGCATGCCCACGTGATCGACGCCGAGCTGTGCTATAACGGACGCCGTGACCGCTTCGCGCGGAAGGATATTCGTGCTGTCGAACTCGCCGCCGATCCCGCACTCGACGACCGCCGTGCGCACGCCTTCGCGCAGGAACGTGTGGAAAGCCATGATCGTTAGGAACCGGAAGTAGAATGGTTTGCTTGCCGGTCCGGTGATCTCTTCTTCGCTTACCCCCTCTTCTACCCCTGCTTTCCCTTCTTCCCCTGATTTGGCTCCGGATTTGCCAGCGTTGCGTGTGAGGAGGAGGTCAGCTTCCGCCCGCGCAGCCGCCGTAAACGCGTCCCACACCTCGAAGAAGTAGCGCGCGAACAGCGCGCGGCTGAGCGGCTCCCCGTCGATCTGGATGCGCTCGCGCACGCTGACGAGGTGCGGCGACGTGTATGTGCCTACCTTACCCGCGGAGGCGGAGGTGAGGATGGAGGTTAGGTACGCGCACACGGACCCCTTGCCCTTGGTTCCCGCGACGTGGACGCAGCGCAGCGTCGCGAGGTCGTGCTGTGTGATCCCGGCGCGCTGGGCCCATTGGAGCATTTCTGGGATCGCTTGGGAGTTTAGGTCTTGTGGAGAGGGTTTGGTGGTTGAGGAAGGGGTGGGAGGAGGAGGGGAGAAGAGAGATGTCACGGCCCGGTTCGACTGGATAGAGTCGAGGTGCCGGAGGGCGGATTCATAGGTCCGCGCCATATTAAGGAATCGTCTCTGTTTTGAAGGGGTATCTTCAAATCTTATGAATGGGTTCCTGGCCTTGAGATTTGGTGAGAATCTAGATATACACGAGTTCGTTGCGTGTATATTTCGGATGGCCGTTGAGCGGGAGTAAGCCATGAACCCCGATCCCGGTCTTAGTGACGGAGTTGAATTGGTGAGACGACTGACTACCGCCCCATGATTGGATGATTCGTAGGGTTCCCGATCCTGCACGGATTACTTCGTTGTGAGAGATTTCGGAGCCTTGGTATGTCAGATAGATACTCCGAAGAAATACTACGTGAGAATGTCTGCCGGCTGGCGACTGGTGGGAAGTGTTGAAGTTCTTATCAGCTTATCTGGGTATAGCCCCTTTTCCGATTCTCCAACCCTAACCCCGACTTGCTGTCTTCACTTCTTTTGATTTTATGACTGGAACGTGGAATACCTCGTTACATGTCGAGCCTGCATAGAAATCATATGGATGAGAAAAATCATTATTTCTATTGTAAGTACGGGTTGAGCCGCCGTAGATCCTGACCCGTTAAACCAGGGTATTTTTCCTCGTTGAATGCAAACCCATTCCCACCAACCTAGTAGTTTATAAACATGATGACTATAGAAATCTTGAACCGTTGCCGGTTATAGGGCATCTGCGCCTTCTAGTATAGCTAAAGCGCCCCCCACTAGATGCAAGCTACCCGCGATGAAAGCCTGGACCGTCTCCCCTTCTTTTGATAAAGTCTTGCTGAGATCCCTAACGTAGTTTATCGCTTCTTCGATCGTCGGTATGACGACAACCTTTGCGGACGGGTCTAACGAGGTCCATTTCTCTGCGAAAGCGTGCTGTGCGGTAAGTGCCTTGATCGCCACAGGATCGTATTGGTGGTTCACGAAGTCGCGCTTGTAACCTGTGGCAGCGTACGTTACGTTCGAACAGAACACGACGTGCTCGAATCCCCCTTGTCCTTGAGCCCTGATCGCAGATAGCATACCTCCAAGGAAGTTGACGGCCTCGTCTCGTCCCTGTTGATTAAATATCATTACCTTCGGACCAGTCCTGTTCGCACATTCGCTCGCGAACCACCTCGTTGCCATTTTCAGACTGTCGACAGTATGCGCTCCGTCCACATGCCAGATTATGCGATCTTCGACCTTAACCTCACATCGCCCTCTCCAAACGACTTGCTCAATGCCGTCGACGAATTCTTTACTTAGCGTAGACGGATCTAATGTGAAGCTGGGATCAAGTTTCCTCAATGCTGTCTCTGCGAGAGCTATTCCCAAGCTGGCGTTCTTCTTCTGGAACAGCGCATCCGGTCGAACATTGACACCTTTTAGTCTGGGGTCGACTTCTAGGACCTTTAGGGTCATCCCCTTTTCCTTGGCTCTATCCTGGAGGACCTGGGCAGCTTCGGGTACCTGCTCAATTGTGAAAGCAGCACTGCCCTTTTTCATGATACCAGCCTTATGCCAAGCGATCTTCTCCACCGTATCTCCAAGCGCAAAGACGTGATCTATGGCGAGCGTACTAATACCAGATGCGACTGGGTGCTCCACGATATTCGTAGCATCGAACTCGCCACCGATTCCTGTTTCGTACACAGCGACATCGATGCCCTCCTGGAGGAATAAGTGGTAGCTCATTAAGGTGAGATATCGAGAGTAGACAGGTCTCGGAGGCATCGGAATGCCAAGTTTCTGGTCCAGAACCTTCGGACCTTCGTTTGCCTCTGCCTCTCCTAGCTTATCCCAGACCTCGAAGAAATAGCGCGCAAAGATATCCTCGCTGACCGACGCACCATTGATCTTGATTCGCTCCCGCACAGCAATTAAGTGCGGGCTGGTGAACAATCCAATCTTGCGCGGCACGCCATGCGACTTTTGGTATTGCGAGAGTATCGAGGCGGCGAATGCGCATGTGCTCCCTTTGCCCTTTGTTCCCGCGACGTGTAGGACGTTCAACCGGTCGAGGTCAGAGGGTGCGTAGCCGATGCGCTGCAGATAGGCGCGCATTTCAGCAATGGAACCGGCATCGGGTCGTATGCCGGCCTTCCGGCGAGCCTCGACTATGGCATACGGGGTCTGTAGGGAGTTGAGGGCGTCAATGGCGTCCTGAGGCAATTCTTGTCAGCTTCCTTCATCGCGACGTTGTCAGGGCTCGGAGATAGTCCCCTAGAGGACGGACGCACGTTGTACGTTCTGCCGCTTTGCGAAGCCATTGTGCGCCAGAAGATGGAGTGCGCGGTCTTTATTACGTGGAAAGGAGAAGCGTAGAGACCGACTCGTCGGAATACATGATGCATTCCCAGAAACCTATGTCATCTTTTCGTCTTTCCGTGTTCGAGGGCTGTGTTCCGTATCCGGTGAAACAGAGACGGCGAAAATAAAAAGAGGGTCAGCAGCGATATCGCCGATGACCTTCTCCAATTCCGCCCCTCATCTTCCTTCTCCAAATCCCAGCTGCGGCCACCTGGTTCCACCTGGTCATTCCTAAAGCTAGAGTGCCTCTACGACTGTGACCATATTGCAGAGGAAATCGTATGAAATTAACGCTATAGCAAACTTGCTCTAAAGTTCGAATAGACCTATTTGATCTAAAATATATTTATCACCACTAATAATGAGTCAAATTTGAGGCAAGCTCCTAATAATCAGAAAGCCAAACTCACTTCAGATTTATATAAAAACACTATGTTCCAGCTCTGGAAGCGTTTACCAAAGTACTAAAACTCAAGCCTATTTGAAGGCGTTTCTTATATATAAAGAACTTCTAGCTTCATTAATCCATAATAAATATGGAGTTATCTACATTCCCATTATATTGTCCCAATACCCCTATCATCATTTCAAACTATTCAACTGAATGACCTGGTTCAACATTCAGGAAGACTGTTATAAGAAGAAGTTGACGAAGGTCACAGATTACTGGACCCATGGTATCTATTGGTTCAACGCCTAATGAGCCTTGTGACAATAATGTGTAATCGTGTTAAAGCCCCCCCTGAACTCTACGGTCCACAAGAACCGGCCATGCGAGGTTTTGCCTAGAAATCCGACAGAAAAAGCCATACGAAAAAGTAGAAGCCCCTGGGCGTCACTCATTGCTAGCACCCAAAACGGCATCTAGGAAAACCATATAGCAAAAAATGACAGATTCGAACCTGATCTGGCGACTCTACTACGATTGCAGAGAGGCATAAACAAACATGCTAAAAAGATGCGCGCCATCTCCTCAATGCTGTGACTCAATACAGCGCGAGCAGCACGATATGGGTGGTATGCTTTCATTGATCTAATGGATGGTATCTAAAAAAAAATACCTAATGATCTACCAGCCCCATTGAGAGAAAACGGCGGCTCTCGCACGTTTCGGGATATACAAATAGGTAGAGATGCCATTCAGCCTCCGGACACACAACAGCCTGACCACCTCGGGATTTCAGTAGCACTGGCAAACCTATGTAGTCTTGCAATGAAGGTTAGTTTAAAAGAAGCGTCTTCCTTTCATATTGTATGTTCTACAACATAAGATATTAATGATCATGGTACAGCAACTTGGCAATTATACCGAAGTTTAGGTAGCTAGCTACGACCTGAACGAATCTACAGAAATGTATTTGTAGTAGATGTTCCTAGGATCCTAAAGGCAGCCAATCAATAGGCTAAGGAGATAGGCAACATGATACGCGCGTAGTCCTATGAAGCAGTAATCATGACGGATTGGATGTGCTGGGGAATTAAACACAAGTCATATTGTCTGCTGATCGCAGAAGGTCAAGGGCAGCGACACAGAGCACTATAGTCTAGCCCGTCAGGAATAAAATAAACTCCATTGACATCCATAACGTCCGCTTCCCATCTGTCGAACGGGGCCGCATGACGAAGTGTGGAACAGGCATCTAGGTAGACCAACAAGCATATAGTTCAATACATTCGACACCGATTCACTGAATGTAACTGATTGTCCAGTGAAATTTTTGATATGAGATTTAATTGAAACCAAGCGAATTCATGGCCATTATGAACGACGTCATCAATTCGTAAATTTTACTTCCAAGCTATTCCTAGCAATTTTGTGACTTTTCATCGCCAACGACGTCGACGTAGCTACACAAACCCTACAACCTCGCCAACTTCCCCACCCCTTCAAACAACGCTTTTCGTCAACCACTCCTGCCACTGCTCCTTCGTCCACGACGAACTAATATCATTCGCAACAATCCCATCAAAAATCACCGTCGGGCTCACATGCACACCCACCAGCCTCCCAAACCGGATCTGCAACTTCAAATCATTCGTAACCTTATTCCCGAAGTTCGGATGCCCGCCCTCAGGCACCTTATCCGCAATAACCAGCAACTCGTAAACCTTCGCCTCGTCAACACCAACAGACCCCGCCAGCTTCGCAAGCCGTTTATACGTATCATTGCGCTTCTCATTCACCGTCGCCTCGTCGAAGTACTCGAGCTGCGCGCGGAACAGCGCGTCGCTGAAGTCCCAGTACTTGGCGGGCGCGACGCGCAGCACCGCCAGCGCGGCCTCGTGCGCGAGCGTCGACGCCGGGTGCCACGGCTGCACCTGCTGGCGCAGGAGGACCTCGAGGCCCGAAGCCCACTTCGGGTTCGCCTTGATGAGCGGCACCACGCCGTGGTAGAAGGTCGCGAACTGCTTCGCGGAGAAGGGGCATACGTAGTCGAGGAAGAGCTCGAGCGTGTGCAAGGCGGGAGGCGCGCCGGCGACGGTGCTGCTCGGTTGTGCGAAGAGCAGGCGCTGGGCGGCGAATTTGGGGTTTAGGGCCATGGTGGGGGGTGTGGTTGTGAAGGGGTGGTGGGGTTGTTTGGGTAGTGTGAAGACGTAAGAATTTAAAGATGAAGTTGAAGGTGAAGTTGGAATCGAAAGTGAGGTTGAAGCTGGGACTGTAGCTCTAATTGGGGTCAGGAGGGGTAGAGTTATAGGGTTGCTACAAACAAAGCGGGAGAAACTCCGAGGAAGCTGCATTAGGTTCGGAGACCGATGGTGTAATACAGCTTGAGGATGGGGAGCTCACAGCTATTACGCACTTGCATATTGATATTTACGTAGAAATATCGAACGACATATCAAACATGGCGAATGAGGTAGCTGCAGCCGATTACTAACCTAAATCCGATGATCCGATGATGTAAACGTGCCGGACTGTTCTCTAATGCAGGTCAAAATGTGTAGTTTTGATTTGGAATTGGTAAGTTTGCCTAGACCGTGTTCTTTGCTATGATACCCCTGGCAAACTCCCCAAAAGTGATGTGCTGGTCTAGATCAACTTCGTCTTCTAGATTCGGCTGCGTGAATACCGCTAGCGTGTTGCGAGCTACACCTTTAGCATATGCCCCCCTGACCGAATGTTCGACGGCTTTGAACTTTCCGCCCGTGATTCGTTCCAGCGTCTCGCCTGTCTGGAAAGCGATGCAGTCCCTAGGTATCTTGACCTGGACCGGAACCCCTTTCCTATCTTTAATCCAAAGCCCAGCTTGCGGGTCCGGCGATCCGGGCAATTCTTCTAACGTCGGCAGCAGCCCCGGGACCTTTTCGCCAAAATCCGGCACCTTGGCGTCTGTTTTCAGTTCATCAACAAACATGGCTGATGTGAGGCCGGTCAAGCAGCCGTGATCCTTGTGTACCGCACACCAGTTGTCTTCTGCCTGACCTTTTGCCATTACCTCCTCCGGCATTGGATAATAGTGAAGGAGCCTAGCTTTCGTCGTGGACGAAGATTTAACGACTTTTTCCAAGTATGCCGATGGATAACCTGCGATTTCTTTCTCGGCGAATCTATCGCAGGCTCGCGCCACCAACACCGCCGTGTCAATTATGAGGCTGCACATCTTCTCCATCGTCGGTCTGAAACCAGGCAACATCTCTTTTGGGGGCCACGAATTTGGCGCCAGATACTCTGGAAACTTGTCTAGAGGGAACTGTTCCGTGGGCTTGGCTGATTCTAAGGTAGGGTCTATATAGAAGGCGCAGTTGGCGTAGAAGGAGCCTTTATACTCATCCGCACTTCCATCTTTGAGTTTTTCCTTACCCTTGGACCATCCTACAAGATACTTCGCTGCTTCGTTCGTGAATTTCTCTGAAGTTTGTTAGAGGTTCGCTGGACTGTTGAAGGTATCACCTTGTAAACTCTTACATACCGAAGTCTGCCTCCGATAAATTGCCCATATACGAGGCATAAGACAAAAGTTGATGCCTTAACTGTGGAAACTCTGCGGGTACATCTTTGACGATGAGAATACCTAGCGAGTCTGGACCAAATGCTTCCTGTAGCGTCTCAAACGAGACGTTCCCTGGATAGTGAGAACTTGTGATTGTAGCTTATCTGTTTGCCGTGACACTCACCACTCTTAAGATCGGCTAATGATACTACAACTGGCTGTGCTGTCGCCATGGTCGATCGTCATAAAAGTACGAAAAAATGATAAGTTTCTTACAGTAATAGATTTGCATAAGTAAATTTATGTTGAAGGAAACTCAACTGCTGATATGATATCAAGAAAAGTGATTAGATATCTTGGTACAGCTTCGCCCTAAGGATATCGTCGGGGTTAAACGTTAAGCTAACAGAGGCAGGTGCTAACCCCATAACCGGCGCTCTCCGCATTGCGGTAAGCACTTGTTGTTGCTCTTGCATGTGCTGAGTTTCCGAGCTATTCTCATTAAAAGATGTTAGCTTATCTGCTAAGGTTTTCCTATAATACTCGTTTGAGAATTCTATACGATTTATTGAATTGAATTAACACTAATAAGTTACAATTGAAGGGCTGCTTGTTTTAGACTTATGGATATCATTATATCATTCTACCTACTAGTAGGGAGTTTTAGTAGTGCTCTGGGGCTAGAAGCGGAATAACCTTGACCTTCCAGGGCAGCTGCAGGTGAAAGATGTTAGTGGGGCAACCCTGGTAATTTAGCGTCGGGAGTGACGCTAGTGTGTTTTGTTATCGAGCTTTGGGGAATTTATCAAAGCTTCCATCTTAACAATAACAACTTGTTACTTCATACGTCGTCCGTCACTTAACACCACCACCCGACTACGTTCTGATCGACTCAACATGGTAAAGCCATTAAGTTTCAAAGGCGACAAGAAGCCCAAGAAAAGAAAGCGTGTTGAAGCAGATCCTTCGGCCGAAAATGCAGGTCCTAGCGGACCCGTGGTGGCTACGACAGCAGACAATGTAGAGAATGACGACACTTGGGTTTCGGCTGATGCGGTGGGAGACATTCAAGGCCCGATCCTCTTCGTGCTCCCGACAGAGACCCCGACATGTTTAGCTTGTGATGCCAATGGCAAGGTCTTCACTGACCCTATCGTCAACATCATTGATGGGAACCCTGCTAGTGCTGAGCCGCACGACGTGCGCCAGGTATGGATTGCGAATAGGATCCATGGAACTGAATATTTCAGATTCAAGGGTCGCTACGGAAAGTATGTGCTCTCTATATTCTACATTTGCATGCGCATCTCTAACTTGCTATCTATCTAGATACCTTAGCTGTGACCAATACGGCATTTTAAGTGCGACATCTGAAGCTATCTCAGCTCTCGAGACGTGGACAGTGATTGCGACAGCTGATACACCAGGGACATTCCAAATTCAGACACAAAAGGATACCTTTTTAACGATCAAGGAATCTTCTAAGGCGAATAGCTCACCTGAAGTTCGTGGAGATGCCACGGATATTAGCTTCGATACGACACTGAGGATTCGCATGCAAGCTCGGTTCAAGCCACGAATTAAGGCGACGAAAGAAGAGAAGGCAAAAGAGAAGATCAGTCGGAAGGAGCTAGAGGAGGCTGTGGGTAGACGACTTAACGAGGACGAAGTCCGAACCTTGAAGAAAGCGAGAAGGGAGGGCGATTACCATGAACAGCTACTGGACCTGAAGACCAAGAACAAGCACGACAAATACGGTTGAAGGACATGGATATGATTATTGAATTATGCATTTGGTTTCCATGCCTTAATGTATCCATCCTCGCCAGCGCTGAACACCATTTGGGCTTCATCGTAGAAGCAGAAACTTCGGACAATCTCTGACGAATGGGCTCCTGGCAGACTCACGATGCTTTCTCGATCTAGTTGCCAGCCTTGACCTTTCGTTAAATGGATCATGTCGAATGTTTCCCGACTGCGTGGCTTAAGATTAACACGAATGCGATGGCAGTTTCAACTAGGGTCAACTTACTCATGGGTACCTGCACCTATCACGGCTCCGGCACCGTTAGACTTCGCGGAGACGTTGGCAACGTACTGGCAGCCTAGAACCTCTCTCATATCTCCAAAGTTAGTTGTCGCAGCTCCATTCTCGTGGCTTTCGGCCACATCGTAGAGGGCGAGCTTTTCATCATGGGAGAGAGCAAACACTTCGGTGTCGTTCAAAAACGCTGCGTGGTGAATGGAGGCATCGTGATTAAAAGTCTGGATCACAACCTCATCTTCGTCTGTGATTCTTGTATCACAGATATTTACGAGACCGTCAGTCGATCCTGATAAGAGAATATTGTAGTCGCTAGGGTGGAAATTTAACTATGAGGTGTTAGTCTACGATATATGTCATCGGCAGGACTCGATCCAGACCTCCGTCACATCGTCACTATGAACTTCCTTATAATGAAGCTTCGGAGTGGGCGTTGATCGGATGTCCCTAAATCCTTGGGCATAAGTTCATTGCAACAAATACGTACGTCACAAATGGCTTCTTACCATACTAATATAGATGCTTGGTGGTCCTGCAGTTCTGTTCCGGCTACGACTGTGAAACCTGCACTAGAGCATGCCAGAGACAAGACGGGGACTTGATTATCTATATTATATCTCAGTACTATGCCCATAAAATACAAAGCTGTCCACCAGTCTGCCACAAACGAACCTGTCAATTTAGCCACCTCGGCCTGTCGCGCATCTTTTCTTAGATCCCACATCGATACACTCCCATTCTCGCCTGCTGTACACACAATGTTATTTCCCACGTCGAAGGCCTTGGCGCAAGTGATGTTGCCATGCTGCGTGACAAGGTTGACTAATGGTCCTACGCTTAGATTTGTAGGATTAAATAAAGATAATTTCTGGTCTGATGAGATCGTCCCTGGACCTGATGCGAATGGAATGATATCGAGAACGTATACTTCCTCGCGGACGGGGATCTTATACCCGTCTACGCAGGTGAGAGGATACATGGTGTTTCCTCTGACCTACGACTGCTGGTATAACCTTGGAAGTGATGATGAGATATTTGAGATTTCGGATAACTTAACGACCCCCTAAAATATTCTTATCCATATCGTTAGATTCTCATACCATTGCCAGTTGCTCCTTCTGAAAATGATGAAAATCTTGGTGGGGTGTATCTACATAAAGCTTGACAGTGCCTAGCATCCCCACAGAAAGTGGCGTGAAGCTAACCAATCAAGGGCAAGCCGCTTTTTCTCCCAGGGCTGACGTCGCATTTGTTTAAGCCGATCTGGACAGCTTGTAAGTTCTAAGCCTTTGATTATATCACCCGACGAGAAAGCACGACTTCCAGTCCTTTTCCAACTCCGTTTTCTGTACATAATATTGTCCTCTTCTGGAGACCATGAGATTATTACAGTATTCACAACTTTGTTCCTAACGGACTTTTCTTTCCACAATGAGACGTTTCCTCGTCTCGGCGTTCCGTATGTTTCGCATGACAAATCCCACATAATTCTAAGCTCATAGAGCTACATGAGAACTATGTAAGCTAATCCTCGCCACCAACAGTGCTTTTGCAGGCTGTTGCCTCTATATCCGCTGTCGAGCAGCAGGTCTTGGAGGCAGAAGACGATATTACGACTACGAGTTTAAACCCAGCAGCTGAGACCGACATCGTCCAAGGCACACAACAATGGGCTCCCTACCAAAATGGTAAGCTGCATAGCCACGCATCCTGCGGGTGAACTATACACGTTTCTAACGCGAGGTAGGATGGGAGCTCGTACACGAAGCAATGGCCGAATTTCGAAAGATCAAGACGCCGTTACATAGAAAGACGAAGAAGCAAAGCGGTCTCTTCGGTGCACTCTTCCAATATGTCGCAAAGGCTTTACCAAGCTTACGAGCCAGCGCTCCTCCGCAGGAACAACATGCGTTGCCCGTCATTAGCGGCCCTCTTCTCGAGGGCGTTAAGCTTCTACAACAGTCCGCCGACCAGAACAATACCGATGCGATCTACCTCTTGGCGCAATTCAATTTTTTCGGAAACTACTCGCATCCCAGAAACTTCAAGACCGCGTTCGATCACTACTACCGACTAGCATCGTATGGGAACAGCTCCGCGCAACACATGGTGGGATTGATGTATGCGACAGGACTCGGAGATGCGGTGGAACGGGATCAAGCGAAAGCTCTTTTATACCACACCTTTGCTGCTGATGCGGGACACACGAGATCAGAAATGACCGTCGCGGCCCGCCATCTGAGTGGGATTGGCGTGCCTAAGAGTTGCGAAACGGCTTGCAAATACTACAAGAGGGTGGCTGATAAAGCTATGGATTGGTTCCGATCCGGACCGCCGGGAGGAATGGCCCTCGCACCAGAAGCATACCGACTTTCGGATGAAGTTGGTGGTGTGTACGGTGAAGGCGCCAGCGTCGTCAGCTCTGGTATAAACGCTCTGAAGGCGAGCCCAAATTCCGACGCCTATGCTGCCATCGACGACGTTATCGAATATCTTGATTTGATGTCCCAAAAGGGAGACTTCAAAGCTTCTTTTAACTTAGGAAGGCTTTACTATGAAGGACAAAGGGGTCTCGATCGCAATGTTGATCTCGCTCGGCGATATTTTGCTGCAGTAACGACAATGTATTGGCGTCAAAAAGATGGCCGCGCTGTTGACCAGCCAAAACCTCAACTGGAAAAGTACGCGAGTAAGGCTGCCGGTTATATTGGACGAATGTGGCTACGTGGGGAGGGCGTGAGACAGGACTTTAAGGCAGCCCGGGGATGGTTTGAGCGTGGAATCAAGCATGGAGATGCTCAGTCCCAGTGGGGCCTAGGGATTATGAATCTTCATGGTCTAGGTATGCCGAAGAATGCCTCGAAAGCTACCGAACTATTCAAGGCGTCGGCAGACCAGGACTTCAGCCTTTCCCACGTTGCACTCGGGGCTCTTCATCTCGATCAGGGCACAAATGACGACTTAAAGATCGCTAACTCTTATTTCGAGGCCGCTGCTCGCTGGGCTAACATCGAGGCGCAGTATTATCTGGCCGAGATGATTCACCACGGAGTTGGACGAGATAAAACCTGCGGCATGGCCATGGCATATTACAAAAATGTCGCCGAAAAAGCTGAGCCGTTGGTGTCATCTTGGACGGAAGCCAACCAAGCATACGAAGACGGAGACTATGAATTGGCATTCCTCGACTATCTCATGGCCGCAGAGCAAGGGTACGAGAAAGCGCAGAATAATGTTGCTTTCATGTTGGATCCCACACAGTCACGACTCCCCTTGCCGTCGTGGGTCAAGCGCCAACCACCGAGGCCTACACTACTCCAAAACCCAGCTCTAGCGTTGATATACTGGACTAGGTCTGCTATACAGTCAAATATTGATTCACTGGTCAAAATGGGTGACTATTACTTATCCGGCATCGGTACCGAAGTCGCACTTGATAAAGCAGCGCAATGTTATACGGGTGCCTCGGAGTACTTCCAGAGCGCACAGGCTCTGTACAACCTCGGCTGGATGCACGAGAACGGAGTTGGTCTAAACCAAGACTTCCACCTCGCGAAGAGATACTACGACCAAGCTCTCGTAACTAATGAGGAGGCCTATCTCCCGGTAACCTTGAGTTTGCTAAGGCTGCGAGCCCGTAGCGCTTGGAACACGTTCACACACGGTCGGATTAACTCGATTCGTGATGAACCTTGTAAGTTATTTATACTCACCCATCTTTTTCAGCTGCTGTGTTTACTTCCCTATCTACTAACACCTAAAATAGCACCCAAGAAGGACTGGTCGCTTAGCGAGTGGATAGCCAACTTCCTCCAGGAAGATAATGTATACTATGAGGACGACTACTTTTATGACGATGGTACGATCACGGGAAGCGATGGCGAGGCGTTGGGTGACGAGTATGATGACGTGGATGGTGTGGTCGAGAGCTTGATTATACTGGGCCTGGTCGGTGCCATTCTGTTCCTAATGTATTACCGCGCGAGGAGACAGAATGCTCATCGACAGGCTGAGGAAAATGCGGCTAGACAAGCCCAACAGCAGCAAGGTGGTGTTGCAGCCGCGGCGCCCCAACAACAGCAACCATTGCCACAAGGACATGGTGGATTGTTCCCGCAACCTGGAGGACCGGATTTTGGACAATGGGCTGCAGGTGGTGTTGTAGGGCAATAAAAGGGAATTAATGATTAGGAAGCATGCCTATTAGAAATGCATGGATAGAGCAATTGTAACTTTTACTAATACCCATTCCTTTTGATATCCCTTGGATCTCCATTCTTACGTAATAGGGGTAAAAGGGGCTTATGTGGCTTCACCATCCGAAGTGGCTTAAATCGTGGCGGCCGTAAGCATTACCCCTTATCCCTTATGTACATTTTCATCCTCAAAGTAATTACATAATCCAAGCAGCTGCACATGTCCAAAATTAATAATTTATAAAACTCCTCAATGATATTGATAGAAATCGAGAGAACTTCTTTCCCGTAATTCATAGTAGCTTCATTTCGGGTAGCATCTGTCGCCACGTGAGCGGAACTAATTAAACACGGATGAAGCACGGGCTAGTATATGGCACTACTCTCACTAGGCACTCCCTGACTCATGACGTTTTAAAACATTGGCAAACGCGCGAACTAAGACACGAACTTCACAGACGCGCCTCTAATTTTGTATCTTACAATTGTCCTGAAATCTACGTAAGCTGATACACACACAAAAATAAAAAGCATTTTCACTAGGAATATAGAAAATGGTGAAAATAATCCCGAAGAAAAGGTTAGCCGCACGGGCTCAGGCACAGGCACAGTTGCCCGAACTCGTTCCCAAACGCGCCAAAGTGGAGCAAACCGGGGATAGGATATTCGACCTCGCGTCGGTCCCGAGGTTCGAGGAACAGCCGAGGAGACAAGTCAATAATGCTCTTCCCGTGCCCGCCCTCATGACCGCTCCCGTGAGAAGACGCGGGGCTAGACCTGCGGCTAGATCCGTACTTAACAAGGAACCGACTCCGCTGCAGTCCCTCAAGAAAATCTACCCAAAGGCCATGTACAAGGACGTCATGAAGCCGCAACATAATCCCAGAGCCACCTCGAACAGCGGCAACAGCAACGGCGGCATACCGCCCGTGTACGTAGTCAGCTTCGCGCGTACGGGCCCGGGCCCGTGGCCGGAGCGCGAGACCGGCGTCGTGGGCACGTACCACAGCGCCGCGGCGGCGAACCTGCAAGTCATGGCCTTCTTCAACGAGGAGGCTCCCTGGCTGACGCTCGGCATGGTGGTCGATTACCGCGGGACCAAGGTTATCAAGAAGCGGCCCCATCACGAGGGAGACGGCGTGTCGTACTGGCTCGACGGGGATAATTGCCTCCTGCTGTGCGGCGAGGACGAGGATGGCAGGTACACGGTTTACGCGTGTCGCCAGGAGGTTAGGACGGATCCGTTCTGTGGCCCATATTCGGAGGGGCCGCAACGGTTGGCGGCGGAGGAGTGGGAGGTGCAGGGGCATGTTACGGATGGGTTTCGCCGGTTTGTGTGATTTTGGGTCAGGGGAGAGGGGGGGGATGGTGGGCTGTGAGAAGTTGCTCGTAGAAAGGAAGGGACTGCGTGTCTTGAGCCGTGGGGTAATTAGATTGGTCGCTTCACAGAAATTCGGGTTTTCTATGGGTGTATAGGTGGACTGGTTGATATTCGTTCTTGTAGGATGTTGCAAAGGCGTGTATTAAGGCGTATCGTTTGATTATCGAGGCAATTTTGATGTTCTAAACACCTTGTGGCTGGTTCCATACAACGTTGCTGTGGTTCATAATCTGGTACGTCGAATAGTCGTAGGCTTTTCCATGTTAGGTTTAAGCGTTTTATGGATTTGCTATCAAAGTCTTAATCGAGAGGTTATCTAAAAGTCAGAGGCATTCTGGCTTGGCTACCTACCAGTTAGGGGCTGTTATAGAGGAGAGGTTAGTAGCGACATTTTAGTATAGCACCGCTACATAAGTGTAAAGGGAGCTTCTTCCTTAAGGAATTTTATAATGGTTCAAGAATCAGTACGGTCAGTATTCCCTTATTCAGTTGCGAGCCTCTTGATACCACTTTGTGGCAGTTAACACTTAAAGGCTGGCCGTAGCATTACCCCTGAGTCAAGATACGATCACGATGAACACCCGTAATAGTACCTAGTCACTACTTACCATCACCAGAGAACATATCTAAGTTATCGATCCCGTAAATGGTAATTGTGACACCAACCTAGTAGTCACGACCTGAACTGCCCTAGAAGCGCAGTAGGTATCGTGTGACATTAAAAAAATACATATACATAGCTTGTAATTACAGGCCTGTTTTTAAAAGAAACAGATTAAAAGACAGAAAACCAATACAACAACAACAAGAACCTAAGATATATTACAGATGTGTAGCTACGTCAGAAGAATCATCACGTGCGTCATCGACGGCGAAGTACTTACGGACGCAAAAATCCGCTGGCACTACTGCCACAGGCGAGGACGATCCGGCCACCAAGAACGCGTTAGGCACGTGGAGCGATTGAGGGCAGTCTGTGTACCACATGCGGAATACCGTTTCAGGCACCGCACTTGGTAAATGCCACAGGAAGAGGTCCCTGGTCCCTGGCAAGGAGCATTGACAAAGTTATTTCGGTAAGAGCATCAGCACTCGACCTTTCGAACCTGATACTTTACCCTAGGGGCCGTTCTGTAGGATGGATTAGGTACATAAAACACGAAATCATACAGAAATCTTGAGGTTATTTTGCATATAAATGGTGCCGGGCGTAAGAAGGAGAAGGAGAAGGAACGAGATAGTAGTTTAAGAATGTGACTTGACTTATATACTGCCGAATTAACGCTTGGGCTAATAGTGTCCGCCTTAAACTCTGCCTTGCAGACTAAACTGCCACTGCATCCAATCATAATGGTACATACTTTTGTAGTAGATATGGTTAGATACCATCGACACGGCTGTGAGTCTTAGGTTTCTCCGTTAACTCAACCTCAACGTCACCGCAAATCTTATGAAATAAAAAGTGTTGCATCGACAAGTTTAACTCGCAATTAGCTTGCCTCTAATAAAATCAGCATGCCCCAACAAGCATTCCTGCCCAGAGCGAGTGGTCTTCGGTCTCGAGAAATCCCGGCACGCGTACCTAACATCTTTATCCAGAAACAGCTACTTTTATTAAGCATTTAAGGTCGCCTAGAGTGCCTGATATGACACATATGAAATTGAATTATATCATCTTATTGGCAAAATAACCATGATGCTGCCCAAAGCTGCAAAGGATCCGTCATGCGGCGCTCCGAAACACACAGGTTTGCTTCGAGAAGAGCTTTTAGTCTTTCGACATCTTCTTGGCTTAGGCGAAAACCCCTCCCAAATACGACTAGGGCCACCGCTGTCTAACTCTTCGCTGAAAGATATTTTATTTGTTTCAATCGATGTCGATGGCCCCAGAGACTTTAAATGCGCCGAGAATAGTCCATGCCTAGTTGGCATATCCATTCTAGATACACGACGTTTACAGTTTTATATGACTACTATTTCAGTTGCTGCAAAAACAAGGTCTGCGCTTGGAAATGTGGAAAATCTTATCAAATCGCACCAGCTTCAGGTTGGGCAATCCAACCATCTCAGCTACCGATCTAGTAAATTTCTCTTCGGTGAGACAAGACAGATCAAAGCTGATAAAGTCAAGACGTATTTGCAGAGGTTGATCAAAGATCGGTTCTTTGTACTTGTTACATATGGAGGCGGCGCGGCCGACTGCATATACCTGGAAGGACTCCGCCTCGGCATACGCCCGTTATATCACCTCGACGTCTTAAAAGTTGCTCAGTTTCCTCTGCAGACATACTATCGATACTCGCTGGCAAAAATTCTCGACGCCTTAAAGCTCCCATGGCAAGACCTGCACATTGCCGGCAACGATGCTCGATTTACTTTGCATGCATTGTTGATGACTGCCGTGCGGGACTGGAACTACCGCGACGACAAGCCCAAGTCTAAGCCGACGCCATCTACTCAAGTAACACTGTCTTCCATTAAAACGATCGCGAAGGCGTGGCGTATTCCGGATCAGGACCAACCATCTCTCTCGTTTCTCTTCGAGGATCATATAATAAAGGAACGGGTCCTACTTAATCCGGAGACGAGGAAGAATGGCAAAAGACTTCGGCCAGAGAAAACGCCAGAGGAGAAGGCTCAGCGTCGAGAACGCAAGAAATTAGCCAAGGAGAAGAGGAAGTTGAAGGAAGCACGCAGACCTCAGTGGTTGTTTAACCTTGGGGACTTGCTAGATAATGAGTAGACAACTTAATGGCTATTAGGTTATCTTCTTAAACATAGGTTTTTTTTTTTTTTTTTTTTTTTTTTTTTTACAAAAGTTCGGAGTAGTAATAGAAAGGACTGTAAGGATGTTAAAGAAACAAAACAAAAAATTGTCGCTGGGTCTTATTGTTGTGAGGTCAAGAAGAATAAAAATAACTAAGGGTATACGGCATATCTGTATATATAATTATCGCGTAAAATTGCAAATTTATATTGACAACAGGTTGCCCCAGAGTTTAGGTAACATAATTTAGAACGTCCCTTTTATCACGATCCTAGGGAAGAAGAGTTTAAAGCTCCCAGCCCTAAATCGTCCTTAGTTACTTGCTTACGAAGTCTGCATCGTGACAGTGTCCGTCCCGACGATCGCATGTTTATGGTAATCGCATCGCAGTCGGCGGACTTATGATAGTTACCCTACCCCTTTTCTATTCCTCGATTGTTTTAGCCTAGGTACCAGGTAGTGGATTGGACACTAAATTCTTAAATAATGTAAGCAACTTCCTTACTTATATCCCAGCGTAATTTATAAGCTGGGTTCAACTAGAAATAGATATTAAGCTATTCATCAACCCCTATACCTAGTTTCAACTAGGCCACTACATAAATACCTAGGGACTTCAGAGTCTCTTGAAAATTGGCTTATCAAATAAATCACCTCCTAGATCTACCTAAATAGAATTGTGTGCAATTTTGATCTGGAAATGCACCTTGCGTTGAACTTTTGAGGTCTAGAACTCCATCCTTCACTGCGCATTAGGGAGTTTCTGAATCGCCGTTTTGGAATCCAACCTTTGCAAGGTCTACTTTCCGAATCTGTTGCGATTGCATGCTCTAACGCGTCGGTCAGCCTTATGATACTGCCTATCTTCAAACATACTAGAGGGTAAACTTACGACTTCAACTGTCCCTCGAACGATGTACCGGGTTACTAGAACGGGCTTGTTTTGACCTAATCTGGACACGCGGCCAATCGCCTGGCTCTCCACGCTCGGATTCCACTGGGGTTCAAGGATGTAGACATGGTTCGCCACCGTCAAGTTGAGACTGCGAGTATTAGTCAAACCAGCCTTTAAAATGCATTTTGATTCGGGTTACCCCAAAGCTCCTACTCCCGTGCTCATTAAGAGAATAGGGGTATCTGTGTCTTGGATGAATCTATCCATATTGTACTGGCGTTGTGAGAGAGATTGATCGCCGTCTATGCGTTGGAAACGTATGTGTCTCTTTCCGAGATGGACGGATACCAAGTCCAGGGTCCTAGTCCAGCCAGAGAATATGATACTAGTTTCCTCAGCGTTTATCCTAAGAGATTGGAAATTAAGAGGTGGTCTTACCTCTTCGCACTGCTGGAGTTTTCTGCTAGATCATCCATGAGCGCCTGTATCTTTGATGAAAACCCTGTTAGATTAAAGTAACCGTCGTGATTGCTCCCTACTTCCTCCAATGATTCTTGGCCCTCGAGCGGAGGTCTATCTTCTAGGACCTTGCGACATAAAGGACATGCTGACATAGTAGTGCTGCCTCTTAATTCTGTGTCTTGTCCATTCCGTGAAAGACATTCTTGGCAAAGTTTATGCTTGCAAGGATGGTCCTGGCTAGAACCTCCAACTACATCGAAGACGGGGATTGGAATACCACAGACTGAGCAGGTGATCTCGGCGTTTGTGCCGAGAGAATATAGGAAGTCTTCTCGCTCTACTTTTCTGTCTCGAGAATGTCGAATTGTGAAAGGTATCTGGAACGTGCCGTGGTTACATAGAAGGCGAAGCTGAAGTTGGGCCTGGAAAATGCCAAAATGGTCACGTTCCCCCTTCTTCATCCGCGTTTTCTCCCTGATGAAGTTGGCCATGTTTTCAAGTGTATCATCGTATTGTTGTCTTTCTTGTTCATTCAAAGTAATGTAATGGTACCTCTCCGTTATATTAGGCAAGTGTAGGAGGTCCTGAGTTCTCCTAAGGCATACGCAGTCGAGGAGAAAGGCCAAATTCTTGGCGGCTGAGGCAATACCATCGGTGAATGGTAGTATGACGTTGTTCCTAAATACGGCCCTATTCTCAAGCTCACTGACACGAAGGAATGCTAGGAGTGACCCGACATCCTCAAGGTGGTTCTGAATTGGAGTTCCTGTTAGGCACCACCGAAACTTTGCAGAAAGCTGACTGGCTGCTTGGTATAACGTCGTCTCCCGTCGGCGGATCATGTGGGCTACCAACTAATATAAGTCAAAAGGCTCAGTAGTGAATTAGAATGACTAAACGCAAACCTTCATCAAGTACGACTCTGAACCATGAGATATGGAATACGATGCCATTATTCTGGTTCATGCTGTAAGCAATGGTATGGTAAGTGGTAAACACGATGTCATAGTTCAAATAGTCGTTGATATCGTTGTTTCTGCCTTTTCCGTAATACTTGGCAATGCTGATGGATTTGTCCACATGCCTGATGTAATCAGTTGCAGGAATAGATTTCATCATCTCTAGGTACGGTACTCACGTTTGAACTTCTTTGAGCCATGAGTTCATGATAACTATATCTTTTCTCAGCACGTTAAAGTCCCTATTGTTGCTGCAATACTTACGGGTAGAAGGGACAATAACAAGAGTGGCTCTAGTGCGGACGTCTCTAGGTGAGCCTGGCGTCTCTTGGGACCATGATTGAGCCTGCTCGAGCGTTGTAGTGATAAGTGCTAGAGTGCTCAACGACTTCCCCATCCCCATATCATCTGCGAGAATGCCACCACCCAACTCGTCGGGGAGTTCGGCCAATTCAGCATGCGTTAACTTGTGACGATATCTGTGATATCAAGGTTAGAGATGTCACACATATCACAAGTCCTACCTAGTTCTCACATACAATGGTGTTATAATGTTTTTCTCAAGAGTCCAAAAGCTGAACTCAGGCGAAATTGGGCCAAACTCCCTCTGCATCATAAAAGAGAGCGCCATCTCTTGATGACTAGACAGCCCGTTTGAAAGCAGGGTTTTAATTAGCTAGTGTTAAGAACCAAGTGGTTTTATATGGCTATTGACTTACGGTAGTAACTGGGTAGTAATATGTCTGCCTCGGGTCCTCTCTAGGTTCCGGAACCGCGTTAGAGAATGATATACGGTTGAAATTGTAAATCCGAAATCCTCCTCTGTGTCATTAGCGGTAGTTTTGGTCTTTGACGGGTCCGCAAGAAACCCTTCCCTAGTGTTACGGGGCGGGGGCTCTTCAATGCCAGGAAACTGTATGACGTGCGGATTCCGATATTCAACATCTTGGATACCATGGTCTGGGTCTTGGAGGAACACCTTCGCAGAGCTCAGTCTGTTTCCAATAGGTTTCGCATCGTTGACTGCGCCGTATATGTTGATCTCAACTTTCAGAGTCGCTTCATTTGGCCTCTTGGCTCGTGAGCATACCTGACGAATCCGATTTGTCTCGGCAAAAGCCCTAATCTCGACCGACTTATATTCCTGCAAGTCAGTGAGGCCTCGAGAGACTAGTTCACTCACTTGAGCAAAGATGCTACCATCCGGAAATTTTAACATGAAATAATTTGCGTATTTTGATACGTCGAAAGATTGATATTCTTGCGCTGGGTCGATTTTATTAGCAATCTCTGGCATATTTCCCACAAGCTTAACAACAGCGTTTGGTATCTTAATTATCCAGTCAGTTAGTTACCTTTTCTATGCGAGCGGAGGTAACAAGGATACTAACCATGCCATAGCAACAGAATCGAACGCCACCAGCAGCCAGTGTTTCAATATTGATGTCTTGTAGCATAGCATCATCGAGCCAATTGAGCTGGAATGATTCATCTGCCCACTGTTTCATGCCGTTCCACCACTCTCCGAGGCCATCAGTGCCAATTATAGGGCTTTCACCCTCAAAGAAATTTTCATATGGCTGCAGTTCAGGGAGAATGGTGTGCTCCCATATCACATTCGGGCCTGAGATAGAAACATTAGGATCTGCAAATGGTCTACGTAGGGTCTGGTTAGCGAAGAAAGCAACGTTGAATTATCGTGTCGATTGATGAGACCAACAGGAGACCATATTCTAGATTTCCTTCCTGATTTTTTAGTTCATTATGATAGTTAGCCATCATAATACCCAATTCACAATTTAGGTTAGAAAGTCAAAGCCTGATAGAGAGTTGGTCGATATTACATATCTCTCAACTAAAATAATAATTGAGAGCATAGCATCAGTCGAGATACTAGTAGATTCTTCTTAACGACACGTCGAGTTACTTTTCCTGAGAATGAGGAACTTGAGCAGTCTACGTAGGCAGCCTCACGTCCGGTCGTCACTGTGGCTACTGCAGCTACAAATCCACGTTTTACAGCCTGTAATATAATGTTTAACCAATCATAGTTAAAATTCATGGGTGCCAGTGGGTCTTACAGGCCGCGTGGGATACTTAAAAGATGCTTCTCGCATAATGCCGTGTAACGATATTGGTGGGCGTAGGAGGGCGGAGGGGGGGCGGAGTAACTCTTCTCTCTTCTATGCTACTGATCTCTTGTTTTCTTTTCATGAATGTTACCTAGGTATTTTTCGCTTGCTATTCACCAAGCATGGACATCAGGTTTTCTCAAGAAAGCAAAATCTGCCATTTCTAGACGCAAGGTTCGAAGATGTCATTAATTTCGCCACCTACAACTAGGAGCCTCTCTCTCCAAAGCGGGTTCGATGAGGCTTTATCGGCTTTCAAGAATAAGCTGACTCCTTCTGAACTAGCTCAGTTCAAAGTGACCACGCTCGATGATCTGAAAGTAACCATCTTAGCCATCCAAGCAAAGCAGAGAGCCCAGAAGCAGATGGTACACATGGATAGGATCCGATCCTTCTTGGAAGCTATGGAGCAATTTGGGAAAGTAGTCGAGATTTTTCTGAACGTTACAAATCTTCTTGCATTCATATGGGGTCCGATGAAGCTTCTTCTTTTGGTATGTATCTGCATATTCTTCGGCTGTAAATTCATAAGGCTGACAGGTAGGCACCTCGTACAAAGACTACCACCACATGGCTTGAGTCCTTTGATGCGCTTCTTGATGCATATCAGCTCATATCTGATAGCATCCCCCTACTTGGGGGCTACCAGGTCATATTCAAGGACAATATCCAAATGCAAACAGTACTTCGATGCATTTGGTCTGACATCCTTGACTTCCATATTCGAGCGTTGCGCATATTCGGACAATCGCGTAAGACCAAGAGCAGTGGAGGCTATTTTGATTTTCTTTCGCTGACAGGTGTATAGCGATACGTACCTTTTTCAGATCCCTTTGGAAGGATTTCAATAGTCGGTTTCAACATATTCTCGGCGATCTCAAACGGCAGAAGGCTCTCGTCGAAAGTCATGCGAATCATATCCATATTCAAAACTATGAGTCCGACAGGATTAAGACTCAAGAAGAATATAATCAAGCTAGGGCTCATCGTGCTTCAGAAAAGAAGATATTTGTGACGCAGTGGATTGCGGCGTCGACGTTCATTCTCGACCATGAGTCATTATTTTCCGTCCGAGAAGAGCAATTTCATGCCACAAACAGACGGACAGCTCGATGGATTCTTGAGCATAATGAAGTAAAGGCTTGGATAGCACCTCAAGTGCCTAAATCTTCAATTCTTTGGTTAAGCGGCATAGCCGGACTAGGGGAGTTTTCTCATAACTGAATACCTAACCATTTGCGTCTATTTGCCTACTAATACCCCGTACCTACAGGCAAAAGCGTGCTCACATCCGTAATTGTGGATGAGATTAAAGAAAAGCACCTCGGACCCGCGGCATATTTTTATTGCAAGTATCGAGATCCTAATAAGAGTAACTTCGTGTCAATTCTGAGGGGACTGCTAAGCCAATTAGTCAATCAACAAGACCACCTTATGCCGTATTATTATGATGAGGCAATTATGAGTGGTGAAACTACCCTACACTCAGCCAAGCTTTGTAAAAAGCTCCTTCGCTCCATGCTACAAAATATTCCCCAGGCTTTCTTAGTTATTGATGGTATCGATGAATGTGACCTGAATGAGAGAAAATTGACCCTGGATTATCTCAGAGAAATGCTTGATTTTTGCGATAGTAGCAAGCCCGGAAAAGTTCGGCTGCTCATCTCGAGTCGCGATGAGTCAGATATCAGACGAGCTCTTTCGATGGGAACAAGAGTTAAAGTCGATCATCGAGACACATTACAAGATTTGGAGGTGTATATCGAACATAGAGCTAGCATAGTGCAACAGAAGTTTGAGCTGGATGCAGCGGATCGGATATATATTCAAAAGAATGTGCTCGACAGAGCTGACGGTAGACCCCCACCCCCCGAAACTACTAGGCTATCTGAAGACATACTGAGTCAGTACCTAATAGGGATGTTCTTGTATGCCAAACTTGTGATGACCAACCTAGAAGGGCAGCCATCTCTTCATTGTCTCCATGAAGAATTTAACCGCCTTCCGACAGGTCTCGATGAAGCGTGAGTAAAATGAGTAGAAAAAGAGCTATTGATAGTGTATAAGCTGATAGGCAACAGCTATGAGCGAAATCTGCACAGGATCGAGATTAACCCAAACAGGAATCAAACGGAAATCGCCCATAAAATCCTTTCGTGGATGGTATGCGTAAGGCGACCTTTACGATGGCGAGAAATCCAAGCAGCCATCTCGATCGACCTAGCTGATCTTGCCGTTGACCATGCCCGGCGATTACCCAGAGACTCTGACGTGTCGGAAATCTGCGGCTCGTTAGTTGAAGTACTATCCGGTGATCGAGTCGAGTTTGTCCATGTCACAGCATCTCTGTAAGATTGGAATCGAAAACATGGGGAGTAAAGTACCTAGGCGCTAATGGGTTTTGTTAGATATATCATGGATTTAGGGTACACACCTCTATTGAAGGCGAACCATTCTATGGCAATTCTCTGTCTTTGCTACTTAACGTTCGAGTGCTTTGGGGAGAGAAAAGATGATGAGCTGTACCAATTTGTCAAAAAAGGATCCTTTGCGTTTCAAGACTACGCCGCCGCCCACTGGACTGATCATTTCCTCGCTCTATTTTCCGAATCAGAACCAGTTCAACGAGAGTTGCCTGACAACGGCAAGGAAATCGGAAGTGCAGCGACAGTATTCGCCGATCGCTTCCGGGACGGTTTGCCAACTCCATCTGAGGATAACGAGTCGATCACGATGACTATCTGGAGACATGCTGAGACTCTGAAACATTTAATGGATGACAGAAGGGATGAAATCAGCCTATCATCCCTAGGAAAAAGTCTGAGACAAAACCGACATATTCTAGAAACAGTCAAAATATCAGGCGCAAACAAAGATGCCGAGAATGCATCCTTGGTAGCTTTCTACGGTGAGAATTGGTTCAAATGCCAGAAGGTATCGTGCTACTACTTTCATGAAGGTTTCCAGTCCCAAACATTAAGGCAGCAGCACTACGACCGCCACGACAGGCCATTCAGGTGCGAAGAAGAAGATTGTCCGGCAGCGCGGATCGGATTCGGCTCCCTCAAGGAGATGGAGAAGCACAAGAGAAATGTGCATCCAGGCATTGATAAACTCTCGTCGACATTTGCTAGGCTTAAAGGGGCCAGGAATGAGCAGGGCGTTTTGTTGAAATACCCTTGTCCACGCTGCCCTCTTAGATTCGCTACGCGGCTTGAGTGTCGATGCCACATGACATCTCACAATCCTCGCATTCGGTCTAAAGGTGTGCCTATGGTAGGATAGGTCATTGAAAATTTTAGCGTGAAAGGAGGAAGTAGTAAACCAATCATATGCATGCACTTTTTGATTCGATCATGCACGTAGAAACTTTAGCGGAGAAGACCAACCAAACAAACCGATTGTTGATAACGTTTCGATATGTGCTTTCCTTCGTTTAGATTTTTAGTAATGGTTCGAAAAGGTCCAAGGTCCTTTGGCGTATACCTTTATCCACTACGTGGTACGTACTAAGAACTCTGCGTTTGACACTTCGATCCTTTTCTCCTGGGAGCAAGCAGAGCAAGGCAGGTGCTCAGATATAGGAATAAGCCACACTAGCCTATCACCTGCGGGGAAACAGCAAAACACAACACTATTCCTCTCGTACAAATGCCCGGTGCTCTAATGCATTTACTAACAATGCCCAGCTACCTTCTCCTTTCACGCTAAAATTTCCAACAACCAATACATAAAACATCCTAGACGTGTTCCCACCCCATATGTGTGATGGTCCAATTCATTGCATGTGGCAAAGCGTTTCATATTGGTTGCCAGACTATCTAAGATTAAAGAGGAAAAGATCTACAAGAAAATGCGTGGCACAACAGGAACTAAGATAGCCTTGGGTGATGCGCACGGGCCATCTCCTCTAGCCACCGAAAGTGCAAACCCCGCAAGGGTCAAGCCACACCCAGAAGTCAAGCCACACTGAGGAGGTGCGGACCGTCACAATTACAATATCCATTATGGGATTTGGTTTTCAAACTTACCCATCAACGATTGGAACTGGGATGCCAATGATTATACAAGTAGGTAGGTAAGTCAAGTAAATATTCGAAAGAATGGCTTTGCTTGGCCTCGAAACTGAGCGTCCTGCGATACCTCCGCGGCTACGGCGAGATCCAGGCTGCTTATGACAAATCTCATACGCTCTTTCCATTGCGAGAGCTCTCTATGACAAGTTTTCATCATTGGCTGTCAATGTAAAAGAACAGCCAGTGTCATGAACACTGATTAAGAGGAGGAATTGCATTTTGGGTACTGGGAGCTCTTCGCCTTTTAATCTACCTAGGTAGTCGCCCCGACTAAAGTTTTGTCCCGATTTAACTTTATGTATAAAAGCTCAAGCTATAGGTAGCTATTGAAACTTAACCTACAAGCTGACGCACTCCAGTTCAAATCGTCCCTCCAGCTTTCGAATTCTGCGCCACAGAAGCCCTACTCCCTGATTAGCCAGCGACACTCCTGTGCTTTAAGATCTCTTGGTAACAACGACGCACAGGTAATCATATTAATACTTTGCATCGCATAACCAAGCTAAGATATTACATTTGAAGAATTATCTAGGTAAAGATAATGGTTTCAAAATGATCAAAGTTGTCAACCGTGTTCTATTCTGATGGGGTGAGAGGTCACGTGGGATGCCATTTTCAGATTTCAAAACCTCCAGTTCTGGAGGCGTCTATGCCGTAGATGACGACATTGCGCATCCGCGCACAACGGCACTTAGGGTTACATACTTTATCCTGCATTTATACCTACAATAGGTACTTGATATGTATTATGTTTCAGCCTCTTCTTAGAATCACATTACCCGTTTTCTGTTCTTATAGACAGTATTCACAATGGCGCCCCGCACCGAAGAAGAACTCCTATCATACGGCGTCATGGACCCAGCCATGGTAGACGTGAGTCTCTATCTCGCTTAGGAATGTCTCATAGCATTACCCCGTCCCTGACTCACGGCCACGGCGCCGATGCGGGAATAGGCACTAGCCCGATTTCCAGTCCGGGATCCACAACCTTCAGACCCGTACTACGGCGACGACTCTCATTCGGCGCACCGAGCGCACCGGGCCGCTACGCTTCGCGAAAAGCATCACCTCCGCTACATTCCCGGTCCGATACCGGACCAGGTCAGCGAGGAAGATCGCAAGATCACTGTTCGCGACGGCGCGGAGATCACGGTGCGGATTTATCGCCCGGTCGAGAAGCCGGCGCAAGGGAGCCCCTTTATTGTCATGTATCATGAGGGCGGGTTCAGCATGGGCGATATAAGCGACGAGGAGACAAACTGCCGGCTCTTTAGTCGGGACCTTGGCGCTATCTGCGTGAATGTCGATTATCGGTAAGTGAGTTCGTCAAATGGTCCTCAGCAGGAACGAAGATGTTCTGGAGGTAGAGACAATATATGTCCCCTTGCAGTAACCGGAGAAGGCTAAACGGATGGGTATGATAGGCTTGCACCCGAGTACCCGTTCCCGACTTGGGTCGACGACAGTTGGGATGCATTACAATGGGTAGGTTTTAAGAGCCTGCCCTAGCAGTATTATTTCGCTAGCTCACCACTCTGCCCCCTTCACTAGGCAGCTAAGAACGCGACGTCCCTCGGCGCAGACCCATCTCTTGGCTTCATCATTGGTGGTGGTTCGGCCGGAGGCAATATCACTGCCGTTCTCGCACACATCGCACGGGACGAAAAGCTCGACCCGCCATTGACAGGACAGTACCTCTGTGTACCGGCAATCATGGGCTTCACCCCACCATCACTAATCTCGCCACGATATCGCCAGGAGTACCTCTCGCATCCGGATGTCACCACCAACATCGACCCGGTGCTCAAGATCAAGTCCGGTGCACAGTGGGCCGAACAACTACACAGGATCCTGAAAGCACCGTGGACTGATCCGCGCATCACTCCTTTCTTATACGGCGGGATGGAAAACGGACATCGTGGGCTTCCGCCGGCGTATTTTCAGATCTGTGGGTTGGATCCTCTGAGGGACGAGGGTTTGATTTATGAGAGGGTGTTGAGAGAGGAGGCGGGTGTGAAGACGCGGTTGGATCTGTATAAGGGGTTTGGTCATTATTTCTGGACGAATTGGCCTCAACTTGAGAAAAGTCGCGAGTTCGTGGAGGATACTGTTAAGGGTGTGAAGTGGCTACTTGAGCAGAAGCAGTGATCGTCCTGGGAAAATTTACTTCAGCTACTTTGCTACATTCTACGGAGAGTCTAAGGCCCAATTGGCGATTAAAGATTCGCTATCTGTGGAATGATAATATCTCTAATAATTCATAGGTATTCGTTTTCGTATCATCGCAAGATTCGCGAAATATTTTTATTTACACTCACCAGGTGATTTATCCAGAAGCGCCGAAGTTCAAAGCCCACGCCGGACTCCGCTTTCCGGCAGTCATCTACGCCCTTGTCGTCATGCACTCCCTCCGAAAGACTCGGGTACCCACTCAATACTTACCCAAAACGGCAATTCTTTGAATTGCTATCAAAAGTCAGATCTACGATTCGCTGCTCCGTATTTCTAAAGACATCATCTAGAATAAAGTTAGGAAATTCTGGAGATTGTCGTGAGGGGTTCGACCTTTCGGGCAATCACCTACCCCTTATTCGCCAAGGGTGATGTAATGTCAGGTTCTACATAAAAGTGCCAGTGACGCAAGCAAATCTGAAAATGTAGGAATATCCGAATGATGGTATCGGATTTCGAAATACCGCATCAATCGACCGCAAATTCACGAATTTAACTCCATTAATATTCCAAATAGCTTCACAATTCTCAGAAACTCTCAGACTGGAGGAACAATGGCGTCCGAAAAGAAGTACCCCGACCTAACAAGCTTCAAAGCTCTAAGGTAAAGACAGCCTCCCTTCCGTTCTTAACCCACCTACATACATCACCAATCCCCTGCGTAAAACCACTACTAACCCAAACTCTACCTAGCTTCGACTGCTACGGCACCCTCATCGACTGGGAAACCGGCTTCCTCAACACCATGCGCCTGCTAACCTCGCAACTTCCCGCCACACACCCCCTCAACACCGACCCGCCGCTCGAAGCGATGCGTCTCCTCAACGATAAAGCCAGCGCTTACGAGCGCGAGCACCCGACGCTGCCGTACAACGAGCTGCTAGCCGAAGCCATAACCGCGTTCGCGACTTCGGATCTCGCGCTGTCGGGCCTGCCCGACAGCTTCGCCGAGCCGTTCGGCAACGCCCCCGGGACCTGGGCCGCGTTCCCAGACACGGTGTCCGGATTGCAGAAACTAGCCAAACACTACAAGTTGGCAATCCTGTCGAACGTGGATAACCAGAACATCGGCGCGACAGTGGACAAGCAGCTCGCGCCGGCGAGGTTCGACGCCGTGTACACGGCGCAGGATATCGGGGCTTACAAGCCTTCGCATAAGAACTTCGAGTACCTGTTTGGGCATTTGAGGAGCGATTTGGGCGTCGATTGGGAGAAGGGCGAGCTGTTGCATGTCGCGCGCAGCTTGACGGCGGACCATGTGCCGGCGAAGGAGCTGGGGTTGCCGAGTGTGTGGATATCGCGGGGCGGGGAGAAGAGGACGGGACGGGGCGTCGGGGGCGATTATGAGGCGTTGAAGGATAAGGTTGCGTTTGGGTGGCGGTTTGACACGATAGGGGATTTTGCGGATGAGGTTGAGAGGCAGTTTGCTGCTAAAGAGAAGGCGTGAGGGGTTGTTTGATGGGGATGTTTAATAGGGGTGTTTGTAATAACGAGACAAAAGATAATTGAATATGATGAATCGTGAGAAGGAACTTCAGGAGACATGAGCATATAGACAGTATGGGCATGAAAATAGGAAGATATCCAGTAGACCTATGCCCTTAACGCAAATCTCATCCCCATCCAAGGTTCACCCATCAAACCCACTCCCACCCATCCTCACATCCCCATCCCCATCGCCCTCCCCATCATAATCCGCCTCGCTCCCACCTCTCCCCTTACTCCTCCCTCTACTCCTACTCCTCCCCCTCCCCTCCACAACCCCACCCCCGTACCCAGTCCTCCTAGCCCTCCTCCACGAATCCGCCGCCCTCCAGCCAGACCTCATCCTTATCGGCTTAAGGAACCCATCGACGTGCACCGCGCCGTACATCTCATCCTCGCTATCCACCTCCTCCGCCGTCATCTCCTCTCCCGCCAAACCTGGTAATCCCTCCGACCCCGACGTCGTCGAAGTCGGAGGAGCCCAGCCGTGCACGAGCTTCAGGTGCCGGAGCAAGTTCGTCCGCCACGCGAACCCCTCCCCGTCCGCGGCCCGCGGGCAGTCTTTCACCGCGCACACGAACGAGCCTGGCGCGGACGCCGAGCGCGGACGGCTGCGCGCACGAGTCCGCGAGACGCTCCGGCTCCGAGTCCGTCTTTCCTCGGGCCTAGCTTCGTCCCCCTCCTCGTCACCGGATACAACGCTCCTCGGCGCCAAACTCCCCCCTCGTGTACGTATCGCCATTCTCATCTTTCTCCCCCCATTACCCTCCCCTCCACCACCCTCGTCCCCATCCCCACCCCCATCTTCATCCTCATCCAGATCCAGCAAAGGCGGATACCCCATCCTAGGCCCATACACAACCTCCCTCCCCACCGCCGTCTTCCTCGCTGACAAAGCAGAAGCAGACGCAGGCACTTCCGGAAGCGTAACCAGCGAAGCGCGCTGCGCGAACAAATCCGCGCACCGTCGCGCCGCGCGGTCCAGGGCCGCGGGAGGGAACCCCGACAGCGCCGCGGCGCCGAGGACGTCGCGCCAGTCGCGTAGGCCGATGCGCGGGCGTCTGCTGCTTTTGCTCGCGGCGGTGGAGGCGGATGATGAGGAGGGGGTGCGAGTGGCTTTTCCTTCTTTTTCCGCGGGGAGCTTGCGCTTGCGTCGATGCGGGCGCGCGGTGGTGCTGGGGCCGGCGGTTTCTTCGCCGTCGCCGTCGGCGTCGCTGGAGGTGCTGCTGTCTATTGATCTAGCTTCTGCTCTTCCTCTTCTCCTTCCACGGCCATCTGCAGTTGGTTCAGGGCCGGGTTCCTCGTCGGAGAAGACGGGGAGAGGTTGCTTGCGGATCCTAGCGATGCGAATAGCGAATTCCCTGTCAGTTTCGCCGTCGAGGCGAGGATACGTCTTCTTCGGCCTTCCGGTGCGCTTCTTAGGCGCGTCGCCTTCTTCCTCGGTTGCTAACGGCGTCGGCGTCGGCTCCCGCATTCTTGATCGTGCGCGAGATCTGGTCCGGGATGAAGGGCCCGAGGGTCTGCCTTTAGACCGCTTTACACCGTCGGCGGCCGGAGTGCGCGAGCGTGGTCTGGATGCTCTGCCTCTGCTGTGGCTACTACGCCGCGAAGAATCCGACGCTTCGGAGTTGCTAGAGTCGGACTGGTAGTTGAGCGCGGAGTCCTGCACGTTATGTAAAACCATAAGCGTTGCGTCCAGTTGGGCGAGTATGTGTCGTACGGACGGCCGTAAGAGGCTGTGCGATAGATCGTCGTCCGTAGATACCGCCGGCTTCAAACGAGGTTTCTTATCCGGCTCATCTTGTGGTTTTGATACGGATGGGTGTGCATCAACGTCCATCTTTTCATCACCACTAGCGTTTTCGCGCTTCACAGATTTCGATCTTGACCTCGACCTGCTTTTCGACCCGGATTTACCACTTGCGGACGTCGATGCCACCGTCTCTCCATCCGACTGCTCTTCTTCATCTTCTTCATCCTCACCCGGTTCATCGTCCGCCTCCTCGTCAGACGCGCCAGCCCTCGCCCAGGGTCTAGCATTAAACTTCTCCCTTGCTTTCCTCAGGATCTCGCCGCTGATAATCTCCTCTAGTGCAGAACTCGGCATCTCGCGAACGGGCTTTCTGAGGGTAAACCGCTCGTCCGGGTCGTTCATCCGGCTATCCTGTACCGGCGGGACCTTATCCGCGCGCATCGGCCAAGCCGTCCATGACCGCTGGGGCAGCCATTCGTCTGGCTGGACGAGCTGTCCCGTCGCGGCATTTATATCCTTGCTTGCTCGTCAGTATCTATGTCATAAAGTTGACTGATTCTTGACAAGTACTATAGTAGCTATTCAGTGATTAAAATCAATCGACCTACCTTGCCAGCCACCGGCCCATCCAGCGCCACCCCCTCCTTCGCTCTTCCGTATCTTTGCTTCAGCGCGAACGCATTATACAGGTGCACGGATAGATCCCTGTTCTGAATTTCTTTGAGCGCGGTCGCCGTAGCGATTTCTTCGCTATTGAAGTCCCGCCACGTAGTGCTAGGACCGCGCCACCGATTAGGCCGCTCATCCTCTTCCGAATCAGACAAGACATCGGCATCTTCGCCGGGTATTTGACTATTTGACTCGTCTGCCGCGGATGCCATAGTATGCTCGCTTTTGCAAGTCTTATATGGAAAGAGGAAAAGTGGGCAAATTGATGAGAAAGTTAAGTTCAGTTTCACAGATTTCAATTGATGTAAAAATTTTGCAGCCTGACTTAGGCAGAGCCGCAAAACTTAATCGGCGAAACATGTCACTATTCACAACACGGGGATTCCTATAGCATATAGATTTACTACAATCATATAAACGTTGCAAAAACACTTGTAATAGTATTATCAGAATAACTACCAGAAAGACCTCTATCTGAACCATTACGCCTTTGCCCTAGCTTTTTGCTTCTCTAGTTTTCTCCTCTTTTCCCTGAGCTTCTGGTCCTCTGCGCTCTTCTTGTTGTTGGTGTATTGCATCTGTTCAAATAGCTTTCTCTTCTTTTTGCTAAGCATTCCCTTTGCCCTTTCAAGGTCTTCTGCCTCCTCTTTAGCTTGTTTCGCGAGTCGCTTCCTTGCCTCCACCTTAGCTTTCGCTTGGGGATTTAAGGGGGTTTGTTTAATCGGCTTGCCCGTCAGTTCAGCTTCGAGTTCTTGTTGGTATTGCAGCTCAGCAGCTTGCTCATCATCCTCCGATTCATTCGCGTCGTCCCCATTGGCCTCTTTCTCATCGTCCGAGAAACCTCCGAATGAGCCATTATCGCTATCTTCATCTTCATCGTCGGACTGAGCAACTTTCATGCTCTTGACAGCAAGGTTATCTCCCATTTCCTCATCCTCGTCAGCCTCGTCTTCGTCTACCTCTTCTTCGCTATCCTCCAATGCTTCGCCCTCGGTTTGTTGCTCTTCTAGCGGTATCGTTGGGTCGTATGCTCCTTGGGTATTTTGCACGAATGGACTTAAATGAGGCGGCAATGAAGCTCCAGGGGCATAGAGGTCTGGTCGTTTCATTTCGCCGTCGTTTATACTATCCCAAACCCATTGCGGTTGCACGTATGTTCGACCAGGCATTCTCTGGTTAACTGCGAGCTTCTGCGATGTCTGATTATCCTCACCATCTCCCTCTTCTTGCACACTAGCCTGTATAACTGGTCGGTCAACGATTTGATGTGTGATAGACGGATCGCGCTCGTCCGTCGTGTACGCGCCTTCGCCTAGTACAGCATCCCAGCCAATACGTTTGCAGCCGAATGCGCGGAGTATGAATTCTATTGGCTGTCTTGGAGTTTCTCGAGACAGGTAGAATGTGCAGTTCGCGAACAAGGATTCAGGCTCGTTACCCGAGTAGGTAGGTTGAGGCAGAACATCACCGCCTGGTGCAGCCGGCTCAAATTTGTCGATCGCATCAGTCGCAGCTTCGTCCTTATCCGCTTCAGCCTCGCGTTCTCCATCGACGTCAACTTCTCTCATTTCCTTGATAAGCTTGTTAACTTCAGCCTGGGTCTTTGGATCCGGTCCAGCCTCCGCGTCGCCGTTTGTCACCTGCGCAGGGGCTTCATTCGTAATGGCAGTCGCATTGCCCTCGAGTTGGAAGGCGCCAAGCTCACCAGCTTTCTCATCTTTAGCTTGGTCGAACTTAGGTGGGTACTTCAAGCCAACGGAGGTGTATAATCTAAAGTTGACAAAACCCAAAAGGGTCATGTAGAATTCGACGAAGGTACCCATAATTCTGAAATCCACGTCTCCTACCACTCGCTGGTTAAATTTGTAAGGGACGAGCCATAGGATGTCTTCGCCCTGAATGCTCGCCTGGTAATAGATACCCTTGATAGATAAGAAAGACTTGCGCAAGCTCTGGGATACGATTAAGTAGTGCTGAAATTCCAGACACAACCGTTCGCATCGCGCAATCATCTTAGCAGGGACAGTAGACGTAGATGGGAGGTTGGCGAAGAGGAAAAGCATAGAGAGACAGTCGTCGAGATCGCGCAAGGCGTCGACAAAGGTCGGGTATCGTTCTCGGATAACATGGTCGAGAGTATATCGCGGTTTGCCTGTCTTTTCGGGTCTTGCAGCATTGCGCTCAAGTCTGCTTGCGTCGCCAACATCGCCACGACCAAGCGCTCTAGAAATCTTCTTTTCAAGAACCTTCTGGTCTCTGAACTTCTGCAGTAAGGGCTCGTGCAGAAGATATTGGATGTCTTTGGCATAGTAGAATGTGGTTGAGGCTGTGGAACTTTTGGACGCCTTCTTCTTATTTCGAGGTTCTCTCGGGAAGATACTGAGACCAGGTCAGTAATTGAACAAGCATGCGACCCAATGCAGAGAGATCGGAGTATTTTCCTTACCCTTTCCATATACATAGCTTTCGGAAATCTGGAAGACTGATCTGGAGTTTCTTTACAGCTTGTGTTCGTGTAATATAGTTTTTGGCATTTCCAGCCTCACCCTTCTTCTTTATCCTACCCATTTTGAGACCTGAGTTCAATTGCTCGTTTTCGTCGAAAACTGAGAGTTGGACAATCTGTGAAGATTCTAAGGTTATCGACTGGAAGACAACCTCGATAAAGATAAAAAAGTTGCAGCCCCACTCTACTTTTTTTTTGCTACCACCACAAAATTGCCAGACTTTACCGCTTGCTGGGGTAAGGAGCTAAGCCTCTATTGTTCTAGCGTCTTTATCGATAAGCTTAACTGCCAGCAACGCTGTTAACGTTCGCATAGTCCCACAACCCGTCCCTGCTCTAAGCCCTGCAAAACCTCCAGCTGGAAAGAGCTAAGGTGTTCCTATCGAATTTCGAGAATACGAGTACCTATCGAACACCAAACGAATACTTAGGTACAACAATAAACTCAATTCCTTCAACATCCAACCACTTTTCAAGTTGAGACTTGAACAAAACCACAACCATCCTCGACGATGGAACTGCATTATGAATCGCGGTAAAATGCATTTCCAGGAGACAGCCGGTTTATATACCGCCGCTACTCTACTGCGACTAATTCTATACGCTTTCTTTCCTGGCTTACCAGATCTGCTGACTGACCGAGTCGAGATTTCGACTCCTGTAACGAGCTTCAAGAGACGTGAGAACAGCCAATCAGCCCCGATATTCATAAGTTTAGATACTAACAATATCTTTAGTGCAAGAAGGCTTGTTTTTATATAATCATAATGTCTCGCCCTACGATGGCGGCGTCTACCACCAAGCCCCGTTGCTCCTCCCGCTCTTCTCCCTCCTCCCAGACCCGGCCACGTATCCCATATTCGCGTATCTCCTGTACATTATAGTCGACCTACTAAGCGCCGACGCGCTTTACAAGATTGCAGAGTCAGGCGAGGCCGGCGCATCGCGACTCTTCACCTCGGCTCGCAAGGACAGGAAGTGGAGCGGATACATCGTTGCGGCCATGTATGAGATTCCATACCGACCCTGATACTCAACAATTTGCTGATAGACTTGCAGCTTTCTCTTTAACCCATTCACAATCGCAACATGTATGGCCCGGCCGACTAATGTCTTCACTACATGCGCCATCCTACACGCCATAGCGAAGGCGATATCCGGCAACCCATTTAACTCTATGCTCGCTCTCTCGTTCGCGACCTACCTCTCCATGTATCCCGCATTACTTCTACCGCCACTAATACTACTTGCCTACGACCGGCAGCACGCTTCAAACAAAACATCATCCTTATTGCAATTTGCAGGCCTCAACATCGTGGCAGTGTCACTCTGCCTCTCGATTTTGTTCGGAGTTTCCTACCTCCTTACCGGATCCTGGGAATTTCTTACCTCGACCTATGGCGTTCAATTGACGTTGACGGACCTTACCCCTAATGTTGGACTTTGGTGGTACTTCTTCGTTGAGATGTTCGACAGCTTCCGTGCCTTCTTCCTAGCCGTATTCTGGCTGCACCTCTCGTGTTATGTTGGCGGACTCTCGTTCCGCATTCGCACACAACCACTTGCTGTGCTCACCATATTGCTCGGCATCTTTGCTATCTTCAAGCCCTATCCCAGCATTGCCGATGCGAGCTTATTCCTCGGCATGGTACCGCTGTTCAGACATGTGTTCCCGCTCCTGCGATACAGCTTCGTATCCACGTCCACCATACTTTACTCCACCTTTCTGGGACCCTCGTTCTACTACCTGTGGATCTACGCCGGCAGCGGGAACGCCAATTTCTTCTACGCCATCACTCTTGTGTGGAGTCTTGGACAGAGCTTGCTCGTCAGCGATCTGACGTTTGCGGTGCTTCGTGACGAGTGGGAACTGGAGCGCCCGGAGATGGTTGGGAAGGAAATCCGACAGATCTAGTAGTTTGTGTTGTGACTACCTTCCCAATGTAGACCGTATTAGTATTTGTAAAAAAAACTCCGAGTCGTGGTTAGACTTAGTATGTCAGAATGACGAAGGAGGCTAGAGTACTAGATATCATGGATATCATAGAAGTACAACAAATTTATTCTGAAAACGAGAGGTCTGTCGTGTTGGGTCTTGTTGGTGACTTGCATTCGTGACGACAGTTGCGAGGTGTCTCTGTTCATCTAGCCGATATCTCCATCGTGATTAGGACTTTTGAAATATCCACATTTCGTGTGGCTCGCTCAAAAGATTTGTTGGTGGTTCTATACACTGGATGCTGTTTTGACACTAGGAGTTCACGGTTTGGGTGCGGAATTACAGCAGCGATTGCAAACCTGACGCCTAACAAATAACACACCTAGGTTAGAAGCTTTCATATGAAGTAGATAGCTGGAAGAGCTACGTGATATGGAAGTCAGTTGAACATTGTTTCCGATTTCATTTCCTTTATGTGGGCATTAGACGTGAAATGGATTAGCTAGTAAGCGGACTCTAAGCTGCGAACGAAAGAATGAAAAGGTGGAGAAACAAATAGAGGTATAACTGAGCTAGAAGTAATGAACCCCTATTCATCAGAACAAGATAACACCGGTGAATTAACAGAAAGAATTACATACCTACCTCAAGCTAGTTGTTACATCCATATAAAAGAAAAAGAAACCCGTACCAGGCTGATGATGAACATGAACCGCAGACCAGAAGACGTGACCTAATAGACTTAGGGTGCCAGTCACAAGGGGATTTGATATCTACATCACGGCCCCTATTCCCATTATTTCCAGAAGTCAGCGAAGACAGGCGATACACACACCTACATAGTATACCCAACAATCGACAAACCAAGCACAAGCGGCAAGCAATGGGACTTCGTCGCATATCAAAATACCTCCGTAGATACCAAGACGGATAGGTAGATGTTCACGTTGGGAAGTACGTGATAGATACCCCTATCCGGTCACCACATCACCGTCCAAAGTCCCTTGTTGCTTAACAATTCATCTCTCATTTTGTTTCTCATAAACTCATTAACTAGTACCTAACCCACGGATCCTATGCATTTCCCTTGCTTTTCACCACCCACCCACCATGAACCCATCAAATCCCGATATCCTTCCTTCCTTCCTTCCCACCTACCCACCCCTTAGTCCATGAACCCTCCATCACAGTCATCCGCCACAGGAGCTACAGGAGCTGAATCCCACAGAACTCAGCTCAGCCCAACTCAGCTCCCCTTCCCCTCCCCTCCCCTCCCCTCCAACCGCGCTACTGCACCCGATCCCTCAGCTCGACCTCCGACTCAACACCAACATCGACGCCTGCACCCAAGCTTAGACTCCCCACATCCCATTGAGGCGCAGATTGTTCCCAAACAGGTAATCCGGTCAGAATGGCGCCCATCTCGTCAAACTGACCCAAGCGATTCTTCTGCATCTCGAAGCGATGCGTCTCATTCCCAAACGGACCTAACGCCTTAACCAGCGCCACGGCGCCCAACGCAGCAGCACCCGCGACCGCACCCGCAGCAGCCATAATCACGCTACCCATATCCTGTTGGCTCACGTCATCCGCGCCCGCATCCGCATTCCCATCTCCAGCTCCAGCACTCCTCGCACCACCCACACGCCACCTCCTCCAGCTCCCCCCAAAGCCCGGAACCGACTCCAGCGCTCCTTCCGCAAAGCGGCCAATCAGGTCTAGCACGCGCCTCGGCTCAGGATCCCTCAGAGGCAGCCCGTTGTGGTCAGCCTCCAGCGCCTGCGCGGCGAAGGATTCCCGGATCGCGTTCGAGAAGCCGACTAGGCTCCCGAAGGATCCTTCTAGCGCGTTCCTCAGCGTCGGGTGCGGCGTCTGCACGCGCGTCAGCTCGAGGTACGCGAACACCAGATAGTCGATCGACGCCGGCTTTTCGTCTCTGAGGAAGAATTCGTTGTCCCCGCGCAGCTGCTCCAGGGTCTCGAAGAACGAGGTTGCGAAGTGCTGGAACCGGATCGCCGCCTTGTTCTCCGGCTGCATGACCTCGCTGGGACCGCGGCGGTCGCGCAGCTTGAGGAAGCCGGTGGAAGTCGTAATAGCTGGGCCCGCGGACGGAGATTCCTCGGCATCTCCTTCGGGCGCGAGGGAACCCATACCCAGGTTCTCGACCTTTTCGATGGCGGCGGTGCGGAGGCCCGGGGGCACGGTCCACGTGAGCGGGAACGGAAGGAGGGATGAGTAGGCGGGCCGGGTCATGTCAGCCCACGCCCTTGGCGATACGTAGAGCGACATGGCCACCAGAGCAGCGCCGCGGGTCGCCAGAAAGGAGGCGCAAGCCAGAGCATCAGCCCTCTGGAGCGGTGTGAGGTCATCGTCGATGTGCAAAATGCCTTGTCTGGTAAGGTACGAGACGATTTCCGTATACCCAGAAGTCCAGATACCTTCGTGATTCAGGGCGGGGAGGCGGTCTGCGAGATGTTTGATCAGCTGAAAATCCTCAGGTCTTGGGGAGACTTGGTCTTTGAACATGTGACTAGGGGAGGGGATTGGGGGTCAAGACATGTGTTTTAACGGGTTAATTAAGGAGGATCGCGATGGGGCTCGTACAATCAGGACTGGCGGCGGCGTCATTGCTGGCGATCAGGGACCAATCTTCGCGGGGGATGGAGCAACGGAAACATGTAATGGCAGCTAGACATTCGGGATCAATGGAGTCTAGGTCGAACGCCGGCCCCCAAACACGTAGCTCCAAAGTCATTGTGTGGGAGATGGACGACACAGCTGACGACAAGTGGCTAGGGACCGTCCTGTGTCTTGGAGTAACGAGACAATCGCTATATCTCAGCCGGTTTATGGGGAGTAGATCAGCTAGGCTAGTACGCCTGACTCTGAATCAACCAATAGAAAGGCCGAGTCGCGTGATAAGACCATGAGTTCGCAGCCGTGCAGTCGTGCAGCGGTGGTGGGAAATACTAGGTAATGCAGTGGGCGGCAGTGTAGCATTCGGGAGGCTGACGACAAGGTCTCGTAGTTCTGCGCTATGACGGCAGGATGGTCTCGTCGCGACAACACCCTTACCAATGGACAAGATTCAACCGGGAGCGGTGATTACGGGATCCATAAGAAGATCTCGCTATCCGATTTGAGCTGTCGCTTGCGAGCGATCGTCCGAATGGCAGGCCTATAAAGTTCATGATAATGGGAACATCTCGAAAATCATCCCCAGCTTTAGTTATCGCCGCGTTTCAGGGTCTAGTGCACGTGGTGATAATGGTGATAAGCACGAGGCGATCCCCGGTCGTTTTTGACGTCATGCTATCGACATCCCGACGATGATTTGCTATCGGCCGGTTGGTCGTTCTGGTCATTCTTGATTTTTAGATTTCTCCTATCCGAAGATACGAAGATCAAATGTAGCATATGTACTAAATGTACATGATTGTATCGAGGCTAGGCGAGGCTATTCTCGGCAAAATGCATTGTTGTATTCTACTATCTTTTACTTAGATACAATCTTATTTCATTTCCTATTTTCCATCAGCCCATTTAAGTTCCTTATTCTTTTTCGCCTCCCCCTGATGATCCAGGGGGTGGCGAAAAGAGAATAGTTCGATGCGATGGAACGAAGCATTAATTTTCAGATATTACACACTAACCGAAAAGAACTAGATCTAAACACGTGCGGCACGATTGTAGTGTACGTACGAAAGTCTGGTAATTAGATTCTTAGTGTACGCATAGAATCCAAATAAGCGAAGACGCGACGACCCTGCTGCCGATCTAAGAACGACCGGCGGGAAGAAGATCGTCCAACTAGAGATTAGTCACTTATGCCTATGCTCAAGTGCTCACTGATATTAACGGATTAACGGTGCTAAAAGAAAAAGTCCAGGTCTCCAGCTTGATATTAAGTGGCCTTAACTTAGACCGGGTCGACAAGAGACATACATAGGCGCATTGAGACAGGTTTATCGGCTCAGATCGTTTCCGTCTAGGCTTGGCTTCTTCCTTCGTGCGGAGGTCACAGTCGCTACCCCTTCTCCCCGATCACGATCATCCGCAGGGGAGAAAGGGAAGCAAAAAACAAGAGACGACCACGTTTCTGAAAGACACGGCGTCGGGCGGGCACTTTGGAATTTGGCGCCTAACCAGAACGAATAGCACCCGCATCGCATCGATTATTTCCGTGCAGCAACGGGTCACGCGGTCCGTTAGCAGCAAGAAGCATGTACATACATACACATACGCATACATACCGCTACAGCACCAATGCCCTACCCTATTTCGCCGACATCTTAGGGCCGTTGGGCAGTTAAGTTACCTTGGTTGCATATCTGAGATTAGCAGATGGGGAACATGTCCAGTATGTCTTAGAAACCTGGCATAGGGAAGATCCAGCCACTTCTGCCACTGCGCAGTAACAATACCTACATAATAGCAAGGGGGGGCGGGCTCGCGACTTGATTTCCGCCCCACTCCGCTCCGTTGCTTCATCACCGCAGCGCGGAATATGCGTTTCCCTAAAGATGAGGATTTGCCTAGATTGTAATCGACGCTAGTAGGCATATCGAACTATTAGCTGTTGCCCGCCGCAGATTAGCAATCATCTGATATGGGATTATGGGACTTTCATGTCTGACTCGTGTAATGCCCCTGCCTCACCCCTTCCATGATTAGTGATTCGGGAAGCGATGCGCCGTTACCATCGTCAGGAATGGGATGTTTTCACGAGTCATGGTGGTTGGTCCGAGGGGACGGAACCGTTAGAGCTTACTCACTACCTACGCAGTAGTTCTGCTAGTACGTCTAATAGCAAGCTTTCATTCTGATACCTAGCCACGACTCTGTAACATAGCATATCCACCATACCGGTACGCCGGTTCCGTTAACTCTTCTGTATACCTTGGATAGTAATGCGCTCCTTTCCGCGGTCATCACGATTGCGCCAGGGGTTTGGATGGTCTAACACCTAGTTTAGCCGATGATGTGGACTTCTTGCGTAGTAGTATCAGATCGGATCCCGACGACCCAAGGGGACGGCCTACCCTCTGTTACTTGCCGTGACTCTGTTATCGTCGAATCACGCTGCCCAGGTAGGCGTCATGATGTAAGGGAGGATCGAGGGAACGCGACAGCCCCTCTTGTTCTCCCTAGCGGGCCGCGCGCGAGCCGCAGGCGTCTCACCCAGGCTTCTGGGTTGTTGTGAACTCCATCGCATTTTGATGCCAGAACTGCCTAGCCGACCTATTCCCTATTCACCGACTCTGCATTCCCCCTTACGTCCTTTACCGTCGTTCCACCACTTTGCGTGACAAAAGATAATTACGAGGACCATGACTCGCACGCATGGTATAGGTAGTCAATTAAGAAAACGTGGGGCTGACTTATAGAATTACCCAAAAGAGGAAATCATTGCATACAATTGGAGAAGGGCGCATGCTCGAATCCGGCCGAAATCAGGGATATGGGGAGACGGAATCACGTTTTGAGCAAATGAGATCGTGTTAGAACAATTGCCGTTAACTGGTTTTGATCACATAGCACGATCACAATTCACAGGCCAATCGCCGCAATAAAGTCAAGAGTAAGTGTAAGAGTAAAAATAGTTCTGTTCATATCATTCCGTTATGGGCTCGACTGCTTTAGCGCAAATCTCCCGGTATCATTCATGGCTGTTCCGTAGAAGCAACCCCGTTCCCATTTCCGTGTCGTGAAGTCTGCCACCATCCTTCCCGTGGGGGTATCCAGCGCACGCGAGGCCTTTCTAACGAAGAGAAGGGCCCCGTCGATGCTATCTCTATAAGTACAGTTGATGACGTAAAATGACGAGGAAATAATATTCCAAATAACACCGGGTTGGGTCCTACAAGACCCCCCTTTATTCCCAAGACCGGAATGCAAACGGACAGGTATTCCTTCCCATGCTAATGGCGGTTGAATTGCCCATAATTAAAAATAACTGTATATCCCATGTGAAAACAATAGTACAAGATCAACCGCTCCGGGTAATGATCAGAGAATGTATGACGGAAGGTGATCCTGAGCCAGCTCTGAAGAGATGCTAGAGATGCGAGATGTGCAAGTGCGGAGTATTATTGGGGTGTGCAGCAGGCGAAAGAGCAAAATTGGATGATCGCGGTGCGTTTTCGATGAAGTGGTACGTTGGCGGCTTGAGGGTGGCATGGATTTCTGATTCTGCGGTCTGCCGTTCAATTAATGTCGATGCAGGGGTTTCTTGCATGTGGTTCGCGAACGCGGCGACGTGGTTCTTGCATGTGCTGTAATATGTGTTGTACGTAACCAATGCCAGGGGTGCGGGAAAGCAGGAGGGGATTTTTGCGTTGCGGGCGTTGCACGGTGGTGAAATGCAACGCCGTACTTTCGCCCTGCGATCACTTGCATACCCGAAATGCACCTTTTGATGAGAGTCGAGAGCTGGTAAAAGGGCAGAATGGAAGAGAGAGCGGAACCCTAGGAACTCCTCCCCGATAGTACATCGTCCGACGATCGTCCGTAGTTCTGGTTGGCCTTGATTCTATCCCTTACTGATGCTGCTTTAGGGGGGGGCATCGTAATGTTCCCCCTATATCGATCTATATCGCTGGTGGGTAGCACTGGTAGGCGAGTCGGAAGAGACTCGAGTGCGATGCTCGAAGCGATTTAGCTTAGCCGCTCTTAGGCAGAGGAGGCAGAGGTCGGCTTGGTGGGGGACCAGGGCAAGGCGGGAGCTGAGAAGGGCGCTGAGAAGACATATCGAACTCTGGGGACATGGCGGCCATTGCGACTGATGTTTGTTGTAGGTGATGTTTAGTTAGATAACTGGTAGCTGGTAGCTGGGTATGTATGCTAGGTAGATGTAGCAGAGGCTGATAGATGCTGATGAGGTAGAAGCTAAATAGCTGAGCTTGAGGTTTAGTATTCTGATATCTGATGTATGAAGATTGGTTTGCTTGTGGTGTCTGTCTTTGGTCTGTCAGGCGAAGTTAAGATCGATTCGGAGATCCTGGGGGAGGAGGGCGAAGGCATCCTTATGTATGATATGGTGGCCTTCTCACGAGATGAGCAAGATACCTTCCCATTCCAAGGCTGTTGCAATATTTCGCTAGTACAACACATTACGAAGGTAGGTAAATAGGTACATACACCGCCAAACGGTGAGTACATTCGTAGTCATGTACAGATTCATAATCTCGCAATAAGATTAACGTGCTAATTAGGCATGGAAGTACATGTCAGGCCGTGTCGCAAACCTCACGAACGAGTGACAAAAATAATCCCCCCGAACCCTAGCTGGGCCACAGTGACGCATCCCAAAAATGGCGACAGGGGATAGGGAATAAGAAAAATAAAGATACGTACTGCCTTAGTCCATCTGCTCCCATGTAAGAAGGGCTTGAGCCTAACATTGGACATGGACAGGGGCTGTAGCCCGTGAATTACATGAAGAGGGCCTACATCCACGCACATGTACATCATGTACTAAGGTGGTAATGGATATGCATGTTGTGTATCCCTCGATGTATCCAGTGTATCCCCCCATGGAAGAAAATGAAACAAGCGTAAGCCCCTGACAACCCTGTCAATTCAGCATGTGCTACATCCAGCCCCTTGTTAAGACATTTGTGAGATGTACTGTACATGAGAAGCGCATAGTCGATAAATTGCACTTGAAATTGGGCACTACCCGAAATAGCTGGTCGCGCATTGCCTGACCAGGAGAAGGCTAGTAATTATTTTTGATTATTTTTTTATTTTTGTTTTCATTTTTTACTGTTGATGGTGGTATTATCTGGGCATTTTCTACGCAATATGGCTTGGTCTACGTTACGCCGTCTTGTTTATTGGTTTCTCTCAAGCGGTCAGACCATATAGCCAGTCATACTACAATATACTGCAATATACTACTTGGTCTGAGACTCGGCTCAACAGCATTGATATATACCACAAGTCATTCGACCTCGGCTCAAATCCACAGTGACGGCACATATCGCGATGAGTAATGCCTCCACATCATCATGGAAGGCTCGTAGAACTTTTAGAAGTTTCCACTTGATTATCGTGGCTCCACAAACGTTAGCATCAATCTTAAAAAGAATTTTCGCGTGGGATATTAGGGATTAGGATATTAGCGATGGGGACAGAGATTTCGATCCGAGTCAAAGCTTTTTTTTTTTTCTCAACCAGGGGTAGTGGGCCTTCATTTTCGGATGAGCTATGTACCAGCTATGTACGTATCGAATGTTGGCGGTTCAGGCCGTTGCGGTGAAAAGAGCAGACAAGAAAAGAATTAGAAGGACGTTCGATCATGTCCGCGTCAAACGGAAGCCGACTCACGACGACCCACTGGGAATGCAATCCAGGCTGTCCAGGCTAAAGAAAAGGACACAGTTCCAGACTGGAGAGATGAGACGT